AGCTTAATAGCTCGCAGCCGGCTGTTGAATCCACCAACTGATCAATTCGAGGGAGAGGAAAGTGATCCTTGGGGCACGCCTTGTTGAGGTCTGTGAAATCGACACACATTCTCCATTTTCCGTTGGCCTTCCTCACCATGACTGGGTTGGCTAGCCACGCTGGATGAAGTACTTCTTTGATGAAGCCAGCTTTGAGAAGTTTGTCGAGCTCTTCTCGTATGGCTTGTTTTCGGTCTGGTGCAAATCTCCGCAGTCTTTGCTTTACTAGCTTGGCATCGGGTCACACCATAAGTTTGTGCTCAATCACCTCCCTGGGGACCCCCGGCATGTCGGACGGCTGCCAAGCAAACACGTCGGCATTATCGCGGATGAAGGTGATGAGCGCGAGTTCCTATTTCTCATCTAGTGTAGCCCCGATTTTGACAGTCTTGTCGGGGTTAGCACTGGAGAGCGGAACGATCTTGATGGTGCCGTCCGGCTTCGGCGCCTTGTTTGGCTTGCTCACTTTCTCCGGTGGCTCAGACGTGGCGGGTGGGGTGGGCGTTTGTTCGACCATGTCGAGGCTCCGCCTGTCGCACTGCACCGCCAGCTTTGCGTTCCCCTAAATAGTGATTGTTCCCTTCGGTCCCGGCATCTTGAGCACTTGATATGCGTAGTGGGATGCGGCCATGAACTTCGCAAGTGCAGTTCTTCCGATGATGGCGTTGTAAGCTGTATCGAATTCAGCGACATCGAAGGTGATCTGCTCTGTTCGGAAGTTGTTGGCTTGGCCGAAGGTCATGGGCAACGTAATCTTGCCCAGAGGTCTGGACGATGATTGGGGAGTAATTCCATGGAAGGGTTGATCGGTTGGTGTCAACGCACTTTGCGGAATTGCCATTGCATCTAGAGTGCTGGCGAAGAGGAGATTGATCGAGCTGCCACCGTCGATGAGAACTCGCGCTACCGTGACGTTCCGAATAGTGGGTTCGACCACAATCGGATATCGTCCTGGGATAACAGAGGTCTTGGGGTGGTCTTCATCCGAGAACTCTATCCTCTGCTCAGACCACTTCATCTTGGGTGCAGCCCCCTGCCATGTCGAACAGACTTCACGTTCCGCTTTCTTGTATTCCCGCTTGGAGGAGTACGTTGTGGAGCCGCCGAAGATGTGTGAGACGTGGAGGTCGGAGTCTGGGTACGCAGAATCCGATTCGTGAGAAGATGTCTCCTCGTTCTTCTCGATAACACGTACTCGCTTGCCTTTTTTGAACGCCATGTGCTTCTCGAGCGACTTTTTGAAAACAAGGCAATCCTCCAGAGAATGTCTGTCCGTTTTGTGTATGGGGCATCATGATTTCTTTGTATCGCTGCCTTGTGGGTCTGGGCGCTTGGGAGGGTTCACGTATTCTGCTGCGAGGACTTCCGCTTGAGCTTTCCTTTTCCCGTTTTTGCGATTTTTCTTCTTATTTGACTCAGAGGCGTCTGCGGCTGGTTTCTTCTCTCCCCCAGTCTTCGGCTTGTCGTTCTTGCGTCTTAGCGCGTCATCCACATGGGCGCACCGCTCAACAATCTCGAATAATCTTCGAGTAGTTGTGATGCGTCTTGTCGCCAACTCCTGGGTAGTGTAGCGATCTCTACCACCGGACTTGAAGGCGCGAATTACAGAAGCGTCGATAATTTCGGGAATTGTGTTTCTGCACTCGTTAAAGCGCCAAACGTATTCCCTCAATGATTCCCCCGAGTTCTGTGTTAGCGTGTGTAAGTCGTCGTTGATCGCGTGGCGCTTGTATGTTCCTTGGAAATTGGCGATGAACTGTTGCCACAGGTCTGCCCACGAAGAGATTGAGTAGGGAGGAAGATGCATCAGCCATGAACGTGCAGAACCCTTCAACGCAGTTGGTAAATAGTTCGCCAATGCGTTGTCATCTGCTCCGGCAGCATAAAGCACTATCGAGTAGACTTGAAGGAATTCTTCGGGGTCGGTGCTCCCATCATACTTTTCAATGGCCCCGGGTCGGAATCTCTCAGGCCATCGGACATCACGTAGGGAACGACCGAAAGCCCTACACCCAGCGCTGGGGCGGTGGGTTGTCGGCGGTCGCGTGACCTTCGTGGATGTCTGTCTGACGATGAAGAGGACGCGGATGATGACGATGACGATGGGTCGCTTGGCTCCGGCGTACGATTACGAGGATGATGACCTGGATCCCGAGAATCTTGTTGTTGTCTCTCGTTGTTATCTCGGCGCCGATCTCCTTCGTCGTCGTCGTTGCGGCGACGGCCATGACTAGTATTGTCTGGCCCCCGCCGTTCGCGATCGTTGCATTCTCGGTCCTCGTTTGGGCGGTTTCCTCGATCATGGCGCCATGAAGAAACATGACGCCGAGAGCGATTTGCGTCGTCCCGTGTGCGCCGTGCTTCTCGGCGATTGTTAATTTGATCTCGAAGATCGCCAGTGCCACGAGGTGGAGGGGTAGCCTGTCGAGGCAATTCCCTCCGCTCCGGATCTTCACCATTGGCGTCGCCGATTGGTGGCTGATCTTGGTGTGCTGCGGTAGCAGCCTCTTTGAACGCATTGCTGAGGTTAGTCACCGACTCCCGTAATCATTCTGTCCAACGCTCGAGGTCGTCGTTCAGAACGGGATCGTAAGGAGTTTCCCTCAGTATAGCTTGAATAGCCCTGATGTGCTGGACTAGAGTAGTCGATTGATTCGCCGCTTCTGCGTTGGCTTGCGCTGACGTGCCAACGTCATCGATAACTAATACCTCCCGCGGCGCACTTGTTGTCGATGACCCGTAGTCTTCGAGGGGATGTAAGACCGATGGTTCGTGAGGATCGAGATCGATTACCCCAACGAATCGATCTGAGGCTGGAGTCGCTCCCTGTTCCTTGCCGTTATCCCTAGCGGGGACGTATGACTTAGGAGACGGGGTTTTCATGGCGCCGAGGAGAACTTTGCAGCTCGAGAGATCGTGATTCTTTGTCTTGTGGATAGGACAATAGACATCCCGAGTCGGAGAAATACATTGAATTCCACGTTCTTTGCAGGCGCGAATTTCAGCACGGACGTTGATGAATACCCAGCAATCTTGAAGGGTATGTTTCTTGGTTTTGTGGATAGGACACCAAGACCTGATAGCTTCGGAAGTCATCTTTGTCGGCCCGTGATTTATGTCGGTGGGACAAGACTTGGCCGCATCAGAATCCTTCCCGAGTTTGGATGTAGTCGGTAATCCGTTCTCCGTTTCAACGGGTGGATTTTTCGACATGGAGCCGTCTTGGTTTGTGGCCACTGCGTTCTCGTTTTCAGTCATTGGAGGACCGGTTGAGATTGGCATCGTGGTGTAAACCGGGAAGACGATTTCACCGACTTGAGTCCATACCAACATTGTTGAAGTTGAGAATGCTTGGCTGGAGCTGGTGTTGACATTGTTATCGACGAAGCTTGATGGCATAGTAGTAGAACCTTGAGTACCAAGTCCCCCTACCTGGCGCGCCACTGTCGACGGGTGATACCCGTAGACCAGATATAGAGGGTATTGGGGTACGCTGGTACAAGGATCTACGTAGTACGACATCGAGCAATCAAAAGACAAGAATTATACTGGTTCAGGCCCCTTGACAGGTAATAGCCCTAATCCAGTTGATGTGGGATTATATGGTGGAAAACACAGGTTACAAAGGAAAAGATGGAACTTGTCAGATCCGGCGAGATTGTAGTCGAGTCGATTCGACTAGCTCTCGACGACTTGGCTCCTCATAGGCTCCGGCTTCGTAGGCTGTGTGGATTCTGAGATTCGATGATCTATGCCCTCCCCGGGGGGTCCCTTTTATATCGCAAGTCTGGTACTCTCCGAGTAGGACTCGAACATATCAGACCTAGCACGATACGTAGGTAACCCAGTTCTTGTCCGAAAAGGACTTTTTCCCGTATATTGATTTCGTGAAAGGTTTCCTTAGATCATAAAGGAAATATCCGCATGCGCGTGGGTATGCCATGTCGATACGTATCGTATATCGAAGGGTAGGGGATATGCCTGACCCGTAACCCTGACAAGCACCATTGTGCATAGTATCATGCTCTTTCTGTGGTAACATCGTAAATCAAAAGTGGAGCCAGTAGGAAGACATGAAGATAAGCTGTATAGGGTTAGATAGTTATTTACCATTAAAACTTTATCATTACAACAATGTTAAATTGACCAACATACAACACTAGCTCTAATTATAATCATCTTTTTGATGGACCTAGAAACCCCTCTAAGCTAATTACAAAAATATTTTTGTCGTTACGGTGTGGAGGGATATTAATATGGAGTATTAGATTACTAGAGCAACGGCGAATAATTCGCTCGTGTGTTCGAAAAGTCGTGGGTTGTTCTTGACTTCTTGCCAGTGCTGTTGTACATCTCAATCCATACATACATAGCTGTGTTCGACACTCTTTTTCCCGACCCAAACAGTGTACATGGAAAATGGACCGCACACGTGATTAATTAAGTATTAATTTGATTTTTTAAGCAACTTTTATATAAAAACTTTTTTTAAAAAAAAGCACTGCTTAGCAGTTTGAAAAACATACACGTGAAAAACGAGGGGAGGGGTTTAGAGTGTAAACGCTGCATTGGTCGATCATGCCACAAGTGGGGAATCAATTTCTATCCTGCACTGAAGCCATCGGTCAAATTATCCAAATTAATTAAAGAGGGAACTCGGTCTGATGAATTCGCCTGTTCATTTCCGGAAGCGCTACCCGAGGAGCCATCGAACGATCGACTAGCTCACTTTAATGAACGACACCGATATAGTATAAGAGTAGATACAATAGCAGACTATAAGTCAGCTGCAAATATATTTTAAAGAGATAAATAAATAGAAAGAAAAGCAGTGAGCTATAAATTTATAGCCAGCTATAGCACGGACTCCAAGATGCAGTGTGTGTATGACAGGTAGGACTAGATATTAATAGTGTAGTATGTAAATATTGTATGAATAAGCTCTTAAATTGGCTATAGATGAATTGGAGGACTATGCTATTAAACTTGCTCTAATACAAAAGCACTCAGCTACTGAAGAAAAACAATTCCACTCGCTTCCTCACCTAGCCCTCTCTCCACGATACGTCCAGTCCAGCCATACGATTCGATCGATCGCCATGGGAAAGCTCACCGACGTGACACGCTCCAACGACATCCAGCTCAAGATCGTGGGCCACTCCTTGACAATGGCCATGGACGACGGCGAGTTCTTCAGTTCCAGGCGGTATTGCGTCGGCGGACACGACTGGGAGATCCGCCTGCGGCCGAAGGATCCCTGGGTTGGCAGGCGCGACCGGCCGCTCACGCTCAAGCTCGTCCTGCGCGGCGCGCCCCGCACAGGCAGCGGCAGTGTGAAGGCCCAGCTAAGCTGCTGCTTGGTAGATCCGACGCAGAAGCTGAGGCCGTCGGAGATGAAGACCGTGTCGCATAAGTTCCACAAGCCCGGTGACTACTCGCCCCGTGCCGTGTTCATGGCAAGGGACGAGCTGGAGGCGTCGGGCTATCTCACAGACGATTCCTACGTCGTTCAGTGCGCCATCACCGTGCTCCGAGAACAGCCGGAGATAGCCGCGGCGGCGGCAGCGGCGGGCGACAGCGCGAATGCAGCCGTGGCGCCGTCGTCCGAGTTGCACGCGTACCTTGGCGCCCTCCTGGAGAGCAAGACCGGCGCCGACGTCACGTTCGTCGTGTCCGGCGAGTCGTTCGCCGCGCACAAGGCTATACTGGCCTCGAGGTCGCCGGTTTTCATGGCCGAGCTGTTCGGGGCGATGAAGGTGAAGGCCTCGGAGCGCGTCGAGGTCAAGGACATGGAGGCGCCGGTCTTCAAAGCCATTCTTCACTTCGTCTACACTGACACCGTTCCAGAGCTCGACCACCGTGATGGCGAGGAGACGGAGGCAGCGTCGACGGCGACGGCGATGGCGCAGCATCTGCTCGCCGGCGCCGACAGGTACGGGCTGGAGAGGCTCAAGCTCATCTGCGAGAGCAAGCTCGCCGAGCGCATCGACGTCGACACGGTGTCGACCACGTTGGCGTTGGCGGAGCAGCACGACTGCTCGCATCTGAAGGCCAAGTGCGTCGAGTTCATTGCTGCCGGCACGGCTGAAAACCTTGATGCTGTGTTGGCCACTGATGGGTTCAAACATCTGGAGGCGAGCTGTCCCTCGGTGTTGACTGACCTTGTCAAGGTTGCCCGTGGAAGAAAGAATTAAAATGCAGGTACGTGCGTATCAGAGATGTCATAGCTGAACTGTTCTATTGTGAAATTTTCTCTAGGATTTGGCAATGCATCATCTCTGTTTGTGCTAGAAGTTTTGATTGATTCTTCCCAGTCATGGAGTAGTGCATACTTTGTACAAGCCCATTATTTGTCACTACTCACTAGTACTAGCTAGTATTACCTTGGTCATTCTTGTATTTTTCTCACGTGTTAGTACAATACTACTACTGCACTGCAGAAATATGCTTCTGCGTTTCAAGCCTTTCAGGCTATGAGAACATGCCTGTTGCCACTAGTAATCAGTACGTTTATTTTTCAGAAACATTTCTTTAAGCAGGAGAACCTGTTTTTTTTTTTTCAGAATCATCACTAGCTTCGCTCTGTTCTTAATATTTATTTATGGGCCATTTGGCATCTGAGCAAAAATTTTCCTATTGTGCAGGTAATAAGCAGAGAAGATTTCAAGTTGCTCCTGGATGCTGGCGATGAGCTGCTGCGGACTTGCTGAGAGCAAACAAATCTTCAATTTGCTTATATGTTTGCTCTATCCTTTTCTTTTGTGATTTTGCCATTGGATCTGTTGTGTGATGCCCATGATCATACGGTTCTCTTCTGCAGTGGGCAATTCGTAGTAATTAGACGCAACCCTGTCTAATCCCTCTGCTACTCTGTCTGTGTAGGGCCTTTCATTTCAGTTTAATCTGTAATTGAAACGGGTATATCCCGGTTCAGAAAAACATATTGGAGTAGTTCTCGCCTTCAAAGAATCAAATCCCTCTGGGGAAAATAGATTGACATTTAGGAATGGAGAGGCACAATGCAGTGATCAGTTTTCAGGCTCATTGCCGGTCAGTTTTGGCAGGGAGATCTGAAACAATGATAAACCTTGGTTCTGAAAATTTTGTGCTAAAACTTGTTTTGTTGCAAAACCTGATTTTGCACAGTTGAACTGCTGACTCAGGATCAAATTTATTCCATTTCTCATTTCTCATAAAGAAATTTGCTCTTCAATGTACGATGGAGTTTATTTTCCTTTGAACCTGCATAATAATATACCGGTACGTGTTAATGACAGCAGATTGGACACAGCAGGTCTTGAACTCTTGATGAACGAAACATCCCCGGCCCAACCGAGGATCACGCGGCCCACATCAAGGATTCGGCCGACGCGATGTCCACGTCATCGCTGGCTGCCACGACAGTATGGATTGGACAAGCTCAAATTTTATTTTTCAATGTTCAATGGAGGTTTTTTTTTCTTTTTTCAGAAAACCTAGACAACGGTATCCTGTTGGAACGGGATACTCTTCTATAAGACATACCTGTTGTGGTACCAGCTACATAGTACCCGATAACTGTGATACCTGTTACCCAACACCTGTAATACCTAGGATCTGATACCTATGATACTCGTGCAAGAGAATAATTAATATGTCTATCCTGTTGCAACGGGATCCCGTAGCAGCCCTCTCCTTTTTTGGGCTCAGAACCTCCACAGATACCTGTCCGTTTGTAGAATCCCATAAGAATTCGTCGACACTGCGGCGGTGCAATATCATTGCAAATCTCCGGCTCGTCTAAAAGTTCAGTTCATCAAGGGGACAAATTAAAAGGAGAAAAAACGAAAAATTAGTTGGATGTTCATTGAAATTTTTAGGGATTGATGGTTTAGCCCTTGTTGTTTACCTTGTTTCCGAAACATTTGTATATTTCTGGTTTGCTTTTGCGAACTATACCTGTTATTAATTGTAGATGGTGGGTACTAAAACAGACTCCTGTAACAAGTTATGTCTCTTTGTAAATCTAGTGATAAAACGTTTCGATTTGAAATCCACGAAGGGATATATATATAGCCGGTAGTTAACGCTCGATCGACGCCTGAGCCCAGAGACATGGAGAACGCCGCCATCAACCTCACGCAGGCGGCGCGGCGCGTGTAGCTGCTCAGGATCAACGGGTACTCGGCGACCGCGAACAGGCAAAATTTGGTCACGTCGTGTACGATCGCCGTGGGCGGATACGACTGGCTGATCGAGGTCTTCCCGGCCGCTTACTACCACGGCACCAGCTCCCGCAACTCCGGCCCCTACATAAAGCTGCGCTTCACCTTGTCGAGCGACGGCGAGCGCACCGTGTCGGCGACGTTCAGATGCCGCCTTGTCGATGATCATCAGATCAATCAAACCGCCGCGTCCGCATCCAGCTCTTTCAAGGAGGTGATAGTGACATCCATCTTCTCCAATGGCCAACCAAAGGACATGTTCTTGGTGTCGAGGAGCTATGCGTCTGAATACAGATACGTCCAACCAGACGACTCCTTGCTGATCGAGTGCGCGATCACCGTTCTGCTCGAAGCACCAGTGAACGCGGCGGCAAGCGTTCCGGCGCCTCTCTCCGACCTGCAGAAGCACCTCGGCGAGATGCTGACGAGCAAGAATGGCGCCGACATCACGTTCCTCGTCTCCGGCGAGCCTGTCGCGGCGCACAGGTGCGTGCTCGCCGCGAGGTCGCCGGTGTTCATGGCCGAGCTGTTCGGCGACATGAAGGAGAAAGACTCGCAGAGCATCGAGATCAAGGACATGGAGGCAGAGGTCTTCAGGACCCTGCTCCACTTCATCTACACCGACACTTTGCCGGAGCAAGATGACGACGACGTCGAGGCTGAAACAATGGCGTATGGTCTTCTCGAAGCCGCGGATCGGTACGGCGTGGAGAGGCTGATGCTGATCTGCGCGGAGAAGGTGCACGCTGGCATTAGCGTGGACACCGCCGCGATGGCGTTGGCTCTGGCGGAGCGCCATGGATGTACCAAGCTCAAGGCTAGGTGCATCGAGTTCATCTTGGCTTCTCAGGAGAATTTCCACGCAGTCGCTGCAACGGAGGGTTACAAGCTTCTCATGGATAGCTGCCCCTCTGCTCTGAATGACCTTCTAGTGGCTGTTTTTCTGAGGTACAAATTAACTGTTCTGTAACCGGAACATGTACGGGATAGAACAACGTTCCTAGATAGAGTTGAGTATTGCGAGCTCGAGATTTGAAGAAGAAAATAGTGAATTTTCCCAATTACAATACTCCATCAGTTTTAATTTATTTATTGTTCTAGCATTTAACTTTTTTTAAAAAAAATATTTATCTTTCTCGCATTTCAAATCATTTTTACTTTGGCCCGTTCTAACTTTATAAAGATACATATTTTTTTCTCGTTTTCCGTTGGCACGCTTTTCAAACCGTTAAACGGTGTATTTTATGCGAAAAATTTCTATATATGTGACCTTTCCTCATGTTATTGATTAGGGTCGCAGACTCGTAATGCGTACTCCCTTTCATATTGTTTATTAGGGTCGCAGACTCGCAATGCATACTCCGTTTCATATTGAAAAAACATTTTGACTTTTTTTAAGTCATACTGCTATTTATGTCTCATTAGTTTTTTCTATAAATTTAGTCAAACTAAAAGAAGTTGACTTTTAGAAAAAACACGATATAAAAAGGAGGGAGATAGGGAATAGATCAGACAAAGCAAACAATTGTAGGATAATTTCTCAGGATATGAAAATCACTAGGATGCTTGATGTAGTGAGAGCATGTCTAATGTATAATTTCTCAAGAGTGTAAAGGTGGGATCCACTTGTGTCATAGCAACTATAGATGAAAAGTCCATCAACGTATAAAATCCACCATTGATCATATAGTTCACAACATATAAGATAGCTTCTTTGTTGGTTTAGCGGTAACTGGTCTGGTGTTAGGTTTCTCTTAGGTTTTATATAGGCACTATCGGGCTTGGTGTGGTGGTGGTGGTTTTTTTCTTTCCTGGTTAATGTTTTACAGGGTGCTAGCCTTGCAATTTTTGAACCTAAGAAATCAACCATATGCCAGCAATTTTTGACAGAAAAGTGAAGTAGAGACTTCTAGCTAAATATTGTGGCTAAGTGGCTTACTCAAAGTACTTTAAGTTGGCAAGTCAAATATTAAAGTAATGGAGTATATGTTAGTCAAACTTACTTAACTGAAGTGCTACTACGAATTAAACACGTCTATATCTTACTCTAGTGGATAATTTATTTTAATGGTTACTAGAAAGGCATGCCCAAAGCCATCAATCTGTTATAAAAGGAGTATAATTTGTTATAAAAAGAGTATGTTATAGGTAGCTTCTTTGTTAGTCTAGTGATGAGTTTTGTGTTAGTTTTCTTCTAGGTTTTGTATAGACGCTGCTCGGGTGGTTATTTTTCTTTTCTTTTCTGATTAATATTTTATATGATGTTAGTCTAGTAATTTTTTTTAACTCAATCACTTGCTGCCATTATTCAACAGTTTTCTATTGAGATCTATCCCGTAAATAAATCATGGCACCGTCTCATATTAGTTGTTAATGAAAAAAATTGTTCAAAACTCCAGTACAATCTGAGTCGTCCACTCGTCCATACCAGAACAAATCCTTTCATCCAAAACCCACGGCGCCGAAAGCGTAAACCCCGAAAGGTCCAAAACCTTTGACGTGCAGTGGGACCCACATTTCGTCTGGCTCCACATGCCACTGGCACACGTATCAAGGAGCCTGACAGGTGGCACAACTGCAGGCAACGACGATATAAAGAAAAGCCCAGCACCTTCCCGTGCCTTCCTCGTATCCAAACTCTCCTTTACCCCAATCTCGTGAGCGGCGACGAACTTTGCCACCGATTTCGATCCTTTTTTTTGGCAGGTAAATCTTACCTCATCTCCCCTGATCGCTCCGATTTATGGATTGCAAGGCCGTCGTGCGAATTTTTGAGATTTTCGGGGTCGGATTTGGTGCAGCGTGTAGTGACGCGAGAGAGAAATGGCGAGCAAGAGGAGCGTGGGCACCCTGACGGAGTCGGATCTGAAGGGGAAGAAGGTGTTCCTCCGCGCCGATCTGAACGTGCCGCTGGATGACAGCCAGAAGATCACCGACGACACCCGCATCCGCGCGTCGGTTCCCACCATCAAGTTCTTGATGGGGAAGGGCGCCAAGGTCATCCTGGCCAGCCATCTGGTGAGGATTACTACGTTGCTATAATGTGTTTGAGCATGAGGTTGTGTGATATGTGAGATTGGTGGTCCGTTTTGGATGATGTGACATGCTATATAAACAGTATCGATTTTATGATTCATCAAAGGGTGATAGGTTCACAGTGAATTTTAAGTGGTAACTATGTGCAGATTCATGGTTACGATAGGAGGTTAAGGTGTCAATATAAATTTAATACTGTATTTTTAGACTGATTACAGTGAGCGATGATTTCACAGAGTAATGTTTTGAGTGATCTTTTATTTATCTTGCGATTTTACTACCAGAATGTGGCATTTGTTACTTAATTGTGTTGTTATTATGTATATCTAATTTTGATACAAATACCTATTAATGGTTTCCATCAATGCCCAACACTTGCTTGCAAGAGGCACAATTCCCTTTTACAAAATCACTGTAATGCACCACGGTTTCTTTAAACTTTGGTTCTCCTATGTTGTGTAAGTCAAATGCAAAATCCACCTCTGTAACATTTTGGTTATAGAAAGAGCCACATGTTTAAAGTGCAGTAGTCCTCAAAAATCCCCATGCCATATAATTGGGTTATGTTAAAATGGCAAATGAAACTGAAATTGTATGTTCAAAAAAGGGCAGCAGCTAACCGTGTTTCTATGCTTGGGATAATGTTCTTTCGCCCCCCTTTTTGTTTTCTCTTGTCCTCTGTTGTAATGCAATCAATTTTGTCTTTTCAGGGTCGCCCAAAAGGTGTAACCCCGAAGTACAGCTTGAAGCCTCTTGTTCCGCGCTTGTCTGAGCTTCTTGGTGTTGATGTATGCTATAAAAGGATAAATCATATTTATTATTCTGCAATTCTGCTTACTACAAACTGGTAGACCATCTTATATTTCCATGTTTTGATGATGTCCTTGTCGTAGGTTGTGATGGCCAATGACTGCATCGGTGAGGAAGTCCAGAAATTGGCTGCCACTTTACCAGATGGTGGTGTTCTGCTTCTAGAAAATGTTCGGTTCTACAAGGAGGAAGAGAAAAATGACCCTGAATTCGCCAATAAGCTGGCATCTGTTGCTGACCTTTATGTAAATGATGCCTTTGGCACAGCACACAGAGCTCATGCTTCAACAGAGGGAGTTACGAAGTATTTGAGACCTTCTGTTGCTGGTTTCCTCATGCAGAAGGTATTGCACAAGTTTCCTTACTTTGTGCATTGCTCAAGATTTTCACCATCTGAACTGTTTTGACATAACTGTTTGGTGAACATAATTTCGTTTGGTGTTTACTTACTGATATACTCCATTTAGAACAATGAAACTCCTTCAAGTTGCAAGCAGCAGATGGCTTGCAGCAGTACTTGAGTGACAAGTTGCAAGACATGTTGAAATCAACTACATTCTTTTTGCCAAATTGCATATTGTCTTTTAAATTGTATCCGCAATGAATTCAAGCTGTTTTTCCTTGAGATTTTTTGAAATATGTAATCCTTTTAAAATTTTGTAGTAACTGTCCTCACCAATCTAGGAACTTGACTATCTTGTTGGAGCTGTTGCCAACCCCAAAAAACCATTTGCTGCCATTGTTGGTGGATCCAAGGTGTCAACAAAGATTGGGGTGATTGAGAGTCTTTTGGCAAAGGTTGACATCCTCATACTGGGTGGTGGTATGATCTATACATTTTACAAGGCTCAGGGATACGCTGTTGGAAAATCTCTTGTGGAGGAAGACAAGCTCGAATTGGCTACCTCGCTTATTGAAAAAGCCAAGTCAAAGGGAGTCTCCCTATTGCTTCCAACTGATATTGTAGTAGCTGATAAGTTTGCTGCGGATGCAGAGAGCAAGGTTTGTTCATTACCTCGTGAATGGCACTGCATAAGAATTTCATTTCACTGCATCATACAATCATAGTTGAATATATGAAAATGGTTTTTCAGTAGCACAACATTGTAAATGTGAACTTGCTGCCATGGCAATGTTCTTTTGAAGTAGTCATTCATAAATCATGGCTTAAATTCACTGCGTCATATGCCAAATATCTGCATTCAGCATTCGCCTTCTGTATGGCCAGTTGCCTGGTAAATGGATTCAGCAAACAAACAATATCAGAGAGTACTTGCGACTACAATTCTGCAGTTATCCTGTAGAACTGACAATATGAAACCATATGCAGACTGTTCCAGCATCTGCTATCCCTGATGGTTGGATGGGCCTTGATATTGGCCCAGACTCCATCAAGACTTTCAGTGAAACTTTGGATACTACCAAGACTGTCATCTGGAATGGGCCTATGGGAGTGTTCGAGTTTGAGAAATTCGCTGCTGGCACTGATGTGAGTACTGTTTTTGAACAGATTTATCAGCACAGGTTTTTGTGTTTGAAGCTAAATGTGTTCTTAATCAATTCAGGCAATTGCCAAGAAATTGGCTGATATCACCGCCAAAGGTGTTACAACGATCATTGGAGGTGGCGATTCTGTTGCTGCTGTCGAGAAGGCCGGGTTGGCGGACAAGATGAGCCACATTTCAACGGGAGGTGGCGCGAGCTTGGAACTGTTGGAAGGCAAGACCCTCCCAGGAGTCCTTGCTCTTAATGACGCATAAGACTGGTGGCAAGCATATGACGCAATTTCCCTAGCCTTTTGCGGTGGTCTTGTTCGGACCTTGGTGTAAGTTTGTAAGAATGCAAAGTCAGTCGTCTGCTACCTTTGAACTTGAAATAGGCTTCGCTTCAGGTATTGCTAGATGACAGTGAATAATAATAAGCTTTTGGCGTCCTCGGCATGAGAGAAATGCCCGGCACAAACAAACTATAATGGTGTACTATATTTTGCCATATTCTAGTTGCAGCAGTTTACACTAAGCTATAATATCGCTCTTGCTGTTATGAATGAGACCTGTACATGTTGTGTATGGAGACAAATGCCACTGTGCATACTGTTTTAAGCCTTCTCAGGTGAAGCTTCTGGGCTGCCAGTTTGGTTTTGGGCGTTGGTATGTTGCTTTCAGATTCTATGTATCATCCAAAGCTAACTTTGTGAATAGAACTTGATGATGAATTCGTTGCAATTAGATGTCATGGAACGTGAGGATGGCTAGCTGTTTCTCAAGACCTTTTCTGCCATTAGTTTTCTGCAGTAGGCTTTTCCAATGTGCAAGATACTGGACCGAAACCTGGCACGATCTGTGTCGCTGTTAATCACAAATAGAAGAATCTTATCATATGTTGTCAGAGTTAATGCAGCATGGACGCTGCATGGCCTTTCGGAGGCAAGGATCACATTTGCACATGTAGATGTGTTACGCTAACCTGTGACGATATTATGGTCGTGTCCCCCAGGCTACATGCCCATGTGTTCACCGACATCTCTTCATGCTTAGACTGTACTACTGCTATTAAGTTTTGGTTGATAAAAAGGAACAAAAATTGTGGTACTCCTACGTACTATTGCACTTCAAAGCTGCTCACACCACATGTTTCAGGGCTTCAGATATGACACCTCTTACATATGTCATACAGTATTTGATATGTCCTCTCAATAATTAAAATTCACAGGAACTATAGCAATGCTTAATCCAATGTGATATGAGTCATTTTATTATTAGCTATTATTTTGGGGAAAGAGGATGCTTTCCGGAAGATGAACATGAGAAGCACACATTGTGATTATGGAGTCGCTAAAATCGTGTAGGAGCACATGCATATGGCCAATGCTTTCTCTAAAAAACAAAAACCATTTCAAGCGGCCAATGGCCAATGCTTTGCATTTTTTTTTCTTTTCTGAAAATCACATTCTCTGTAGAATATTGTCACAGTGTCGAGGACAGCAGTTGCGCTCCCTAGATGTAGCTGAAAGGATTTATGGCTCCTGTCGTGATGTTGCCTGAAACACTTAACAGTACAGATGTAGAACTGCAGAAGCAAGTTCAGATGAACTAACAATGTCCCTGGAGCATTGTTTTTTTGTGAAAATGTATATATAGCAGTGTAGTAAATGTGTCCGAGGAGGAAATGGGGGACAAAATTGCTCAGAGTTCCAACTGAGAATGTATCAACAGTTGTGAGATTAGATAGCAATATATCGTACTGTATCAAATCATCAAGTGCACACAAAGAAGAAAACCATGTTCAAGAGAAAATGAGAAGTATATGGCTAATAGTTTAATCGTTACAGGAACAAAGAACACTGACCTCCTTTCTCCATAGTCCATAGAAGTTCGGGAAAAGGTTGCATCATATAGCTTGTCAGCTTATAGTGATGACCTGCTGAGAAATCACAGTCAAAAAAGAACTACAGATCAACAGCTCGATGGATCAGAAACAAATTGCATGACAAAACAAGATAACATCGATCAGCAACCTACCTTAAGACAATTACGAACCTGTGATCGAAGACTGGAGCCCCGATGAGATGGTTTTGCTGGTAGTGAGAGAGTGAAGCTGCAACATGATCTGATCGATGAAATTAAAGACATGGATGCCTTCAAACCGATCAAATCCATACATAGCTCAGAACAACGAATGCAGATCGAGATCAGAACTGCAGTAGCAGCTCCTGGCTGAATTCAATATATTCAGCAGTGCAACTCATGGACCAGATCATGCTGGCAGCTTCAGCCTCTCACACCAGCAAGAACTAATATCTTCTGACCAAAGAAAAATGCGTGCTCAAACGATACTTCTGGCATTGTGTCAATCCATCCATCTATATGTATATCATCAGTGGCAATTTCGGTAGGGCAGTGAGACAAAATCTTGCGAGCGCCATGCATGGATGGAGGTCGACTCATCAAGACTTGCAGCTAGGTATGGTCCCTCGCGTTCTCGCCCACCCACCCCTCGTGATGCTGCCGTTCAGCGCGTGCTCGATGCATTCAGCTTAGCTGTACTGTGATGTACGCTCTCGTATCCGTCTCTGTGGACTGTCCTTGCTTGCACAGCGCCTTAGATGAGTTCGATCGATCGATCTCCAGCTGCTGATAATTTTGCGCATTCGGCGCCGTTGGTTTCAACGTGATGTTTACAGTGAAATTCCTATGGGAAATTTGCTGCTTCTCGAGGCTGATTGCTGTAGTAATTTCTTCTTCTTCTTTTTTTTTGTTTTGTTGGTGGGAGTATTTTGGGCTAAAATTAGCGTCAATCAAGGTGCGAACTGTTGATCTTGTACCTGGAATAGATCGAAAAATGTACTACATATATAGATAGTGGGAATGAGCTGTTATTGACTAATCACATTGGGTTCCAGTACGCAATAATTTCATTAGGACGATAATGACGACCTAACCACTTAATGAAACTTTAACATATTTTACGTTTTCTAACCGAAATGACCTTTAATTTCTCGACCAATTCTAAAAAAAAGGGAAAAGAGAGGGGCGTTGCTAATGGCCGGCGATCACCCCCATCCCCCTATACGCTCCTCTCCCCCCTTTCTCCTCCCCTTTTTCTCTTCCTACTACACCATAATTTTTTTAAAAAAAATAAAAAAAAGTTAGAAAAATTTATGTATAGAAATACTATATATATAAAAAATATTTGAATTTAAATTTAAATTTGAATCGGGTATATAAACTTTTGACTTATATACTTTGGGTCTATAAACTTTATATGTATAAACTTTAGATGTATAGAAATACTATATATAAAAAATATTTGAATTTAAATTCAAATTTGAGTCGGATATATAAACTTTTGACTTATAAACTTTGGGTCTCTAAACTTTAGGTGTATAAACTTTAGATATGTAAACTTGAGGTGTACAAAGTTTAGGTGTATAAATTTACTAAAATAGAAAAGTAATACAGTGCCAAAAAAGAAAACCACATGGAGGAGGAGGGTGATCGCTAGGGGCAATCGATCGCCATTAGCATTTTCGAAAAGAGAGAGAGAGGGGGGGGGGAGAATATCTCTTCAAGCTGTCAGTGGCAAACTGGTAACCTACACAGTTAAGCCCAATTCAACATGGACCTGAAATACTGCCCATTAACAAAACCCCATTAATAGAAAGCCCATTATTCTCCCTCTTTCTCTCTCGGAATAAGTTTACCTGAGGTCCCTTAACTTGTCAACGAATCCGATTTTCGTCCTTCAACCGGAAGACCAGATACAACGGGTCCCTCAACTATCAAAACCGGTGCAAAGCAGGTCCCTCAGCGGTTTTGATGGTGGTTTTGGCTGATGTGGCGCCTACGTGGCCGGTTGACTTGGTCCTCGTCCTACGTGACGGTGATGTAGCACTAGAAGCAAAATATAAAAATAAAAAATAAAAACAACAATGTGGGGCTCACATGTCAGTCAGACAAAAGGAAAAAACAGTGGGACCCACCATCCTCTCTATCCACGGCGACGGGAGAGGAGCGACCGGCGCGTCCTTCTCTCTCCCTCCCGGCCATCCTTCCTCGTCGGCAAGCGCGCACGGAGAGGGGAAAAGGCAGCGGATCCACTGGTCGTTTCCCGCCGTTGGTGTTAAACATGATATTTACAATGGGATTTGATCCAGTGATAGAGGTGAATGTAATCAACATGAGCATGCTTAACGTAGAATAAGCATCAACAATCACATAATAACGCAATGTTGACATTGCGATGAACATTAACAGTAAAACTTCTAATTGAAATAATGTAAGAAGGTTATACCCAAGAATGGTCCTCCGCTAGAGTTTGAGGCAGTGTTGCCTCCGTTGGTGTTGTCGGGAGCCTCCTTCTCCTTGTCTCCAGTGTTGCCGTTGTCTCCAGTGTTCGACATGTTGGTGAAGATGAAGTAGACATTGACGAACAATGAGTAGTCGCGCCTTGCGCTCCCCAAAAACCTGATCACCCGCCCGTCCGTGCAAACGTCGTAGCAGTGCATGGTTTGCATGGTTTCGGAGGCCTACTCTCCCAACGCGTGTGCACACACTCGTCGGGATGGGATTATTGTAGCAGCAACAGCCTTGGAAATGGATGAAAGTGTGTCTCACTTCTTCTTAGGGAGATCAAATCCATTCTCATTTTATAGAAGGAATGGAAGATGAAGGGTAAGAGTCATGGAATAATTAATTCTCATCAATTAGCCATCAACCATCCTCCACTACACAACCATCAACCAACCATTAATGAGGAGTAATTGATGTAGGTTACCAATGGAATAGGAAGAGGAATAGAGCAACTAATTGTCATCAACTAGCCATGAACCATCCTCCACTACACAACCATCAACCATCCATCAATTAGGAGTAATTGATATAAGTTACCAATTCCCTAGTCAAATGGATTAATTCTCATAAACTCTTCATCCCATTGATATCCCATAAGAAAATGAATACACATGAATTCCTAGCATAATTCCTAGCATAATGAGCCTTGGAATTTATTTGATTTAAATGGATCAATTACCCAATTAAATCTAACAGTGTTCGGTTTGGATCCGCGCGCCGTCTGAGTTTTCATTTTGGATCTTGCGTGGGTGCAAGGAATCGGGCCGGCTATTGATTGGGATTTGATCAGAGTTCGCCGTTGCGCGCCGTCTTTTTCTCGCATGGCGAGCGTGGTAGATCCGCTGGTCTCTCTCTTTCACTGCGCGCCTCTTCCTCCGCCGTTGGTATTCGGTTTGGATCCGCGTGCCGTCTAAGTTTCCGTTTTGGATCTTGCGTGGGTGCGAGGAATCGGGCTGGTTATTGATGGATCCAAACCGAACACCAACGGCGGGCAGCTACCAACGGATCCGCCGCCTTTTTCCCTCTCCGTGCGCGCTCGCCGGTGAGGAAGGATGGCCGGGAGGGAGAGAGAAGGACGCGTCGGCTGCTCCTCTCCCGTCGTCCGTGTACAGAGAGGATGGTGGGTCCCACTGTTTTTTTCCTTTTATCTGATTGATATGTGGGCCCCACATTTTTGTTTTTATTTTTTATTTTTATATTTTGCTTCCCGTGCCACATTACCGCCACTTATGACAAGTACTAAGTCAAACCGGCCGCGTAGGCGCCACATCAGCCAAAACCACCATCAAAACCGTTGAGGGATTTGCTTTGCACTGATTTTGATAGTTGAGGGACCCGTTGTATTTGATTTTCTGGTTGAAGGATGAAAATTGGATTCGTTGACAAGTTAAAGGGACCTCAAGTGAACTTATTCCTTCTCGCTCTTCAAGGACTCGGAGCCGCGGGGTTGGTCCATTCGCAGAGCTCAGCGGTGGAATTAGCTCGAAGCTCGATCATGGCCGCCGCCGCCGGGCTTGCCGCGCCGCCTCCTACCTCCCGGATTTCCTCCTTCCCCAGGGCTTTCTCCACCGGTATGGCATCCGCCCCCTCTCCCGTCTCGCCATTTTATCCCTTCCTGTATCTCGTGTAGTTGCCGAGTTGGGTAGTTGTGGTATGGCCTATGGGGAATTGGGGATCAAAGGTTCTGCGCGTTGGAACGGGGTGACTCGGCTGTTTCTGCTCTAAGTATCGGGTTTCGGAAGGAAGCATGCTGTCAAATCTGAATTTCTGTGATGAGTTTGCTGCATTGCTTGTGTGCGCGTCAAGATTTGTGCAGTTCGTTTGGAGGAGACTTTTGTGTGCAAATCAGAACAAAAAGTAAAGCTATTATTTGGAGGATTCTGGTATCGAGATCTAAGAATGTATGGAGGATGCATGTCATGGTAATTAGATTGTTAAGAGGAATTATCAAGTCAGATGAAAACATCTGTGTGGGTTGCCTTTTTGTTCCATACGAAACGGTTGTATCTATAACAGTTTTCAGAAATAAAAATAGGTGAATAAATCTTTTGATTAATACCGTTGCATAGCCTGACATCCAAAAGCGACTACGTAGACTACTTGATTACTGTGCACTTGCACGAGCTATTTATATTCGTGGTCGCCGACTAATATGAACCTAAATCTATTATATCATCTATCTACTAGGTGCACTTTGGTGCTAGTTGAACCCATCATTGATGCACCTGTATACAATCTTCTGTTGCAGCCTCTGATGATCAATTTTTCAAGCTTTTCCGGCAGCCCATTATTTGGCAATGACTCAACACATGGGCATGAATCAATCTCGAGCTGCTTGAGAGTGTATATTTTGTGCAGTTCACTGGGAAGAGAATGTAGATTGCAGCATTGTATAAACCCAAGATCTTGCAGAGAGGTTAAGAGTAGAAGTGCCTGCACCTGTTGTCTTGAGAGGGAAGTGACCCTGAAATCCGAATGAATTGTTAGCTTCTTCAGAGAAGTGAGCACTGCACACAAAGGGGAGTTGAGGAATAAGGTGCTGTCAACTGTAAGAGATTCCAGTGAGGTAGTAACTTGACCCCACTCTGCATATCTGGATCCTAACAGTTCACTCCATGCTTCAGCAAAACTTGATGCATTGGTCACTTCCAAATCCCTAAGAGCAGTGAAATATTGTCGGTCAAAGAGTTTTCTTAGTGATACACAATTGTGTATTACCAGAGATTTTAATGATCTTAGGGGACTAAGATCAAGAGATGTTATTTGTGGACAATCTGATATAGATAAACTTGAAGGACAGATTTCATTCTCCAAAATTGCTGACAATAATTCATCAGTAATACCATACCCTGTGACTTCAACTTTCTCTGCTGATGTTTGTAGAGAATTTACCATGTGTTCAGAATTACATGCTGATGGTTCTGTCTTTTGCTTGCAGGGGTGTACAGAAAGACTGTCCTGTGCCCAAATATGAAAACTAGACACATGTTTTAGCCAATGCAATTGTAGAACAGCATTTATTGGGCCTGAGCTAGTATTAGCATTGATTTCAGAAACCTCAAGACAGCCACCACGCAAATTTATCACTGTTTGTCCCCAAATTTGAATGTCTATATCAAGGAGCCAAGGCAAGCGTGGAATAAGGAGGGCTTCTGACAGCACCAATTCAGGACAGTATTTGATGTTGATTTTACCAAGCTTTGGGAACCAACACTTGTTTTCTCTACTCCATAGAAAACTAGGAATTCTACTCAGCTTGGGACAATCTTCTACAGTCAAACTGGTCAGGCTAGGGAAAACATTGGAGTCATCTACATTCCAGTCTTCCAATTCTGGCATTGTTTTGATAAATAGCCCTTCCAAACATGGAAACCCCACCACCTGACCACTGCTATAGAACTCAGAGCCAATTCTTCTTAGCGCGTGCATATTGACTATATGCAGCTTCCTAAGGTGAGGGAGGAGTCCCAGTGGAGGAAGAATTTCCAATTCAGAACAATAATCTAGATAAAGATATTCTAGTGAGCTAAGGCTGAGATTACTAGCAAGCCATGATGGGGTAGTACTGCCCCTATAGCCTGTAATATGGAGACAACTTACATTTGAATGTGGTGCAAGACCTTCCAGGACGTGGTATTGTTCTGAAGGCTCTTGTACACAAGAACCGGCACTCCATGACAGCCACAGCTCAGTTAGGTGCCTTTTGTCACTCAATCTAGCCTTTGCTGCTTCTTCATTGCCATCAACATTCTCGAGATTCTGAACTTTCAACAAACCTCTTAGGTTCCTCAACCTTTTCAGTTGTCCAATGTCAAAGCCCCTGGTTTTCCTAACACAGAACTTATCCAACAGAAGCAAGGAAGTCATATTGCCAACACATGGAACTCCTGTGAGTAAATGTTTTCCTTCATCAGCAATCAGATGCTCAAAGTTTAATAAGTTGGCTATCCTTGGAGGTAAATGAAGAAGGCACGGACAGTGCTTTATGTTCAAAACTTGTAGTAGGTAAAGCTTGCATACGGCTTCAGGTAATTCTTCAAGGCGTGACCATCTGAGGTCTAGGTAACGCAAATGTATGAAGTTACTAACTGCTGCAAGTTGCTCTTTTCGGAAAGTGCAGGGCAGAGACAACAGTCTGATAGTACTAGGCCAATTGCTCTGGACAAAGACTACCTCAGAACCTGGAGACCAAATTGATGAAGAGGCAGAGAACATTATAGTCCGCAAATTTTTTAGATGCAGCAAGCCAGCCCATGAGTTCTTTTGGATGCGGCGTTTCATCTGAATACCAGAACAATCGAGTGGATGACATAAGCCCATATCACGAGCATGATCAGAATGAGAGATATACAAGTGACAAGCCTCAACTGAGATAGGGAATTTACCATTAGTTGCCTGGAATTCCCCTTCTGCAACAAGTTGAGCAAGATCATGTAACAACCCAGGTATCATGTAGTGGCCACTCTCGATTATATGGAAGAATGAGCAACTGAGTAACTCGTTAAGGTACTCCTTTCCTACATCTTCCAATGTCTGATCCTCTCCAGGTGTTGGAACAAGGCCTTGTGCCATCCAAGCAAATATAAGCTCTTGCTCAGTGAACTTATAGCCTCTTGGAAATATGGCACAATAGGTGAAACATCGCTGCAAGCTTAGAGGGAGATGCTGATAACTCAACAACAAAACCGGCATAACGTCGTCAGGCTCTTGTTTTAGTTCCCATATGTTTCTATTCAGAAACTTGCACCAATGCTCCTCCTCGTGGTTTTCCGAAAGGAATCTCCCCATGGTCTTGGCAGCCAAGGGGTTGCCATACAACTTGAGAGCTATTTTCCTGCCTATTCGAGCCAAGCTGTGGTCCTCTGTGATGTTTGTGCACTGTAGGAAGAAAGCCCAAAATTCATTATCATGTAAACCGTGCAGTGTCAAACTGTCAAATGTGCCCATGGCCTTGGCGATTTTTCTCTGTCGCGTTGTAACTAAAACCATGCTTCCAGACATCCCCGCGGAGAAGGGACCACAAAGCTTCTCCCAGTGGCTGCTGACCCACACATCATCAAGGACAATCAAGAACCTCTTCCCTTCAATTTTCCTCAGTAGAGTTCTCTGAGTTGCATCAAGACTAGGCACTCTATGAAACTTGGGAGTTTCTTGGCCACCATCGATCGAATCTATCAAATCTGCTATAACTCTGCGCACATCAAGAGTATCAGAAACGCATGCCCAGGCTCTCACTTGAAATGAATCAACTACTCTTTGATGATTGTAGACAGACTGGGCAAGAGCAGTCTTACCAACTCCACCAATGCCAACAATGGGAAGAACATTGAAGTTATTGTACCTAGACTCCATATCTGTTCTAAGCATAAGGTTTATGATGTTGTTGGTAGACTCATCTCTCCCAAACAACTTAGTTTCAGTGGGAAAGGAGCTTGTCTGCCGCAGACTTACCACCACCTCTGGTTGTACATGCCCTAAGCTCGCCATCGACACCAACTTGTCGAGCTCGATGATCCTCCGCACCATGCCAGCAATCTGCTCGAGGCAGCAGGATATCGATTTGATCTTGGAGGACATTGCATCCTGATCGAAGTTGGGGGTGTCCGTGTCAGCGCCCTGCCCTTGCAAGGCTTCGTCGGCGCCCGTCCTGGCTCGCTTGAATGGATTGGACAGGAGAGGCGCAGGCACCAGTATGCGGCCGACCACCTGGCGAGCCGACGACGACGGTGCGCCGCCGTCGCGGCCACTGGTGTCCTCGACGAGCTCCTTGAGGCGGTAGTACTCCATCTCGTCGAGCACGTTGTCGGCGGCGTAGGCAGCGGATTTGAGCTCCACGATGAGGCTGCGCAGGGAGTCGTTGTGGGGGGCGTTGCCGCCGCCGCCTGCCTCGAGCATGGCACGGACCATGTGGAGCTGGTTCTTGAGGCTGAGGAAGTCGCCGTGCAGGCCCGAGCGAGCAGCCCACTGCTCGAGCTTGGAGCCGTAGTACTTGTCGAAGACGACCTGCAAGAACCCACCAACGACGCCCGCGGCGGCCGCAACATCCATCGCTGCCGCTGCGAATGACTGCAAACAAACAGCGGAGGTGACGAGGTCGATAGGTAGCAAATTTTGCAGAGTTCTTCCAGCTTGCTAGTTCAGTTTGCGGTGGTTAGCTTTAGGTGAGGTAGTGTGTTTGTTACATTTTGTAGTTTTATTAGTCCGATTTACTCCCTCCGTTCCAAAATATAACAAATTTTATCTCTTAGAATTTATTCTAAAATATAACTTCTCTACCAATATTTTCTTCTAACTAATTACAACCCTCCGTCATTCATTTTTCTCACCTATCTCCACTACTTATCCGATCACAACCCTACATCATTCACTTCTAACTATTTTCTTAATAACTGTGTCCAACTTTAAAATTTTTATATTCTGTAATGGAGGGAGTAATTAATTAATTAATTGGGTCCGGTTTGATCTTGATTCCACTAAATGAAGGCATTTCCTCTTTCTTCGCAATATAATACTGGTAATCTGTCGTAATCTTTGAAGAAAGGGAGCAACAAAACAAACACACCAGTACACTACTGATTGTTATTCTGAAGTAGTATTATTGGTGCTTAAGGGCCCCTTTGAATCACAGGAATGAAGAAAACGGAGGAATAGGAAAAACATAGGATTCTGACAGGAATGTAAGTGTGAAACAGAGGATTGCAAAACACAGGAAAAATATAGGAATGACCATTTGATTGGACCACAGGAAAAACACAGGAATTTAAGGAGAGATAAAAACTCAAAGGATTTCTTCTATGAGGTTCTACATCTTATTAAAATTCCTCCAAAACTTGTACGGGAAGAGGCATTCCATAGGAATTTCATAGGATTCCATAGGGTTCATTCCTTTGATTCAAAGGACTTTGTAGGAAACATTTCTATAGAAATGAAATCCTCTAAAATTCCTATAAATTTTCTTTGAAGGGGCCTAAAGAATGATTAAGCTATCTTCCGGTGCATAAAGGACGCGGCACCTGATGCCAATGGCCAAAAGCGGACGAAGAATCTTATTTTGGTAGGGATGATCAAAAGAGTTTGAATTGACAGCTGGTTGTCGAGAAAGGACGTGCACTAAAAACGCACGCCCTGAAACCACACTACATCTCAACCACACGAACACAAGCTACAAAAAAAGGGACCCAAGCATCGAAACGACTAATGCTATTTGAGACCGGACACTGCTAGACTTACAACAACACCATAGGACGGAAACTCTAAAAACAACGTCTTCATTAAGGTGCGACGTGATAGCATAACATTGCTGCCTGTCTAAAAAACTGGACAAAGTTTTCCTATAGAGATCCTTGCCTAAGGGCAAAGGGGCACCTCGACAGCGTCGCCAGAAAGGTTACCACGCTCGAAAGTATGACCGTGCCCATTGCTGGTCTAGTGAACACTGGGCTAGGCTTTCGTCTGGGACCCTCTTCATCCCTACTGTTATGGTTCGTCGTCCCCAACTCCGATACTACTCGTCAAGGCTTGCAGCTAGGTATGGTCTCTCGCGCTCGCGCCCACCCGCCCCTCGTGATGCTGCCGTTCAGCGCGTGCTCGATGCCCTACTCAGCTTAGCTGCAGTGTGATGTACGCACTCGTATCCGGCTCTGTGGACTGTCCTTGCTTGCACAGCGTCTTCGATGAGTTCGATCGATCGATCTCCAGCTGCTGATAATTTTGCACATTCGGCGCCGTTGGTTTCAACGTGTTGTTTACAGTGAAATTCCTATGAGAAATTTGCTGCTTCCCGAGGCTGATTGCTGTAGTAATTTCATTTTTTCTTTTTGTTTTCTTGTTGGGAGTATTTTGGGCTAAAATTAGCGTCAATCAAGGTGCGAACTGTTGATCGTGTACCCGGAATAGATCGAAAAATGTACTACATATATATAGTGGGAATGAGCTGTTATGATGACCTAACCAGTACTCCCTCCGTCCTAAAAAAAGGCAAACCCTGAGTTTCCGTACTGACGTTTGACTATTCGTCTTATATGAATTTTTTTTATAATTAGTATTTTCATATTTGTTAGATGATAAAACATGATTAATATTTTATGCGTGACTTATCTTCTTAATTTTTTTTATATTTTTTTCAAATAAGACGAACGGTCAAACGTTGGACACGGAAACCAGAGTTTGTTTTTTTTTTGACGGAGGGAGTACGCAATAATTTCATTAGGACGATAATGACGACCTAACCACTTAATGTAACTTTAAGTTATTTTTACGTTTTCGTACAGAAATGACCCTTAATTTCTGGACCAATTCTAAAAAAAAAGCGAAAATGAGAGGGGAGTGGATTCTAATCCTTCGGGATTATATCCTCTCGTGTACCTTTTCTTTTAAATTTTATACAAATAGTAGTAAACAATTATGATTTTTTTAGCAATATAGGGTATAATAATATCTATCGCTTTACCAAAAATCATGTCCAAATTCAACCTACACGTTGAGAAAAAAAGATAAATTTAGATGTGAATAGTACATTGCTATTCATACGTTAAATTTGTCTTTTTTATCTTTTTTTTATCTTGACGTGCGAGTTGAGTTTAGACCTAGGATTTTGTGGAGTTGTATAAATATATTGTATAAGCGTTTTCAAATTTCTTTAGAATTTTTCATAACAGTTTGGATGGTTTTTAAGCAATCTAGAGAACGTTCCTCGTGGGATCAGAGGAGAAGAATATTCTATTGGAGAATATCTCTTGGAAAAAGTACACCGAAGGTCCCTCAACTTGTCATCGAGTTACAAAATCGTCCCTCAACCGCAAAACCAGATACCGGTAAAACTAGATACCGAACATCCCTCAACTAATTAAAACTGGTCACAGTAGATTCTTCGGTGGTTTTGACCCCGGTTTTATCCTACGTGGCGGCTGAGTCAGCATGGACCCATGTGGACCCTACATGTTAGGCTGAGTCATCTATGGCTCCCATCGGATGGCCTATTCAGCCAAAGAAAAAGCCAAATTTTGAATTTTCAAACTTAATTTTGACATTGATTTTGAGATATTTTCAACGTAGTTTCTTTTTCAGCATTGGCTTTTAAGTCACCGAGAACACATATATAAAAGTTTTACCTACAAATTTATTTTTATTCTCTAATAAGCCGTTTTGGCTTATTAAAAGAAAAGCCAAACGATGAGGGCATATCTCTCCCTCTCTTCTCTTCTGTGCAGGCCGGTCGGTCTTCCTCGGTTCCTCCTCTCTCTCTCTCTCTCTCTATGCAGGGCGGCCGCTGGGCGGGGCGAGGCGGGAGAGGAGGACGGCGCCGCGACGGCGGTCGGCGGCGGCGACAACGGCAGCCCAGCGGAGCTCCACGGCGTGGGCGTGCCGCGGCCGTGCGCGGGCGTCGACGGGGAGGCGCGGGCGTCGCGGGTGGCGGGAAGGCGCGGGCGTCAACGAGGCGAAGCGGGAGAGGAGGAGGACGGCGCCGCGACGGGCGGCCGGCGGTCAACCGAGCTTGAGCCAATTCATGGTGGCAGTGGCGGTGGCAGGCGAGCGCGGTGGCGGCAGGCGAGTGCGGTGACGACTGCTGCTGGCGCCCCGTCTCAGCCCAACTCCGGCGGCAGGGCGAGCGGCTAAGTACGGGGGCAGTCCGAGCGGCAGCAGGGCAAGCGGCGGCTGGGATAGGGACGACGGGAGGGACCCCGAGTCGTCGTCGTGCTCCGTGTCGCCGACTGCCGCCCGTTGCGCCAGCCCTCCTCTCAGCCGCGCTCCTCCCTCGCCGGCCACCGCCCGCCGCCCGTCGCACCGGCCTCCTCTCCACTGTGCTCCCCCCTACCAGCAGCCGGCCGCCAAAGGCTGCCCGTTGCGCCGGCCTCCTATCCGCGTGCTCCCACCGCCATCGCGTCGGCCTCCTCTCCGCCGTCCACGACGACGGGGGATCCTCCTGCCGCCGACACGACCTCGGCGCCACGTCTCCACCGCCTGCCATGCGGGCTCTTGGCGTTCTCCGTCGTGTTGGAGTTGAGCGTAGGCTTGATGACCTCCAGGGCCTTGCTGACCTCCGACCACGACGTCGGCGCGAGGTCGTGGCCGTCGAGCTGCGGGAGCGGCATCACGGTTGTGGTGGGTTTCTTCAGCGGCAAAGGAGCTTGTCGGCAACAGCCTTGCTGCCTTGTCATAGGCCATGCAGAGACTGCAGGGGATGGAGCTGGGGATGCAACGTGTGCGAATGAGCATTAATGGAATCACCGTGGTGCTAGATGGAGACTTGTCCTCACCGCCGGGCAACTGCTTCACCAAGACGTACGAGATGCCCCATAACATGGCGGCCGGTGTCGACCGCAGAGCGCAGCAAGCCGTGTGGCGATGTGCCGGGGCCATGGTGGTGGTCGAGCTTCCCGTGGCATGGAGCCCAACCGCGCCGGCCGCCGACGGGCGCGCGGCCGAGCTTGTCGACGGTAGGGGCAGCGGGGGCGTTGTCCTTGAGTGCATCCGGCGGTAGAGAGATGGCCCCGTGCTGCAGAGGGCCAGCCGCCGCTCATCTCGGCAGACTCGCCGACAGCTGAAAGTTGACATGGCGCTGGCGAGGGCGAGCGGCACGGCCGGGACTCGGCCGGCGAGTGCGAGCGGCGCGGGCGGCGTGGGCGAGCGGCGCGGTCTCCTCCCCACCCGATGCACGCCATGCCAAGAGAGAAGAGAGAGAGAGGAGGAGGAGGAGGAGGAAGGGAGAGAAGAGGGAAAGAGAAAGCTGACGTGGACAGTATGACATGTGGGGGCTCACACGGGTCCCACGCTGACTCAGCCGCCATGTCGGATAAAACCAGGGTCAAAACCACCGAAGGACCTAGAGTAAACGGTTTCTGATTTTGCTATATATTTGTCGATAAATTTTTCCCCAAAAATTTGACAGATGTAATTACAGTACAATCGTAGTGTAATTATACTGTAACTTGCATGTAATTACACTGTAACTATGGTGTAACTTATATCTAACTTTCAAAAATCTGTCTGTAACATGTTATTTCGGTAAAATGGAGGTCGTGGGAACAATTTTTTTTCACATATGTGTGCTATGATTTGTTTTCTTCCTCACCAAAACAAATCTTGTAATAGATCTAACGATTCAAAATTATGTGAAACTTACATATAAGTTACACTGTAATTACATGTAAGTTACAGTGTAATTACATATAAGTTACAGTGTAATTACACTACGATTGTACTATAATTACATCTGTCAAATTTTTGGAGAAAAACTTGTCAACAAATGTATAGGTAGTCCCACGGTTTTGTAAGTTGAGGGATGTCACATATTTGGTTTTGTGGTTGGGGGACGATTTTGTATCTCGATGACAAGTTGAGGGACCTTCGGTGTACTTTTTCCAATATCTCTTCAAGCTGTCAGAGGCAAACTGGTAACCAACCCAGTTTAGCCCAATTCAACATGGGCCTAAACTACAGCCCACTAACAAAAGCCCATTAAGAGAAAGCCCATTATTTTCTCTTTCTCTCTCCAAGGTGGCGGCGGGGTTGGTCCACTCGAAGAGCTCGGCGGTGGAACAGCTCGCTCGATCATGGCCGCCGCCGCCGCCGCCTCAAGGGCGCTCTGGGCTTGCCGCACCGCCTCCTACCTTCGGATCTCCTCCTTCCCCAGGGCTTTCTCCACCGGTATGGCATCTGCCCCCTCTCCTGCTTTGCCATTTTGTCCTCCCTCCTGCTTAGTATTTTGCCTGTATTATATGTGTAGTTGTGTACTGTTTGTGGTATGGGGAATTGGGGATCAAAGGCTCTGCGCGTTGGGACGGGGTGACTCGGCTGTTTCTACCCTAATTATCGGGTTTCGGGAGGAAGTATGCTGTTAAATCTGAAATTTTGTGATGTTTTTGCTTCACTGCTTGTGTGCGCGCGTCACAGATTTGCGCAGTTCGTTTGCAGGAGACTTTCGTATGTAAAGTATAGCGGTGACCCGATAGTTCATTGTGAGGCATGTCGATCGTTTATATCAGGGAGGAGGATTAGGTCTAATGTTAGGGTTATTTGTTTTTGATGGCTTGATGCACCATTCTAGACTTTCTAGTTGCTAGTTCCTTCTTGGGGTGTTCATTAGTTCATAGGCAAGACTCTGCACCGATTGGATGACTGAAATGTGAATTACCCTTTTGGTTATTGAGAATTTGAGATGATGAAATGTGCAGATGATTTATGGAATTACAGTGTAGGGCTTCCAAAAATTGGTACTAGACTGCAAATTACATCTTGCTAGATTACACAGGCAACACAACATATATGCGGATTACATTTCTATTCCATATGTAGTGGTTATAGTTGTTTCTATTTCAGAAATAAAAATAGGTGATCCCAAGAGAAGGTGGTCATGCACCTTGTGCCATATTTGTTTTCTCAACTTGGTTTTATGTTTCTTCAAAACATCTTTTTAGATTTTTCCAGTGTACTGCTACTGCATCCCTCTAGCGTATCTAACTGATTGGAGCATTTACTGAAACTTTTCAAATGAATACAATATCCATTGCTTCGCTGTCAGCCTATCACTCTAATAAGTAATGCATATTTGTTTTCCTGCTTGGCAGTCCTTAAAGATCTAAAATATGCTGATACTCATGAGTGGGTGAAGGTTGAGGGTGATTCAGCAACCATAGGGGTCACAGACCATGCTCAGGTAATCAGTTTGATACATTTGCAAGCTGCACCAGCATTTTATCAGCCTTCAATATGCTATATTACTGGGTCTCTTGCTGAGTTGATAACTTCAACGTGTTATTGACATGCATTACAGCATTTTTCCTCAAAATAGAATTTTCTGTGATAGTGTGATGGCTTAATATGTCCTGTTTCAATTCCAGGACCATTTGGGTGATGTTGTGTATGTTGAGCTTCCAGAAGTTGGTTCCACAGTATCACAAGGAACGAACTTTGGTGCGGTTGAAAGTGTGAAAGCAACCAGTGATATCAATGCACCAGTATCTGGAGAGATTATTCAAGTAAATGATGAACTAAGTGAAAAACCAGGATTTGTGAGTCGCAATTGCTACCCTTGCTAGACTAATTTTTGAGTAATCACTGCTATGTTCAGTTGACAATTTGCTTCTGCAATTTTACACAGATAAATGGAAGTCCATATGAGAAGGGATGGATCATCAAGGTTAAGATAAGTGATCCAAGTGAGTTAAACTCGCTGATGGATGATGAGAAGTACAAGAAGTTTTGTGAGGAAGAAGATGGCAAACACTGATCAATCCCCTAACTGCTGGATTTCAAGAAACTATGCAGCAACTCACCATCATGACAATGAGCCATCTCGCCTCTCCTACCACATTATATTATTCTGGATAGAGGAGTCCCAAGGAATGTAATAAGCTGAAACATTTTTCTTGCAAATCAGACATGAAAATTTTGTAGTGTCCTGATCATTCCGTTTGTGCTCCATTTGAAATTCAGCTCTTGATTTGCTTATCATCTGAATACAGGTGGAGGATTGGGTTTGTTTAAACTTTGATTAAGTGACAGTGACTTGATTGTATTGAGATTGCAGCTCAGGGATTGTGGGTTTGTTTATCTTCTGAATTCAATTCTGGAGATAGCTGCATGAAACGTGATCCACCCGTTTTCCAGCTATATTATTCCAGTTTGAATAACAAAATCAGATTTATAAAACATTAAAACAAGCATCATTAGACAAGTCGATAACTCTGTTCTTTCAATTCAATCGATCGTTTTGCCTTGAGAAAGTCAAAACTACATTACAGCACGAAGAATCTAGCTTATTACCCTCGATCCGTATTGCAAATAAATATTGTGGCCGAACGATTATGTAAACTTTAGAGGCTCGAATCAAGTAATTACAGAACGACCAGACAATCTCACTAACAGATTCTTTGAGCATTCTCACGGGCTCTGTTGTGAAGGTATCATTGACAACAAAGACGTTACAGATGGATAGAAAACACCATTCACCAATGCGGGTATTACTTCAACCGATCATATTGTCTTACTACAAGAGAACTTAGGCAATAGTACAGAAAGCATCCCACTTGGTTAATTAGCCAGCAGGCCATTTCATCTGCCTTCCACCTAGTACATGCAAGTGCAGGTGATAGACTGATTGACCTGTGGACAGAGCGATGATACAGTATTAGCATAAATACTGAAAAATATGGCGGTGGAAAAGAGCTCATGCATGAGCATGGGTATCAACACCGAAAATACGTTGAAGGATGATGTGTAGCATGTATACTGAAAAGTGAAAACATGTGCAAACCCCAGTAAGTAGAAAAGAGATGTGGCATGGGAGTGCTTACATCCTTTAGGTCCATTGTTTATGACGACACGGTACCCTTCAGCTATACCTTCCTTCTCAGCCACTATTTTCGCGGCGTATAGAAGATAGCCCAGAATTTCGACATGCCTTGGTTCAGCCTAAAAATATGTTCTTCCAACATGAGGTGATAATGTCTGATGGAAGGCTTGCTCAAAGAAGACATGAGTACATGACCAACAATTTTGCTTCCATAGGCAGTTAAAAAGGGCATCGGCTTGTACTAAGATAAGCACATAACGAAGTACATGGATACTGCCATGCTACACAGTTTTAGAGATTGAGAATTCCTCTCGCAAACACTAGTGAACAACATTCCATACCTTGTCTAGTCCAGTCAACCCATCTCTTATCTTTGGGATGACTAGAACATGCACAGGGGCTTGTGGATTAATATCTCTAAATGCCAGCACTTTCTCATCCTCATAGACAACATTAGAAGGAATTTCCTTTGCAATGATCTTGTCAAAACTTCCATAAAATAAACAAAGAGGAATACTCAGTGCCACTGCCACAGAAGGGATTATGAAATAGTAAAATGAGAAAGCTTACATGGTCGGTCCTCCAGTATCAGCTGTTGCTGCTGCTGCTTTAGCAGCAGCTTCTTCATTTGTCGATGAAGCAATGTGGCGCACAAATCTGGAGGAAAAGGGAAAAGCACCCGGACTCAATATTAGACAAGAACCATCAATTGTAGACGATGGGAGAGAACTATGATTTCATAGCATTACCGTAAACCCACCACACATCTAAATGCCACCATATTGTTTAGGCACTTGTTTAATTTTGGATTTAATTGTTTTACAGACTTGAGTTTATATCAAATAGCAATATAACTAATTGGGATTCGGTAATTGCTATTTGGTGATCAACCCTTTGTTCATTGCTTATACTTTTTTTAGTACCAACCGTTGGAAACAATAGAGCACACTACACTCCGTTGATTGACCCTTCATGGCTAACTAAATCTAGAATCATGCACATATAACAGGCCAATGGGCATGTAGAGAGTCTATTGATTCTGTTAATAATCATCTGGTAATTGATTGCTCTAAAGATAGAATGAAGTCTCCTAAGCATCCATAAGTACAAGAGAAAACTGCTCCAAAGTTGCCCAAAAGTTGAATGCCAGTAGTAACACCCAACCTTGGTCCAAATTTCCAAAAATGATTCGCAAAAGAAACATGGGCATAAGTCAGATCTCTGATGAAAGCGGCCACACCTTTGGGGAGCGAAGCGGCGGGAGAGTCGGAGACCGTGAGGCCGCAGCAAGGGTGAGCGCCTGTGCACAAGAGACATGTAAGAAAAAGATTGGATTAGATATTTAGAAGTAATATCTGCTTGACTAACACTGCTGCAGTAGACCGGACTCGAAGGAAGAGAGAGAGTGAGAGCTCACCGGAGGAGGAGAGAGGAGGCGGCCGCCGTGAGCTTCGCCGCCGCGGCCATGGCCGCCATGAGAGAAGCTTCGGGAGTGGTGGTGGGTTGCGGCCGTGCGGCTCCCAGGCCGCGTGCTGGGATAGTGGTGGGTATCCGACTCGACGACCGTCCGATCTAACATCGACGGCCCAGATGGGGTAACCTAGCATTTCGAGGCCCAACAGGCCGAGGCTACAAGGCTAACCCACCCACAACGAAGCCCATTAATCCTTTCCCGAATCATCCCTCTCGGAAAAAATCCCCAAATCGATCCGCCTCTCTCTCTCTCCCCCCTTCTCGCCGGCGGCCGGCGCGGCGCGGCGAGGCGGATTCGGCGGCGATTTCCTTCCTAGGGTTTGGTCTTCCTCCTCCCCTCCGGCCTCCTCTCGCACCGACGGCATCGCCCCCTCCCTTCTAGATCCGCCTCGCCATCGAAAACCCTAGACGACCACGAGCCGCCATGACCGTCCCCCTTCCCACCACCCGCCGCCGATGGCGGCATCGACGATTACAACCTGCGATTACCGTCATGTCGTGCGGTTCGTTCGTCTCCCCCTCCGCGGCGACGCCTCGAGCAGGTAATCCACGGGGTTGGGGTACCTAGGGTTAGCGTTTGTTCGGTGAACGGGGGGCGTCCGTTGCACGGCACGACCCGACCACTGGCTCCCGCATCCATGGCGATGACGGCGATATCTCCCGTCAGTTGCATGGTCCCCTTGCACAAACGCCCAGACCAAGTTGATCTCGGAACCTAATTTACATCAGATATCGTTGCCTTGCACTGATTTTAGGGATTAGGGTAAAGTAAAGGCCTTATAAATGTATGTTCCCATGAAATCTAACCGGACCTGTTGTTTCCCATTCATGCCGTTGATTGTAGGGCTTGCTTGTTTAGGTTAGGTGATAAAAATTAGAAAATGCTTAAAGTAAAGCAGTAGTGATGTATTTCTTTTTTTTTCTTTTTTCCAATCTGGATGTTTTAGAGATGGATTGTTTTCTATTTGGTTTAGGTTGGGTTTCCTTGTATTCTCTTAGATTCGTTGGGTTTCTTATCAACAATGTTGTCTGTTGACTGTGTTGTTTGTGAGGGATATGGGTTTCATTGTTTTGTTCCTTGTGGGATTAAACATACTTTAGATAAGTAAATTGGGCTGTATTTGTACAATTGGTAGCATCTGCCCTTTGGCCTTTTATTTGCTACTCAGTATTGTCGGCATCATCCGGTTTGTTTGGAATTTATTGGATAAGATTAATGGGGTTTCTGTTAGGATGCAAGTATGTAACTGGGCTTGGTCAGCCAACCCACACACTGATCATTCAGTTGCTTTACCCTAATATCTGGCTTTGTTCATAAAGATGCCGTACGATAGCTATAGGCCATGTGCAGAGATTGAGTAGGTGGGTCATCCATCCCACTTGCATACGTACTACTAATATGTGTAAGAGTTTCTTGTATGATGTTACTAATAGATGGCTCTGAAAATGTACTTTTTTTTGTCCATATTTAATTTTTCAGTGTCCTTACCAGAAATATCTCTGGCCTATCTCTAGAGCTGTATTGTCTGTGGTGGTGGTCCCTTCAAAGTTTTGTGCAATCGGAGCATAGCTATCTTCTTTTACCTCTAGGTTGTGTTTTAGCAGCTGAACAAGTGCTGTAATCCTTTCTCTACTTCTTTCTGCCCCCCCCCCCCAAAAAAAAAAAAGAGAGAGAGAGAAAGAAAAGGGAATGTCCTATCTTGCTATGTTTCTTTAAGTTGGTTCTGTTTTCCTTCCTTCCAAATGAAATTGGTTCTTGTGAATCAATGTAGCGTCCCTTTACACAGTATTGTTTTCTCCCAGTTGTCTTGTCTTTTTATTTGACTTTTCATATATGTAAGGGAAAGAAGAAGGCCTTAGAGAAAAAAACAGTAGAAAAAGGAAAAGAAGATAGGGGTAAGCTCATCCTAGAACCCTAGTTGGCTTGCAGTCACCTTCTTCCTCACCGCAATGGCTGGTGCCTTATCTGCTCGTCATGGAGGCTGGTGCCTGGTGGAGTACGATGCCTCTTAGGGCACAGAAGTATAGAACACGTGGGTATGAAGACCTATGTTGGGCTTTGGTGGGCTGGCTGCCTGGCTTAGTGGGCCTTTTACCAAATACCCCCTTTCTTCTTCCTAATTTCTCTACCATGTTCTCCACTAATCACGCCTCAACCATCTCATATGGCAAAGCAACGCCTTATGCCTCAGCGCTATGGCGCTAAGGCAGTGGTGGGTCGCGTTAAACTGCCTTAACAACACTGGTTTCATATATGTAAATTGGGTTGTACTTGCACTGACCTTTTCTTTTGCACCCTGTTGCCTTGCATAAATTTGTTGGTACATGGCTGATGTTTTACTCACTGTTTTGTTAAGATTTTACAGTTTGTTTGGAATTTTGTTAATTGGTGGGATTTTTGTTGGGATGCAACCGGGCTTGGTCTACCAACCCAGATACCAATCCTTTGCTTGCTTTACCACTAATATTGAGTATTGTTCAGAAAGGCGCTGTGTGAGCTGGGTTTCTGCCTAGGAGCTAGGTTACCTGTTAATACTTGTGCAGCAGGCGGGAGGATGCCGCCTAGCGCCTACCATTGCCCTAGTATGCTGGGTGGAACCTTGTCACTGGTTATAGGTCCATGTGCAGAAAGTGCGGTAGGTGGGTCAGTCTACTTGCATACCTACTTTGCCTCGTATGTTTGTAAGAGTTTCTTGGATGTTCTATCTTGCTTATCTGTACTGCATATAGTCTGCCCCGAAAAAGAAGATTTTTCTGTTGATATTTGTTATCCTCCATAATTAACTTCTCAGTGCCCTTATCATAGAATTATCTCCAGGGAATGCCCTACGTTGTTTGCTCTTGTAGTTGGTTTTGTTTGCCTCCCTTCATATGAAAATTGGTTGTTGTGAACCAATGTAACCCTTTACATCCAGACGTCTTTTTTGTTTGTTTTCCCGTGGTGCTGACTTTTTGTTTTTAGTTCTATGAAGCTGAGTTATCTTGTTCCTATTTGGTGTATTAGAATAACGCTCTTTTCACATGTTTGGTGGACAGGTGGAGTTTATGTTATTCATACATGCAAGTTATGTCAATGACACCTAACTGGTTTAGTTTAGATCCTTGTGTCTCATTGTCTCCTTTGCAAGACAGAAGTTCTATTTGATTAAAGCAATGCTGCAATGTATGTTGATTGTGAGGCAATGACTGAAAAGGATGATTATGAGAGCAATACTGAATCACCTGTCTGTTTGTATTAGTATGTGAGTGTGACAATAATATTAATGGCAACTATATCCTTCGTCATTAGCTGGAAGAACATTTTTTTTGTTTTAAAAAGCAAATATAGCTCGTGTGATAGTACTTTTTATCGGTCTGGTTACCAATTTGTAGTCATGTGCCCTCATGCTTTCATGTTTTGGGACTGTGTTGATTGCTGTTAGGAGCCTTCAAAAGCTGCATGGTGTTGTATTTATTTTACTAATTTGCCAATTTGCATGTCTTGGTGAGTATTCAGGTGCTTTCTTTATGACTGATGATGCCTTCCCCATCTTTTCTTTTGCTATTTATTGGCTAGCTTAATCCAGAGTCTTATTCTGCTGTAGCTTTTGGGGATTAAGTTAGTTTTTAGTCGCATGTAGTGGAATTGATTGTCTTGTTTCAGCAAGCAAGATAAATTTCCACTCTTCCAACTGTATTATTTATTGCAAGCAAGATAAATTTCCACTCCTCCAACTGTATTATTTATCTTTATGTAGAGCTCGCCCCCTGATTCTCGAGCGATGATCTTCTCTCCTGAACCACTGACCATCACTTAGCCCAACCCACAACAAATCTGCTTTGTTCTTTCGCACTTACGACTGGTTACGTTAGTTGTGCAGGTGTGATGTCTGGTATATGACCAGAAGTTGCTCTGTGTGTTTGTAGTAGGGATTTGAACCGTGCCTTCTTGTTTAAATGTCATTTTATTGCTTTCATGGATGATCCTAGGTATCATTCACCTTCATCAGAACGGAATTTGCAGTTATGCTAGCTCTTATATGATTCCATCTATACAAGTGTATGCTGTGTATTCTTAGTATTGAGCGTTCAGAACTTGCTGTTCCTTTTAAGCTCAGTTTGTATTTATATGTTGTTCCTTTTAAGCTCAGTGTGTATTTATATGATTTGATTAGTGAATGTGTCATTTTGACCACTTTTCTCTTGATGTATCTTTATGTTTGAATATATCGTCCATAAATGGAGCTTGTCTTTATCGTACATGTGCAGTAGAGTGCCTGAGACCCTCCTATTCATTCAATATATTGCCGTCGTGACTTGCATGAAACATCGTTCTCTTTTTGGACTTTGAGGCTCACTCTGAATTAGTGTTGCCTGAATCTGCGATCGATAAGCTAATTATGTCTGGAGTCTGCTCATTCTCATGATATCCCGTTTTCTTTACCGGATATGCTTGCAGGTGCTTCGTCGATGGTACCCGTTTGTACCTTACTAAACATGAGGGATTGTTCATGCAATGACGACTAAGAATAAACTGGCTGTATTTTGTTGCTGGCCTTATGGCGAGACCATGGGAGTATGGGGCTCGAGTGCGCTAGTTATGCCGTTAGGATTAGATGGACCTAGTCTTTTACAATACTACCCCTCCGTTACAAAAAAAAAAAACCAATCTTAGCTACGAACTTGTATATGTGTGTCTGGGTTTGTCTTTTTTTTTTTACAGCCTAGTACGTCTTATTGGGCTATTTGTTGTTCAGCTTTACTGTTGATACGCCGCTCTTCATTGGGATTTAAAATCTTAACATGGGTGACATTAGCAAATTATTAGTGGCAGCGAGTTATTTGTGTACCTTTGGAAAACAAACTGTTGAACTTTTTTGCCGGCTCGAAATTTCACTAGTATTGGCATTAAGATAATTGTGTGAAATTTGGAACAAACGTTCAAATAAGCACAAATTAGCCCTTGGGCAAAACGTGTGAGTATTAATCTTTGCAAAAAAAATGCAAGAAATTTTTCATCGGCTCAAATTTTTGCTAGTATTAGCATTGGGACCGTTGTGTGTGAAATTTTTTAATACTATAATTAGGATAAAATTTTCATTAAACTTTGCCTTGAGGCTATAAATTTATGAGATGTAGACTTGGGTCAAAACCCATGAGTATTAACCTTTGAAAAAATGCACTATTTTTTCCTTCAACCCAAATTTTTGTTAATAGTAGCACCTATACCGTACCATAACCTTGGGAGAAAATTTTCATGAAATTGGGCCTCCACACTACAAGTTCGTGAGTTAGAGACTTCCAGCAAAACCCGTATTAACTTTTGGAAAAAAAACATATAAATTCTTTTTCAATAATTTTCACTAGTACTAGCATCAGGGTCACTGGATGTGAAATTTGTGATTATTAACACATCATAATGAAAAATTTCATAAAATTTAGCAACCACGCTGCATCAGGGTCACTGGGTGTGAAATTTATGATTATTAACACATCATAATGAAAAATTTCATAAAATTTAGCAACCACGCTGTAAATTTGTGAGTTATATGCTTATCACAAAATTTGTGAGTATTAACCTTTCAAAAAATGTATTAATTTTTCTTGCGGCCCAAAATTACATTGTATTAGCATTAGGAATGCCGCGTTGAAATGTGTTGATTATTTACATTAGGACAAAATATTTCATGAAATTTAGCCTCGACACTGTAAATTTGTGAGTTAGCCTTCTTAAAATACCCATAAGTATTAACCTTTGGAAAAAACATATGAATTTCTTTCTTTGGTACAAACTTTTGCTAGTATTAACATCGAGACAATGGCGTGTGAAATTTGTAAAGATTAATTTCAGGACAAAAAAATTTCATTCAATTTAGCCTCCACGCTATTAATTAGTTATATTCTTCAGGAAAAACCATGAGTGTTACCTTTGAAAAAAAATGGATGAATTTTTTCACTGCCCCAAAAGTACGCTAGTACTAGCATCGAGGTCATTGCGCGTAAAATTTTTGAATAATAACATCAGGATAAATTCATGAGTTATAGCATTCGAGTAGAACCCATGAATATTAACCTCTGGAAAACAAATAGTTAAAAATTTTGCTAGTATTAGCATCGGGACCATTGTTTGTGAAATTTGTGAATATTAAAATCAGGTTAAAATTTTCATTAAATTTTGCATTAAACCTTTGTAAAAAAAATGCAAGAATTCTTCTTCGGCCCAAAAATTTGCTAGTATTAGCATATGGACCATATCGTAACATCAGGAGAAAACATTTCATGAAATTTTAGACTCCACGCTATAAATTCGTGAGTTATAGCCTTCTCGCAAAACTCGTGTGTATTAACCTTTGGAAAAAAAACGCAAAACCCACGAGTATTAACTTTCAGAAAAATGCAAGATTTTTTTTTCTTCGGCCCAAAATTTGGTTAGTAGTAGCATCGAGAATGTTGCGTTGAAATTTTTGATAATTTACATTAGGACAAAAAATGTGAAATTTAGTTTGCACGCTATAAATTCCTGAGTTAGCCTTTTGACAAAAACCATGAGTATTAACCTTTGAAAAAACGCATGAACTTTTTTCTTTTGTCCAAACTGTTGTTAGTACTAGCATTGGGCCGAGGCATGTGCAATTTGTGATTATTAACATTAGGAGAAAATATTTCATGTAATTTAGCAACCACACTTAAATTCATGAGTTATGGCCTTCTCGCAAAATCTATTAGTATTAACCTTTGGAAAAAAAAGGATAAAGTTTTTCACCGACCCAAAAGTATGCTAGTATATGGAGGTAATTGTGTGTAAAATCTGACTATTAACATTAAGACAGGAAACTTCATGAAATTTTGCCTTGAGGCTATAAATTCATGAGTTATAGCCTTCGGGCAAAACCCTTAAGTATTAACCTTCAAACAAAAAATGGTTGAATTATTTTTTTACTGCCCTAAAATTTCACTAGTACTAGCGTCAGGGTAATTGTGTTTGAAATTTGTGAAAATCAATAAACTAGCACAAAAGAATTCATGAAATTTTTCTTTAGGGCTATAAATTCATGAGTTACAAGTCTTTGCGCAAAACGCTTGAGTATTAACCTTTGGAAAACAAACTGTTGAATGTTTTGATCAACCCAAAATTTCGCTAGTGCTAGTATCAGGATAACCGTGTGTATAATTCATGAAAAACATTAAAAATAGCAAAAAAGGGGGGGGGGATTTAGCCACCATGCTATAAATTTGTGAGTATTAACCCGTGAGTATTAACCTTTGGAAAAAAATATGATTTTTTTCATAGGCCAAAAAATACGCTTGTGAATTTTTCGAATATTAACATTGGGACAAAAAAAATTAATAAAACTTTGTCTCGAGGCTATAAATTAATGAGTTATATAGCTTTCACATAAAACCCATGGGTATTAAACTTTGGATAAAAAGCATGAAATTTTTCCAGTCCAAAATTTCACTAGTAATAGCATCAACGTTACGCATGAATTTTTTTATTATTAACATCAAGAAGAAAAATTTCATGAAATTTAGCATCCATGCTATAAATTCATGAGTTATAGGCTTCTCGCAAAACCCGCGAGTATTAACCTTTGAAAAAAAACAAGTTTTTTTCCCTCTTGCCCAAAATTTTGCTAATATTAGCACCAGGATCGTTCTATGTAAAATTTATGCATATTAAAATTATGACAGAAAATTTCATTAATTTTTGCCCTAAGGTTATAAATTCGTGAGTTATAGCCTTTAGCCAAAACCCATGACTCCGTGAGTGTTAATCTTTAGAAAAAAAATACATGATTTTTTTCGCTGACCCAAAATTTCGCTAGTATTATCATATGTATAGTCGTGTGTGAAATTTGTGATTATTAACATTAGGAGAAAAAATGATGTAATTTAGCTTTCACACTATAAATTCATGAGTTATAGCCTTGTGGCAAAATTTGTGAGTATTAACCTTTTGGAATAAACACATGAATTTTTTTTCCTCGGTCCAAAATTTCACTAGTACTAGCACAAGGAACATATGGATGACAATTTTGATGAAATTTAGCCCCTCGCACTATAAATTCGTGAGTTGTAGGCTTCTCGAGTATTAACCTTAGGAAAAATGCACAATTTTTTTCCTCCGGCCCAAAATTTTGCTATTATTAGCATCAAGAATGTTGCGTTGAAATTTGTGATTATTAACATTAGGACAAAAAATTCATGAAATTTAGCCTACATGCTATAAATTTGAGAGTTAGCCTTCTAGTAAAACCTATAAGTATTAACCTTTAAAAAAAAGTATAAAATATTTTCTTTGATCCAAAATTTTGCTAGCTTAGCTCCAAGACCGTGGAGTGTGGAATTTGTGGATATCAAAATCATGACAAAATTTCATGAAATTTAGCTCCACGCACTTTTAACATTTTGGGCCTCAGTAGGCCCTTTCAATCTTTTGGGTCTTAATGAACCCTTTTAACAATTTCAGCCTTGACTGGACTGCTTTGTTTTTTTGCTTTGATAGACCATCCGTGCTTAACCTTTTTAGGGTTTGATGGGCCTATCGTTTTATTTTGGGGAAAATCCAAATACCCCCTACAAATCTTTTATTTTCACTCTCCCCTCTACAACTCGATTAGGTAAAAAAAAAATCGCCCACAACTCAAATTCTCTTCTAACTTCCCCCTTCTGTCTAATTTCCACTAATTTCTCCAATCGTTCATCAACATGTTGGTATGATACCATAGCGGAAGGATGCAGTTAGGGGTGAAAACGGAGTGGATTTGGACGGATAGTGCTCATACCATATCTTAAACCATATTTTTAAGCAGATTCCGAGCGGATGCGGAGCGGATTGTTTCGGGCGTCGAAAATGGTGTGGAGTCAATGCGGAATTGGTTCGGAAACAGATTAAATTTATCGGATGTTACGTGTATAGCAATGAATGCAACATCGATAAATCCAAGGAATAATAATACAATATAGTCAATAAATAACCCATCGTAATAATTATACGATTAATTGCTAAACAACATAAATACATGATGTTCATAATATAAAAAATATAGCTACATGAGTGTGACATGCAACGATAAAAGCGTTAGACTAAAAAATCTATGTTAATTGATGAATTTGGGCATTGGATGTACCGACTTATATTATATGCAATAGATATAGTGGTTATATATGTTGATAATTTCGGATTATCCGGCAAACGGCTTATCGGATAATCCGACAAAAATGTCGCATAATCCGCATCCGCCTCATACTATCCGCATCCACATTCGTATCCACCAGAATTCTAAAAGCACATTCTATATCCTCATTTCAGACGGATTTGGAGCGGATCGGATATTATCCGATCCGTTTTCACCCCTAGATGCAGCACAAAGCTCTATCTATCATATGTGATTCAAATTTCGAACAGTATATTATCCGATCCGTTTTCACCACAAAGCTCGCTCTATCATATGTGATTCAAATTTCGAACAGTAAAACAACGTGGCTGTAACGTGTTTCAGGAGCAGAAAGTCGCCGTAGTTCTGATGTGGGTCACAAGAAATTGGGCAAACGAAAAGAAAATCACAAGAAATTGAGCAAGAGAAATCAATGAAATCTATACTGAGGATGTTAGAAGAGAGATTGTGTTGTGGGATGTCTTTTTACCTAATTGAGTTGTAGAGGTGAGGATGACAACACAAAGTGACTTATGAGGGAATTTGGATTTTTCTCCTAAAGAAATTTGCGAACTTCTACAAGAGAAGTTTCTGTTTAACGCGCCGTTTTGCATTTTAGCAAGCATCTGAGCCCAGAATCTGGGATTTTACGGGCGAGTTAGGCCGTACAATCTAAGATTGACGTACTGTTCGCTTAATCATTTTGTAACTTGAATCCTTGATAGCTCGCCTGTTTATACCATTTCGTAGTTTTCAAGCAATATGCTATGCGGCTGCGCCTCAATCACGATTGGCGATTCGTTTGTTCACTACTGCTGGAAAGGAGCTACACCAACCCATCCCACGTACGCAATGCAACATGGCTCCTTACCAGCAGCTCTCCACAAATCACAAGCTCAACAACATGACAGTGCGAACTTTGCTACCATTCACCCATATAACAAAACAATGGGAGACGTTAAGTTCGAATATACACGCCGTTATAGCACACAGCAGAAGTGTTCGGGAGATATGAAATTGGTAAAATACTGCAGAACATATATATCCGGGCGATATGAAGTTGGCAAAATACGGCAGAACATATATATTGATTTATGCCATCGGTTATACCAAGTGGAAGCATAATCTGGAAGTCCCACGCCCATTAAAAATATAACCCTTAAAAATAACGACTACACTAATTACCTCGGTACAGCAAATTTGATGAAAGCATCTATAATTCTGTTTGAGAACAGTATTCCAGACATCACCAAGTAAATGGATGAATATATGCTGTAGATCCAAAAAAATTGCAGTACAACAGTAACGTTTTCACATATGTTGGGTCTCACAAATATCTATTATGTTGGATAGGGAATGAACAAATTCATCAAAACTTCAAAAAAATTATTGATGTCAGCGTCACTAGTTAACTTGACAAATCCAGTGCAATAAATGACCAGAAACAAGTATGTTCAAGAGTCAAAACAAAAACATGAACAACTCCCAAAATAAACAAACACAGGATGTGACGCATCCTAGTAATACTAATTTGAACTGACGTCACATCTTATACTAGATTTGTTTTTTTGGGACAGAGGGAGTACATTATAACAAACAATTCAGTTACAAGAGAAGCAAAGTAAGGCATTACGTCAAAAATATGACAACAGATAATTGCCACACGATACATACAAGGATTTACAGGTGCATGAAAGAGAATGACTTATGACATGCTAGGTTGAGGATTTCGTTCTCGACGATTCTCTTATGGTACTGTGGAAATTACGCTATGTGCGTACTATTCCTAGAATGTATAAACATAAAAACTAAGGCATACTATTCCTAGAATGTACAAACATAAAACTAAAAGGTTGAATTATACTACCAGTTAAATAAGTGATACTGATGCAGTAGCCTAAACTCCACTAGAAAACCAGAGGTCAACTGAGATCCAGACACAAAAAACTATAACATGCAAAGGTAAACTAACTTCTATATTGAGTTACCACTGCGAAGTTTGCAACCAATGTATTCAGGTACAAGGATAGGTGCAAATGTGCTACTTACTCCTTAAATCACCTAGGGACCAAATCATGGATAGTGATAATACTAAGTTGAGGTCAATACTAAATAAACAGTACTAACCAACAAATGACCTAATGATATTAGATTGCAGGAGGAGGAAACAACCAATGTATTCAGGTACAAGGATAGGTGTAAATGTGCTACTTACTCCTTAAACCACCTAGGGACCAAATCATGGATAATGATAATACTAAGTTGAGGTCAATACTAAAAAAACAGTACTAACCAACAAATGACAGAACACAGAACGATATTAGATTGCAGGAGGAAACATGGTTACTGATATACTTATCAGTTGTCAATGGTGTGTAGAAAAACTACATATCCAAGCAGAACCCTTGCACATGAGGGTTATGTGTAGGATGGATCTAGTCCAATACCCCCTTCAACTGCCTCAAGGAGCAGTGGTTACACATGAATTCACCAAAGAACACCAGATCACTTGCATATAGAAGTATCAAAACAGATGGCAAGGATGCACTAACGAATCATGTATTTGATCTTATGCAATTTGCAGAGAACTTTGTGGTGAAAGCTGTTATCGATCTTTAAGAACCAGGACTCCAGGAGCCCTTTGCCAACCACTATATATATATGGGAAAAGTGTAATCTGCATCTCACAATGAAATAATGTCACTGGTTTCAGTGTGTATAGCAAAATCCTTTTCTGTTAAGAACTCGAGAAATGCAAAAATTGATCCTGATCAGGCATTGAAATATTCAGAACCACCGGTCAGTTTTGAGAAATACACCAGATGAGAAAAAAAAAACAATTCCAACCTTCCAACAGCTGAACTCTCCAAATATGTGTGATATATGGGAATAGCCATCCTTCTGACAGTAACATAAAACGACACGAAAACGAAAAAAACACACCAGTGAATCAACCAGTTTGATACGCGTCTGGAACCGCGTCTGGAACCAACCAAAAACTTATAGAATTAAACCTCAAGAAGAATGATAGAGACCTATTGCACTAATTTAACTCCCAGGTTTATACAGCTCAATAATTCTGATATTAACTGAAATTATTTTTTTACTTATCCCTAGCACCAATGTAGCATACACTAATATAATTGATGGAAATCATCAAACGGACTCTCAGAGGCCAATCTTGTAAAGGAATCACACTAAATCAGAGAGGGTTTCTTCAAAATCAACCTAAACAGAAAATTGCTGCTGATGGAAAGAAACTTTCCATGAACTGAACCTATGAATTTAACCTAAGCACTTAGTGTTTAATTTAAACCACTGAAGGTTAACATTATTTATCAAATCTACATTCGATGTACCAGCGCACCATTATTTACAGAAAAACAAAACAGAAAACTACTGTTTGAATGAGCTACACGAGCCTTAGAAGTTAGCAATTTAGCATTACACGAGTCAAAATTTATGCGGTGAACGTTCGTACCAGAGTCCAGTGATAGATATAGATCCATGTGTAACGAATTTATGCATAAAGAATAGCACCATAACCTGCCCAACTGGACGAACTCTTATCCCAGGTTAAATTCCGAAGAAAGGGGCCTAAACAAGATACCAAGTTGAAAACCCTAATAGACGTCAATAGCCCTAATCGCAACTTCGCAATGAACTCACAACCTAACCACCAGCACAGCCGAACCAGATCGCACAAAAACAAAGAACACCATCACCATGTCACATATGCAATCGTGCAACCACGAGCCCGAACGCGATTCGGGTGTAATTAAAGGAATCGCAACTAAATTCACCTTGGGATCACCAAGGGGAGAGCGGGGGATCAACGAAATGGGAGAGGATCAAGGCCGTAGCGGTCGCGATCCCTCCGACCCAAACCCTAACCCGTCCCCCACCACCAATCAATCAAACGGTAAACGCAGGAACCGCCGCAGCAGCACCACCACGCCTGAATCGCAAACAAAATTCCCCCACCAACAAAATTCAGGAAGAACCAGACAGACAAAAGGCTAGGATTTAGGGTTTCGTCGAGTCGCCGAAGGAGCGTATACCATACCTCCCACCTCGGAAGAGGCGGCACGGAGAAACCGGCGGACGAGGGGGGTGGAGACGCCGCTGCGGGGCGATCGCGATCGCGATCGCGATCTGGAGGACGTTCCGCCCACCGCGTTGGCTCTAGGGTTAGGGAAAGAGAGGAGGCGAGGAGGCCGCCATGGCGAAGGCGGCGGCGCGCAGAGAGGGAGAGAGAGGGGGACAAGTGGTTGGGGGAAGCTTCCGCGAGAAGGAGGCCTCGCCTGGTGGTAGCCAATAAGCCAAGGACGGTGAAGGCGGTTGCGGGCCCAAGAAAAAGAGCCTTTCTGTGCCACGTGGCAACCGAGACGTGTCCGTTCACGTGTCCGTTCTAGCGAGTTGGCCAGGTTTGAAAATTCAGCGACTGACAATGTGGTCCCACAGGTAGGAACACAAAGGCTGTGTTAATTCAGCGCAAAGTTTGGTTTTTGGTTGAAATTGAAGATGATATGACTGAAAAATTGTATGTGTATGACAGGTTGATGTGATAGAAAAGTACTGAAGTTTGGAACCAAACTTTAGATCTAAACTCAGCCAAAAGTTTGAATAATGCTAAAAAAAATATTACGAGGTTAATTTATCACGTAATCATCAACACTAAAATATATTACGAGGTTAATTTATCACGTAATCATCAACATTAAAATACACTCCAAGTGGTTAATACATTGTACGATATTACGGTCCTTTGTTTCAGCTTAAAATTATTATAATCTAGATTATTAAATCAGATTACTCTAAACTGAATTATAATAAGCTAGCATAAAATAAGCTACGAGATGTTTGTTTATCTAAATTATTGAAGGCATCTATAGATAGTGGGTCTTTAGCCACCTAATAATCTGGAAAAAGCTCCTCTAGAGGAGATTATTAGATTATAGTAATCTGGCTTACAGATTATAATAATCTATCCTAATAACCTACTTGTTTGTTTCAGCTTACTCCTAATAATCCAGATTATAATAATTTTAAGCTGAATCAAACGAGTCTAATAATCTACTTGTTTATTTCAGCTTACTCCTAATAATCTAGATTATAATAATCCTAACCTGAATCGAACGAGTAGTGCCATTCTTTTATCCCTATCACTAATTCGCTATGTTCCATTGTTTTATCTAAACATAACGACGACTATCTCATCTCGAGCTATTGTAAGTTCACTATGCTAATGCTGTCTTAGTGCTAGATTACTGCAAGGACGTCCATGAAATCCACGTCCACCAGCCACCATGTAGGCTGTTTCAATTGACAAGTCAGCGATCCTCAATCTGCAAGGAGAAGAATAATGTGCAACAGATTAGATAACTGATCAGGGCTAATTGTGCTTGGTGGAATATTAACCAAAGTACTCCTTGATTACCTACCAGAGCCGCAGGTCAGGCTGGTCGCCGTCGTGCGGCTGCGGCCACAGCTGCAGCAACGTGCTCGACGCCGCCACCCCCTTCTCCTCCTCCGGGAAGAAGCAATTGAACGCCTCCGCCGCCGTCGTCGCCGCCGCCGCCGGCGGCAGCATCGTCAGCGCCTCCATTGCCGACGCCTCCCCGGAACCAGGGCTCTGCCAGTTCTCGCTGTGCCAGTTCTCACTCATCTAAAGCCGAACAAATTGAGTATTATAATACTCCTAAATTCAACGTCCACATGTTAAAAAAAGAATAAATTAAATTGGAAATAGTTAACCCGCATTCACGGTTATATTTGTCATTTTTGTTGTAATTTATAAAAGTTGAATTTAAACTTGTATGTTTATGGAGTGAAATATTTTCATATTGATCTATCTTATCAGTTCTTTTAAAAAAATTTGATAACTATTTTATACTAGTTACATGCCCGTGCTAACGCTACGGCGAAACAACAAAAAGATATACAATATATTGTTTGGGCTATCAAGTATAGATTCAAGACATTAATTAAGACTTACATATGAGCGAGTTTAGTTAAGAAGCTTATTAGAAGTTCCTCAGTTATTATATACTCGAAAGGGATAAACAAGCCAAATAAACTACATCCAGGACAAGGTTCAAAATTTGCAAAACAAGCCATAAGGTCGACCCATTCAGTCGACGATGTATTATGTCTTCAACGTCTTTTCTCCATGTCACAGAAAAACCAGTAAGCAAAGAACAAAAGTCTGATTGATATATTAAGTTCTAAACCGATTCCAGGACACATTCAGTCAATTCAGTTCAAATACATAATCATGCGTTTCAACATTAATTAAAGTATCACATTCATATATCAGTACATGGCTTGGCAAACCACAAAGCTGAGGCTGCCTTAATCTAAGCTACAACAAAATTTCTTTTTTTTTTGCATTTTAGAATAAACAGTAAAAGAGAATGGATAAATCACATGTCCTGAAGCTGTAAATTTCTACGAAGTCCTGAGCAGCTCAATTTTGGAGAGGGTAGTAGTGTTGTTCCCTTTATGGTTCATCTGATGCATGAAGAAGGCAAGTTCAATTTCTGGTTCAGTAACTCTTGTTGTTCCTACTGCTTCCAGGAAGTCATATAAACCAGAATCGCCAAGAATTTTCTTGCTTGATGACTGTAAAGAGATGAAAGTTCAAACTGGTCATTAAAAAAATTGTGTGCAGATAAGAGTGGTGTTGAGAAGTCAAGTTATCAAAGTAGCATTTTGTCTTCGTTCCAAAGGAGCTAACTCTGTTTTTAAATATTTGATCTTTTTTTCATAAACTCACTAATGCATATCACTAATACGAGGGAAATTGTAAGTGAATAGTGAATGAAGATAAATAATGGTTTGAGAGAGAGATAGAGGGTGAACTAACCAATATATCCCAACTGCATACAATCATCAAGGGCAATGCGTGCATGAGTGATAGAAATCATGGCAGCAAGTATCATTATTGTGATCACATTCTGCATGGAGAAATGTATTTTTTCCAAGAATATAAGCCCATTCCTCTGCTAGTAAAGTTCCCATGTCAACCTATTTTACTTTAAAACCAAAGAAACTGTAAATAAAAAAACGAGATAGAGATTTGCAATTCACTGGGTACAAAAGTTAGATGCACTTCTTTAACATTTTAGCAGATTGCTTCCAACATATGACATCAACTTCCCAGTCAGTTGGTTATTTTACAATCTTGAAAAGCAATATTTTTCTATCAGTCCAACTAATTTGAGAAAAAAAATTCTGAATGAGATATGTCAAGAGCAGTTGTGAGGCTGAATTGTTCAGGGATGTATGGAAAGCAAGCTTGTGTTTGACGCAACAAATATGTGTATATGTAAGATTGATGGAGTATGGATTCTGAGCGATAGCAGTAGACAATTCAATCAATATTTTATCACCTAAAGATCATGCATAGTATTTTGACGAAACAACGGCAGATGTGCACCTTCAAGATGAAGCTTTACTGACGATCCAAGTCGTTGAGGGGGTCTAAGATCCAGAATCCATAAACACTCTCCAGAACACATGCATTGCAGGTGAGGAGCCGGACGGGACATTTCGCCGAGCACCCCGCGTTCATTGTACTCTGAGGAAAAGCGGCAAGCGCTGGATGATGGGTTTTGTTTCAGAATGCATGATGAATCCGGATGAACCTCCACGATGCCAAGTTCCGGACTGGTCACCTGCTGATGAACTGCATGATGAGTTTTGTTCAACTACTCACCTCTCACGGGATTCACCTGCTGCTCCCCCACCGGCAAGGAACTCCATAGCTGCAGCTCACCCCTGCGATGCAGAGGGGATTGGTGGAGACAGGCGATGCAGAGGACGGCGCGGTGGCTACCTAGCGACGGGAGCACCTCGTGCGGCGGGGATCGGTGGAGCAGAACGGCGGCGACGACCTGGCGACGGGAGGACCTCGTGCAGCGGGGAGGCGGAGGATCGTGGAGGGCGAGCCGGCGGCGGGGATCGGTGGCAGACATGCGATGCAGAGGACGGCGCGGCGGCTGATACGGAGCGGAGCACTGATGGCGGAGGTGCAGGAGCGGAATTCCGGCGGAGGGCGGAGGTGCAGGTGTGGTGGGAGAGCGATAGGGAGGGGGGGGGGGCGGTGCGGGTCGTCCGCTGATTGAGGGAGGTGGAGGTGGGATCGATCTGAACCGTTCGGATTTTACGCGGATGATCTGAACCGTTGAATGATGAATGTAAGAGTGTAAGAGTAAAAGATGAGTAAAACGAGTTGGTGAATTATAGGATAGATGACACGTAAGAAACAAGAGGATATTCACTCGAATCATGAAAACATTTTAGGAAGAACTCAAAAAGAAATTAAAGCCAATGCAGTGGCATACTAGTAGGAGTATTTTAGTTACCATGCGGCACAAGAAATTGTTCTGCTCATGCACGGTCTGATGCTGCATTTCATACAGAAAATCCATATATTAATTCAGCTCACCACTCATCAGCAAAAACCACAACTGCGACTACAATAAGGGAGTAGTGTACCATGCGACGCATATCCTCCAGCTGCTGGCTCATGAGCTCATCCTGCACACAAGCACCTCATGCAGTTAACACATTCTGTCATATAAACTCTAATTGTGAATTTGTGAGCAAAGAAAAAAAAATCGTGGAGGACTTGTATATTCCATAAGGATTTGATGCTGATCTGCACTAATCTTCTGCCATATTTAAGCAAGTGCTAGTACCTTCCTCGCATGAACTTTGCTGAGAGATGATTCAAGCTGCAGCTGCAGCTGGCTGAGCTCATCCACTGTGGACACAGATGACAGGTCTTCTCCAGTTTGCCTCCTTAAACTGGCTTCGAGCTGGTCGATCTCATTCCTTAGCCTTGTGATCTCCATGACCATTTGCTGCAAGGCAGCATCACACATGTAGATTAGTTGTAGAAATGAAGCTTTGAGTGATTAGGAATTTGGTGTGGGACATGCAATTGCCTTTCAAATGTAAAAAAGAAAAAAATAACATGTGTTAGATTCAGTTCGCTTACCTCATCATCACGGTTTGTCTCCTGAAGCCGAGTGTTTCTGGTGGTGATCTCATAACGGTGAAACAGCTCCATCAAGCTTAACAAAGCATAATCAAATATGTTACATCCAGAAACAATATGGTATTACTAGTACATTGGACCAATGAAGTGAACTTATACATGTAAAAGGAGTATTAGCTTCTAGTAGTACTAATCGATGTGGTCATGGGCACTGCTTAATTGAAGAATGCACTATGCAGCAAGCACAAGTCCTATAGGAATAGATCCTGAAATCAAAATTTCAGGATGCCAGAAAAGATTAAATCAGAAAGAAAAGCAAGCTCTAGAACATGAACCATCGAAAGATTTCTAGTGATAATGTTGAATGCAAGGAAAGCGATCCCAATTTCCCAAATCCACTACCAATCATGAAGAACACTACCCATTTGATCGGGATGTTAATCGAACAGTACCCCCAAACATTTATCTGGAATGCTGAGTGAAATATCAACTGCAACAAATAAATGCAATGCTAAATTTCTGAATCATCGCACACACCACCAATCACCACAAAGAACTGAAAACTCAGCTAAGGCATGCAGATATATAGAAATCAAGATTAGAGATCAGCACACACACACACACTCTCTCTCTCTTTCTTGTTTCTTTTAAAGCAGATTTTTCATTGGCATTTCGTCATAAACAAATTAACAAGAAACAGAGATAGAAGCTAGGGCCGGGCGGCGGCGGCGCACATGACCGGCGGGCTGCAGAAGTCGAAGAGCTTGCCCTTGTCGGAGAAGACGACGACGCCGACCTGCGCATCGCACAGCACGGCGAGCTCGTTCGCCTTCTTGAGAAACCCAGCCCTGCGCTTGCTGAACGTCACCTGCCGCCTCGTCGCGTCCTCGATCCTCTTCATCTCGATCTTCCCTTGCCCCATCGCGACCTCGCCTCGCCGCCTGTCCATCGAAAAAACCAAAAAACCCCAATCAAATCGCTTGAATTAAACGGGATCCAGCCACACTGAAAAGATTTCTGCACTTGCCTCGATGAACAAGGGCAGTCAAAGAAGTGCTAGCTCCAATCCAAGACGGACAAACAGAAGAAGGAGAAGGAGTGAGCAGAGAGGAGAATCAAATGGTGTTCTTCTCTTGATTTCCTTCTCTGTTTTTTTCTCTCTCTTTTTTTTCTTTACCTTGGCTTGTGAGACACTGGAACGGCTTCCTTCGAGCTGAAGGAGAGGAGCAAAGCAACGAAGCGTATTTATAGGCCGCGATCTCCACGGCACTAGCACTGTGAATTCACCGATGGCTGTAACTTTCGTTCACTGAACTTCTCGTTCGGAGCGCCTGAGTTTTACAGTCTACCGTTCGTTCAGCACTTCAGCTTTCGTTCGTTCGTTAACTTTCGTTCGGGCGCCTGAGTATTTACAGTACAGTTCGTCCGTTCGTTCGTTCGTTCGCGCGCGTGAAAATGCCAGGAAGTTTCAGGTTCGATCGGGAACGAACGTCGCTCTCCGCGGATAGAAGTTCGTGGCAGCCGCAGGCAGCATTGCAGCAGGAGAGCAAAAGCAACGAAACGAGGCTAATCGGCAAAAGCAGCTAGCAACGTCATGGGGCACAAGAAAAATTCAGAGAGAGCACCTCAACGCAAACGTTGGTTGGAGTTGGATCAGTTTGTCACCATCGGGCTGGTCTCTAACCCAAAAGCAGCATATGGGACTATGGTCGTGTTTAGTTATTTGGCCAAAAAAATTTTAAAGTATACGGACACACATTTAAACATAGATTAATAACAAAACAAATTACTAATTTCGCTTGTAAACACACCCTTAGATTCAGGGGTGTAAAGTTTTGCGTATCACATCGAATATACGTACACACATTTGAAGTATTAAACGTAGTCTAATAACAAAACAAATTACAGAATCCGCCTGTAAACCGCGAGACGAATTTATTAAGCCTAATTAATCCGTCATTAGCAAATGTTTACTGCAGCACCACATTGTCAAATCATGGCGCAATTAGGCTTAAAAGATTCGTCTCGCAATTTTCACGCAATTTGTGTAATTAGTTATTTTTTCGTTTATATTTAATACTTCATGTGTCCAAACATTCGATGTGACATGGTATAAAATTTTACCAGGGGATCTAAACAGGCCCTCTGTATCATGATAGTGCACACAACCAAGTGAACAAGACACTGCACACTTAGGCTAAGTTCTTTGCCTCAACTCCAAACTTCAACTTTTTTCCGTTAGCATGTTTTTCAAACAGTCAATGATGTGTTTTTTTTTGCAAAATTTTCTATATAGAAGTTGTTTAAAAAATTCAGATAAAATCTATTTTTAAGTTTATAATTATTAATATTTAATTAATCATATGGTAATGAGGTTTCTCGTTTTACGTGCACTAAAAATTTATCTCCAAAAGGATAGATCAAACGAGGCCTTAAAAGAAGAGAGAAAATCATAAAAACTCTCGAGATCAAGGTCTTACAACTCGAAAACTAGGTCATCACCCAAATGCCAGGTATAAAACTCCTTAACCACTTGCTCCAAATATAAATAAGCTGAAGTGATAATACCATATAAACCGAGCTTCTGGAGAAATAATCAAGAAAACAACCTGCAAAGGAAAATAAACCGTTTTCCCATAAAAAACAACATCATTATTTGAGAGCCAAAATTGCTCGGCACGTTGTTATCGTCTCTAGTAAAAAAACTGGTCTAAACTTTTTGTTATGTCGCAAAATCCATTACCCAAAGATATTGGACGCGTTTATGGATGATCAAATACGACTACGAGTATACTCCCTCCGATTCTATATTAATTGACGTTTTAGACACGGTTGAGGTCAAACTTTTATAACTTTGATCATCGATAACTTTAAAAATATTTAGTTTAAAGGAACTAGAACAACATGTATAGATTTGTCTTTCAAAGCACTATAATAAAAGTAAACATGTATTTATTTATTATTTATATTATAATAGAAAAATAAGGTTAAAGATATATTTTGTAGACCGTGTCATTGTCTAAAATATTAATTAAAATGATACCTCCGGAGGGAGTAGGAGCGTACTAGGTGCTACTGCGTTTGACTTTGACTGGGAGCGCAGCGTTAGGGTGCATCACCATCAAGTTCGTCTCTCTCACTCTCTGCTTCTCACTACTCGTAAACAGAGAGTAGGCAAGCATGGAAGCAGCTAGCACATGGGAGTGTAGGCGGTACTGCGCTTGAACTTGTCTCTAGGCGATGGGCGGTGGGAGAACCCGGGACCGTTAGCTGTGTGTGCATCACTGCATATTTGCATGCAGTGCGTGACGAATTATACTTGTGAATTTTAAGTTTGTAAATTTTTCAGTTGTAAAATACACCGTTTACCATTTTTCTTAGTTAGGAATGAAGCCCGCGTATTTACAAGACAATATGCATCGTAGGTTACTTTTGAGATACTTATTGTTTTTAATAAAAATGCCTTCGAGTGGTCAAAGCGTAAACTACCTAATTGTAAAAACAATTAATTGGAAGTGCGGTCTAGCGGGCCATGCAAAGGCAGGCAGGTTCGATGAGGCTTCCGGCCTTCCTTATCTCTCGGCAAGGTCTTCTCACCTGGCTGAGGTCCTAGCTAAAGCATGCCGTTTGTGGCAAAACGCAAAAGCGAGTAAAAGAATGACGTGTGGGTCGTCTGGTCTTCTTTTCAACGTTATAATGGGTGTATTCACTTTGACATTATTTTTAACCATACCATTTTCTTTAAAATTGTCAAAAAAAAATGTCTACGTTTAGTTTGTTACTAAATTTGGTTAAGAAATCATACTAAAATTTTAACAATATTGTCATCTTGCTAGAATTTTGGTATTGTCAAAACTTGGTAAAGTTTTTGTGATGTTAGATTTGTTAGTCCGTGTACTAGGCGAGAAAAATCTTTCGTTTTTCGTGCAAATGTTTTTGGGACTGTTATCAGAAAATAATAAAAGAATAAAGAAAAATGATACGTTTATCGGAAAAAAAAAAGACAAACGGACAAGGATACGTTAATCGAATGAAAATAAGAAAAAAGAAAGACGGACAATAATTGTTTTTGCAAACATAAGATAGCAATAAGAAACATGCACATGCATGGGCATCATAGCGTAGGTAACGAACTACAGTTCTTGATCCGATGAAAATAAGAAGGAAAATAAACAAACGGACAAGGATTGTTTTTGGACTCGGTATTACTGCATATCCTTGACTGCTGGATCGACAGGAAACGGCCAAGACCAAGCTGGGAGATCAGCATGCGAGCAAAGCTGCAGGCTCGACGTGGCTTCCGGGCTTGCCTATCTCGGCAAGGTCTTCTTCTCGGGGCCTCCGGCTTGGACGAGGAATATTTGCCGTTTGCGGCCAGCCGGCGAAAGCGAACTGAGATTAATGGCTGGCGAGTAGTGACTGGCGTCATGTTTCTTGACGAGCTCTGGTCACCGTGGAGCTTTTGACATCATTAATGCTATGAAGATTTTGCTATGTACTCCTTCTGTCTCACATAGGCTGTGTTTAGTTTCTGAAATTAGGGAGAAGTTTGGAGAAAATTGGTAGTTTGGAAAAAAAAATTAGAAGTTTATATGTGTAGGAAAGTTTTAGATGTGATGTGATGTGATGTGATGGAAAGTTAGGAGTTGGGGGAAGTTTGGTGTGAACTAAATAGGGCCATAAACTCAATGTAGTATTGGATTTGATGTCTTCTAGTACAACAAATCTGGACAGTAGAAAACGTTCTATCTAATACTAGGTTGAGTTTTTTTTGAAACAGAGGGAGTAGATGTGATGGATAATTGGAGAAAATATTCTCTCAACATAAGCTGGTAATATATTGATGTACCTAAAAGTTTAGGTTAACGACTACAAATTACAGGTGGGTTTATTTCTGAATTTCTTTCAGTTTACTTGTGCTAATTAACTAACTGCTTATACATACATTCCTCGCAAAAGATACTCAATCTATTAACTTGTTTTTCTTTTTTTTTTTCAGAGGTAGTTACTTGGCTTGGTTGCATCGTGCCAACGGTAAGAGTAACTGAGTACGCTCCCCACGCCCAATGCACCTATACTGCCTCCGTTAAAAGAAAAAATCCAATACGAGATGTTATGTTTAAATTCATAGTATCAACACATTTCGCGCTAGTTTTTTTTTTCCCTGACAGAGAAAGATACCCTTGTACACGCCCTAATAAGCCAGCGTAATGGGTTAGGAGACATCATGGCATCATGCATTTGTACACTACTTTCTGTTATTTGTAATGTTTATTCCGAATTTTTTTTCTATTTTACTTGTACACTACTTTCTGTTATTTACGAAGAGACCACAGCTGTATAAAACGGCTTGACTACACTCCAAGACCATACTAATCAGCCCTCACCATGGACAGTACCGTTTCATTTTTTTTTCTTTGACCCGATTGCATTAGATTAACAAACAAGCACGGAGCTATAAGCTACTAAAACACAATGCAAAATTGCAAATATCACAGCGCACTAACGATAAATCATTCAAATGGTGGAAAAAATCAAACAAAATGGTTAGATTAATATAGGGCTGCATGTGAATGCCACAAGACCAGTTTTACCAAACCATTGTAGGCTTTATAAACTGTAGTTTTCTACATTACCTTGGCTATGAGTTGTCTGTTTACTAGCAAATCAAGAGTACGCTGGGGATGTATCCCCCACCCGTCTTTTTATTTCATTAAAAACTCATCGGGTATGTGTTATGGCAGATGCCACGAATGTAAAACATTTTCATTGTCTAAACAAAGAAGATTCCATGAAACCATGCAAACATGAAATACAGAATGACCCACATCAGAGCTTACAAACGTTGGCATGGGCAGTTCAACCACATTAGGTTCAATATCAATGGCCTCGCAAAGGCCAACTTTTGGATTGACAGGAAACGGTATAGTAACTGAAACCCATTAGTCTCATACTCTCATGTCATAAATCCTTTTCCACTACAGCAGAAATGCAACTACCATGAGAGAATCCTAATCCTATTCATAAATTCAGAATAGACGACAACCTGGCTAAAAGTAAAATTCTGAATCAGGTGGTAAGCTTCTTGACAATTCACAGGGATCATTTACTCTTCTTAATCACTTTGCTGCTCTGCAGGAGGCTCTTCCTGCTGTTCCTGAGGATCCTGCCACAGATACCCCGGATGACCTTGCTGACCACCATACGCTATTCCTGCACCTGGGACCTGCTGCTGTGGCACATAGTAGCCATACGGATATGAGTCAGCAGGGACACCCAAGGGCGGCAATCCAGCCCTAGGGAGCCCAACTCCCTCCTCCTTCAAGTCATCCCTGGGAACTATATCTACCAAGAAATCGTACATATCCGTCCTGGTGATGGCAGCTGCTATGTCATTCTTCTGCAAGGTACGGCGCTTGTTCTCCTCCGTGTGCATCCATGATCTCAGGGTCAGCTCCAGTATGAATATCTCACATGCTTTCGCAAAGATCACAGGAGCCTCTGCGGAGATCATGCGAACGTCCTCATCTGCCTTCATGATCTTCTTTATCCTAGCAAGTGGCAAGCTGTGGTTCTTGAAGTCAGTAGTTTGTTCAATATCGACCAGACGTTCAGCCCAAAACTGCTGGAGTTGACGCTGTTGCTGCTGCTGAAGCTGCTGGTGAAATTGCTGGGCTTGCTGATAGACGAGCTGGTGCTGAGCACTCAGTTGATCAGGGTTGGCAGGGAACGACGGTGCTGGCTGTGAACCGGCAGGAATGACAGCAGGAGCTGTAGGCACTGTTGCTGCAGGCCGGTATGCAGGGTACACTTGTGATCCACCAGCAACAACACCAATTGCCGGCTGAGGTTGTGATGATGGCTCCATGTCCTCTCTTGCTTGTCCCAAAACTTATGATATTTCCAACACTGCAAAATAAGAATAACAAACATTGTCAGTTGCATTCTCGATTAGGTAATAGTCCTAGCCTCCCATGTTACAAACTAATAAATTGTGCAGATGAATCGATCTGCTATAGTTTTACTTTTAAGTTCAATGTCTAAACTTGTTCTGAAAAATAGTCATCCGACATAAGATGCTAGCATCAGTTTTATGTACCAGCAGCAGAGCAGGGAATTCATAATTGAAGAAATCAGCCATTAGTAGACATACTAAAAAATTGCAGATATAAGTAACTGTAAGCATGCATGATGCATCACAAAAGTGTAACTAAAAGGATCTTGTAATAAAGTCTACAGGAGAAAATCATCGAACAGAATGTTTGATCAGAAAGCAATAGCAATTAGCAACCATGTTTGGTTCCTTAGCCTACCTTGCCTAGCAAGGTTAGCAGTTGGTTGGTTAGATTTTGGGCACATTTTTCGCGAATACACATAAGCTTTGTGTATCATTGTATTAAGATTTTGGGCACAGTGAGCAACAAATTCCTTGATTTATCTATCATATCCTAGGAAGACTTTCTCTTTCAAGCTTTACCTAGCCAAACTCCCATCATTTAGTACTTCAGCACCTACCAATTTCATCCTTAGCACAAATTAGCAATACCGGTTCTCCTGCTAACCTTGCATAGCCAAATTCTAAGCCACTAGTACTTTAGTACCTTTCCAAATTCATCTTCAGTGCAAATAAGCAAGCCCACAAAAGGTGACCCTTGATAGTGTTTATTTATGAAAAAGAAAATAATATGGTCAGCAAGAATTTTCAATGTTTGTCTGAAAGCCTCCCTGTATGATAACACACACGATTAAGACTGTGAGTTGTATTAGTAGTCATTAGTAGCCACGGGGTTTCTTATTGCAAACAGGCCCCACAGGTGCCCTGCAAAGCATAGTTAATTCTTCAATAGTTAAATATTGCCCCAAGACAGTGACAAGGGGTGGGAAAGGCTGAGGCTCAAAAACATTTGAATAATGGCAGTACCATACTTGTATGATATTGCTATCTAAAAGCATGATCAATATGAGCACGCATCAAAACAAATAAGAAGTTGATGGCAATGGATATAGATATCTGAATCAAGGATAATCATGCACATTTTAAATTATGATAAACTAGCATCACATCCCATGAGTTGTGATGGATCGAAATAAATATACACAAATTTTGAGTTTAAACAAGTAATCATTATCTAATCTAAATAATTGTATACATATAATAATGCAAGATCAACCGATAACTAATATATGCATATGCAACAGTGAAAGAATGCAATATTTTACACAAAAAAAATCCTATAAACAGCACATGTGTAGATGGTCTATTCTAAACCCATTAATGAAAAATCTGATCATGCATAGAACCAGAACCAATTCCTCTTTTTAAATAGTATTGATGGTCTCTCTTCTATGCATAGATTCAATAGGACTAATCACAATCCACATACATACCCGTATCTCCTTCAGGCACAATACTTGTAGCACAAGGCTGTCAAGACTAAGGATTCCAAAGTGTTAACACATCTAATAGATCACGTGGGGGCTATTTCAGTACACGCTGCTAATAACATCTAATACATGTAGGAGGTATATATTCCTCAGTGTACTACAAAGGAAGAACAGATCTAGTAGGTCATAAATAAGGCAACTATTACAGTATAGTTCTAGATTTCCAGTTATGCTACACAATCAGGCGAGTTAGGGCATACAAATATATAATCAGTAGTAGGTCTGTGACTGCTTGAGTACTAGCTAACAATTTTAAAAACCTTGGTATTTGTGATATTTGTTAGATAGGCAATCAAAGTCAAATGTATGTAGGAAACAGAAAATTTTAATCAAACAGGCCAAATTCATATCTGAAGGATGTTCCTGATTGTACATTGAACTGCTCACCCCCCTCGATCTATGCATTTATTTCGCACACGCACAGATATAAACACTACAAGAAATATATCTGATCATCTGAAACAAGTTTCGCTAGACCAAATCATTAAACTTATCTAAAGCCAGGCTATTGCACAACTGGATTTAAGTAGAAAGTTGGCAAACAAGCTAGTACTTACCGTCTTATGCATGCAACGTAGATTCCTTATGCACCTGAATTTCTCCTTTTCAATTTATACAAGTCTCAATCAACAAAAGGGTATATATATAACTCGATGATGGGAAAGTCGCAGTTATCGGATAAGCATGATTTGGTATTGATATGGCAGTAATTAAAGATATGGGTCCACTTCCTTTTTTTGTTACTTTCTAGACCTTTTCAGAGGATAAAAATTTGCCATCGACAATTTCGTGACTCAAACATTTTGGTTCACAGGGGACTTGTGACCTGAGCAATTTTTTCTGACAAGCGACAACTGAAACTAACTAATAAATTATGCTAGGTTACGAATGTAGCGATGGACCAGATATAACACAAGTGGCCCAACCTGACCAAGCCCCACAAGGATTTGGCCTGCTAGGTATGCTCAAAATTATGTCAGTCAAGGCCCAAAAAATATCATTAAACTGGGCTAGTGAATATGTCAAGGCCCAAAAAATATCATTAAACTGGGCTAGTGAATGTGTCAAGGCCCTTGTACTCTTCAGCCTAGCTTAAGTTATCAGCCTGTCTTCAAGGAAAATTAGTCCAGCTGGAGGTTGCAATGTTGGGTTGGGTCCCTACTGAGTTAGGGGGTAGTAGGGCTTGAGATTAGAAACTTTTATTTGATTACTTCCAGTTAGAGGATTTTGCTAACAATGCCAATTTTGGCATTATTCTCAATAAAATTTAATTCATGTTCTGTTCTTATAGACTTGAATTGAATTACAGCTGAAGAAAACTTTGTACAAATCTAGTGTAGACAATCCATCGACTCTCTTAACCTACAAAATACACTAGGGCAGAAATCACCTATAGGGATAAATGTGTATCGCTAGCTACAATTCCTTCCCATTACAATCTCATATTTACTATTTTCTGATTTATGTATAAACTCTCAACGAACTTTGATGGAAAAAGAGGTACATGGAGATTGTTATGGTTTTTAACAACGTGGCCATGAGATAACCGATATAAACAATTATGTTTGGCCACTAAATTCAAGTATGTTGGAACGATCTAATTAATTTGATCAAAATGCTGGATTATTGTGTGAACTTTCAATTACCGAGTAAAGACATAACCTAAGGTTCCTACAACAAAAGTTTGTCCATACCAAGATAGCAAATGTAGAAAGGTTTCTAGACAAGAAGCAATTGCTCTTCACAGAATGGATGAAGATAAGCCATGGGATCATGGATATAATCTCAGAACAGGGGAGAAAACACTAGCCTTGCAAAATTAGTACTCGGTGTATATGCAAAACTACCAACTCTACTGTTGGCATACTTGGGCAGTTCAAAATCACAAGATCTTCAATACAATTATACGGTCGTATTTCCTACTGTTCAACAAACAGATACTTCATATAGGATTTTTCCCCCTACTGTTTTCCATAACAAAAACTTGTGAATGCATGATTCAGATTCCGTACAAGCAAACAAAAGCACAAACGGATTAACTGTTGGACCGATCAATCACTTATTAACGACAATGATCCCAACAATTTGACCCCCAATTTGACCAAGGAGACACAGCTATCAGACGACCACTATTTTTAGTAGTCAAACTACCATCGGATTAAATCACGCATACTTTTTTCCTAACAAATGTGGAAAGCAATAACTTATACACCACCACGGACGGCTTTGCCCAACGTGGCGAGCTGAACCCCCCAACCCGACATGCATATATTTTTTGAAATTTCGGAAACACAAAAACTGATGTCCGATTCATACCCAGATGGAGGCAGGCAAGGCAGGAACGAGGAGGTCGCCGCGCCGCCCCTCCAACCCTGCTCGCCGTCGCCGCCCGCCGTGTGCGGAAGCAGAGGAGCCCCGTCCACACCGCGCCTGCGGAACTCCTCGCCGGCGACGCCGCGCCCTAGCTCCGCCTCCGCCTCCGCAGATTGGGAACGGAGAGAGAGAGGAGAGGAGAGAGGGGGGAGATGGATCGAGAGAGAGGCGGAGGTGGGGGAAGTAGTCTCTCCACTTCCTCTCTCTGTTCTTAAATTCTCTTGGGAGGGAGAGCTCGCCTCCCATTGGAGGGAACACCTGGCGGGTTGGCGGGTCCGGATCCGACACAGGTCAAGTGCCTGTGGTGTGGGGCCACATGTCGGTGTCAGAGGATGAGGGATGTGTGCTCCTCCTGCCGTGCTGGAAGATGCTTTTAATTAGCTCGTGTTACTGATGATTATTAGTTGTAGTAGCTCGAGTTAGTTGGAAAATGGCGGCAGATGGGAACCGTACAAGGTAGTTGGTTAAGTATTGTTTGTATCGAAAGCTCCAATTATTGTCACTTGGTACACAAACAGTAGGGGCTCATGCCTTAACCATTCTTTGTTGCGTAGGGAGTACTTGTGTAGGGTAACTAATAGCCAAAGCATCACAAATCACAAACCAGAACTTGACAGAAAATTGGCCTTTTTAACCAGCACCTGACAACCAGCCAATTTTCTGTTACAGCACAAAGTACACTGTTACAGCACTTGACAAAAAACGGTGGGCCTGATCGGAACTGCTGGCTGCTGCAGCCGTCACGACTGTGGCCGTTTTCAGCTGCTGCTGTAGCTGATTTTTAGCTCTCGCAGCCGCAGCGGCGGCAGCAGCAAGCGCTACCGATCTCTCTCAGTGTTTGACATTTCCGACCTCTTTAAAAATAAATATTTTTTATACAATTTTATAAAGCTACTTAAAATCTGCAAAATTTTTACAATCCAAAAGAACCATTTTTTTATGCTACTGCTATTTACATTGAGGTGTTGCTTTGTTGGCAAATGGCAAATCACACTGAAACTCTGAAACCCGATCATATATACCTTGACAGCGTGAAATGGCTCGATTAATTTCTCTAGGATAAGAACGAATTCGCAAATGCTCCTCCTACGGTAAACAAGCACATCACCATCCAGGGTGCGCACGTACGCAGCACATTGCAATTACCTTTTTTTTTTCCCTTGCTTTTTTGCAGCTAGTGAGTGGAGTAGTGACCAACTTATCCACAGCAAAAGCAAGCAAACCATGGACGCCATCGTATGCACGTATATCCAATTTATCCAGTGCTGTGCTAATAAACTGTTAATCCGTCGCATTTATGAGGCATCTTCAACGGTTTCACGCTGGCAATGGCAAGTGACAACGCAACGTCTCCTTTTTCCTCTTATGCTCTCACACTTTGTTCAGCAACGGCGATAGCAAGAGGATGAATCAGCAATAGCCACTAGTTCTTTTCTCAAACGCGCGAAAGAATTACACGTCAATATATTAGAAGAAAAAGAGTTTTAGTTATACAATACAATCGGCCAGGCCTATGCCGGAGGGGAAGAAAGAAAAAAAAACAAGAGGTAAAAGAAAAGAAAAAACTACTGCGAAACAAAGACTACTCCAAATAAACAAGAGGCAGGACTAGTTCAGTCTAAAGGCCTATTTAGGCCCAGTTACTGATCAATTTCCCAGGCCCATTATATTCTGGAATCTGGACATAAACAGAACAATCTATTCTGAAATCTGAATATGCAGAGTACATCCATTTTCTGTCAGTACAGTACACTAGATAAATCAAGAGATCAGAGCTCCTGAATTCCATGGATTTTACATTTTCATTTTTTTTACTCCACAACAGCTTGCTCGAAGCCTCGAATAGTGATAGAATTCGATGCCGATGACGTAGTAATAATTATCCATCGACTAATTCGGCTGTCAAAGTTCTACAAATAATCAGTATACTGTCCTACTTATTTACCACAAGCACGAAGGCAAGCGTCTCTGATGAGGCGCATCTCGTCGGCGGCGACGCTCATGGCCATCCTCTCGTAGGGAGCTCGCCGGGAGCAGCTGAGCCCGACCCTAATGGCGGATGCCAAGCAATCGCGCACCGTGACGCGCGCCTCGCTCTCCTCCTCCGACGTCGTCGACGACGCTGCTCCGTCGAGCTCCTCGGCCTGCAGCAGCAGGGCCACGTCGAGGATCTCCTCGATGTTGTCCGGGAACGCGCCGGCGACGAACTCCGGCAGCGTCAGGCCGTCGCGGAGCTCGCCGTCCGTCGGCGCCTTCCCGGAGAAGATCTCGAGGAGGGTTATCCCGAAGCTGTACACGTCGCCGGAGGCCGTGACCATCCCCGTCGTGCCGTACTCCGGCGCGACGTACCCAATCGTGCCGCGTATGCCGATGGTGCTCTCGGTGTTCGCCGCCGCGGCGCCATGGCTGGCCGGATCAAGAAGGAGCTTGGCGAGGCCGAAGTCGCCGATGCAGGCCGTCATGTCCTCGCCGAGGAGAACGTTGCTCGGCTTGAGATCGCAGTGGATGATCGGAGGGTTGCAGCTGTTGTGGAGGTAGTTGAGCGCGTCGGCGATGTCGACGGCGACGTCGAGCCTCTGGATCACGCCCAGGCCGCCGGCACCGCCGCACCATTTCCCGGTCTCCGTATGCTTCGCACGATGCAGCCACCTATCGAGGCTGTAGTTGGGCATGAAGTCGAACACCAGAGCTCTGAACTCGTTGCCCTCCATGTCGATGCTGGAGCAGCAGGTGACGATGTTGATCAGGTTCCGGTGCTTGACGCTGCGCAGCGCCTCGCATTCCGCCATGAACGTCTTGGAAGCTCCGACTTGCCGGAGGTCGAGCACCTTCACGGCCACCACGGCGTCCTCGCGCGCGAACTCCCCCTTCGTCTTCAGTGACAGGGTCCCCCTGTACACCGACCCGTACTTCCCGGCGCCGACGAGGTTGGCGTCGGCGAAGTCGTCGGTGGCTTTCGCGAGCTCGGCGTACGTGACCCTCGGGTAGTAGTTGCCGTTGAGCACGCTGCGAGCGGCGGCGTTTCCGGTTCTCGAACTCCTGATCTTGCGGCGCCACCGGAGCAAGGCGAACATCACGGCGAAGCAAAGGGCCGCCGCGACGACAGGCAGAGCGATCTTGAGGAAGAGATGAGCTCGTCGTGTGGAGTTGCCCGGCGCCGGACATGGCGGCAACCGTAGCCGCGCCGCGCCGCCGCAGAGCGCGGTGTTCCCGGCAATCCTCAGCCCGGTCGTGTTCGCGAACACGCCGTGGACTGGAACCTGGCCGGCGAGACGGTTGTAGGACACGTCGAGCTCCATCAGCGAGCTCATGGTCTCGAGGCTCGCCGGTATGCCGCCGGACAGGTCGTTCCGCGAGAGGTACAGCTCTTGCAGTCCCGGCATCCCGCCGAGCTCCGGCGGAATGCTCCCGGACAACCTGTTGCCCGTCAGGTTCAGCCTCCTGAGCCCTTTCAGCCCACTCAGAGATGGCGGGATGCTTCCGACGAACACGTTGCGGGCCAAATCAAGGAACTCCAAGCTCTGGCAGCTCTCCAGCTCGGTCGGCACCTCGCCGGAGAAGCGGTTCCCCGACAACGCCATGAACGCGAGCTTCGTGAGCTGGCCGACGTCGGGAGGGATCGGGCCGTCCAGCTGGTTGTCCGACAAGTCCATCAGCAGCGACAGCGACGAGAGGGTGAACAGCTCACTCGGGACATGGCCGGTGAGCTCGTTGCCGGAGAGGTTAAGCAGTGTCAGCTGATGCAGATTGCCAAGGCTGGGAGGAATCGATCCGTTCAGCGAGTTGCCGCTCAGGTCGAGCTTGAGCAGCTGCGTGAGGTCGCCAATGGCGGATGGCACCGGCCCGGCCAGTTCGTTCTGCTCTAGCAGCAGCTCTCGAAGGTTCTTGAGCTTGCCGATCGCTTCCGGGATCTCGCCGGAGAAGAGATTGGACTGGAGGCACAACGTTTGCAGCCCGACGAGGCTCTCGATCTCCGGCGGTATTACGCCGGATATGCGGTTGCCGGCAAGGTTCAGCGCCTCGAGCTGCGGCGAGAGGCGGACGACGGAGGGCGGCATCACGCCGGCGAACTTGTTGCCGTCGAGGAGTATCTCGGCCAAGGCGCTGCAGTTGGTCAGGTTGTCCATGAACTCCCAGCCGCCGCCGGCGTCGTCGGTCGCCGTGAGCTGGTTGTTCGACAGCTCCAGCGACAGCGGGCAGAGCGTGCCGATCTCGCCGGGCACCTGCCCGGCGAAGCTGTTGTTCGCGAGGCTGAGAGCCACCAGCGCCGTGGCGTTCGACAGCGACGCCGAGATCGGGCCGGCGAGGAGGTTGCCGCCGAGGAAGAGGTACTGGAGGTTCGGCGTGCGCGCGCCCGCGTCGCCCGGGAGCTCGCCGCGGAACGCGTTGTCGGCGAGCGCGAGGCCACGCAGCGACGTCATGTTGAAGAACCCCACCGGGATCTCTCCGGCGAGGCTGTTCTGCGACAAGGCTAACATGCCGAGCGCCGGGAGGCGCGACAAGCCGTCGGGGATGGAACCTTCCAGAAGGTTCTGGTCGAGCTCGAGCCGAAAGATCTTCGTCAGGTTCGCCAGCGACGGCGGGATGCGGCCGGAGAGCGAGTTGTGGCTGAGCCGGAGCACGGCGAGGTTGGGCAGCGCGCCGAGCCACCGTGGGACGCCGCCGACGAGGTTGTTGTTGTTGAGGTACGCGACGGCGAGGGCGGTGCAGTTGCGGAGCGCGTCGGGTATCTCGCCGGCGAACGCGTTGTCGCAGAGGCTGAGGTACCGCATCCGCCGGAGCCGGCCGAGGCCGCCGGGGATGCTCCCGGAGAAGGCGTTGGAGGTGAGGTTGAGCACCACGAGCCGCGTGAGGTTGGCGACGGCCGGCGAGAGCTCGCCGGCGAGGCGGCCCATGGACACGTCCAGCGACGTGACGCGCCCCGCCGTGCAGTTCACCCCCGGCCACCGGCAGAAGTGCACCGTCTCGTTCCACGACCGGAGCACGCCGGTCGGGTCCGACGTCACGCCGGCCTTGAACGCCATCAGCGCGTCCCTGTCGTCACTCTCCGCCGCCGCCGTCGCCGCCGCCAATGGCAAAAGCAACAGTAACAACACCGGTGCAACTCCAACTGGCATTGCCATGCTTGCTAGTATGAGCGATGAATCTATCGAACTTTTTTTTTTATCTTCTTCAGTATGCAAATTTGTTGTGTGAAGTTGGGGCTTTATTTGTACTAGGTTTGCATGGGCGGGAGTGTGCCACGATATTCCAAACTTAGCTAAGGTGTTCGGCTGGCATGTACCCTTGCCGTGATGGAACAACTGGTCACATAAAAATCCGTACACAAAGTATAGTGAATGACCGAATGAGTGTAGCAATGCATTGGAGGGAATATTGGATTACATAGGATAGTCAAACGAGGAACCTACTGTTCTGTTGACCACTTGCTACGCGAGAGAAAGCAGACGTCGCGGCCAGAAACCAAGTCAAACGAACTGAAATTTTTGAAAATATTTGGATTGTTTTGACCCTGATAACACCCGGCTGGAGCTGCTCAGCTCGGTCTTTGCTTGCTGGCGGCCTAAATTCCATCAATTCGTCCCAGGACAACTGGATCGACGGGTTGACTTTTCAATGGAACACTTGTATCAACCTGGTCGACAGGATGTCGTTACTCTACTTTTTCATCAATCATCTGGTGACAATTGACTTTTTGTGTGAGTGACAGGGTGCTTGACCTGGTCGTAGCCCATAGTAGGCCAACTCAGAATTTTTAGTGGGCTTGGTTGGACAAGTGGGCCAAAAGTTGTAGCCCTATATAACTAAAACGGCCCACTAGTTAGAGCCAAACCCAATGCAGGCAGGAGGCAGCCCTCCCCTGAACCAAACATCCGAGATTTTTTTTTAATAAGTTCACTTTAACTCCCTTAACTACTCATCGAATCTGATTCGTATTCTTAAACCGACCAGATATATTGACCTCTCAACTATCAAAATGAGTGTAATTTGACTTTCTCGGTGGTTTTGGAGGACGGTTTCGCTTACGTGACGTTTACACGACAGTGTTGACTAGTTTTAATAGTCGAGGGTTCATAATATCCGATATTATGGTACAGATAAGTATATAAGGAAGTGGTCTTTTTTTTTCTCCACATTAAACCGATTTATAGCAACCGTCGGATCGAGGGCAAAAATAATAATAAAAAAACTAATTGGACCAGCAAATCTTGGAGGAAAGAAAATCCCCAACTCGTGGGGGCTCCATGTCGTCGTCTTCCTCCTCGTCCCATCATCACCTGGTGGCGCCGCCATGGTCGGGCACGGGCAGCTTCGCCTGCTACCATGGCGAGGAGGGGAAGCGGCCTCACCCCGACGAGAGCGCAAAGATCATCACGTCGATCAAGAGGTTGTACGACGAGGCGGCGCGGCGGCTGCCGATCGACGAGATCACGGAGCTCGTCGGCTGCATCTTCGAGGGCGGCCACTGCCTCGGCCTCGCCGACCCCGTCGGCAACATCATCCTCAACGCCATCGCCCACCACGCCTCCGGCAGGGCGGCCGCGGCGCCGCACCTCGCCCTCCCTCGCGAGGAAGGCAAGTCGCTGTGGGGTATCCTCGCCGCCCGCTCCTACGCCGGCCTCGTCGCCTTCATGTCGTCCTACTTCCGGTACATCTCCGACGAACAGGCTAGGCGCTACCTCCACCTCGCCGCCCACGATCGACCTCCCCCTCGCCGTCAGGCTCGTCCTCCACGACCGCCGTCGTCGGTGCCAGCGCCCACGCTTGCTCCCCGACGGCGGCAAGATCAAGGCCGCGCTCAGGGTCGCGGCGCTGAAGGCGGCGCACCCCGCGCTCGACGAGCTGGCGCGCCTCATGACGGCGCAGTTCCCCGCCGGTCAGCTCTCCCCTATCATGGCCTAACTGCAAGGGAGCGAGCTGCTCACCGCCGGCGACGTCATGGACATCAAGAACTTGCTAGGTCATCAATGGCCGCAGGTCAACATAGACTTCTTGCGCCGTCCGTACGGCCTCGGCGGCGGCCAAGATGGCACGGTGACGCTTCGAACCACCATCGGGGAAGATGGCCGTGTTGCCCTAATCACGATCGCTGCAGACGCAAGCCGCATCGACTCTCCTCAACTCGGGTACATCTCCGACCTGACGTTCGATTGCGAAACCATGGAGGCGAAGCTGTCCAGACGCTTGGCGGGTGTGACGCGCGCGGCGGACGACGGCGACGAGGCTGCCGGCGCAGCGCTGAACTACGACCTCTCCCCATGCGAGCACATTCTGTCGCTGAAGATGTGCCTCCTCGACGCCATCCATGGCTTCTACATCCGGGCGCTCGCCGTGCTCCCCGCCGGCGACGGTTGGACGACGACGCGGCGGCGCGGCCGCTTCATCCGCTCCCTCCTCGCCGCCGGGCACTGCTACGGCCCTCTCGACCCCGCCTCCAACATCATCCTCAACACCGTCTGGTACGACGCCGCCGCTCCTCCTCCGCCCGACGACGAGGCTGACCTACCGGGAGACATCTTTGACACCGACGCCATGCTCCGTGTGGAATGCCGTTCACTGGACGGCCTTGTCGCCGCCGTCCGCGCCGCCGCCGCCGCCGCCGGCAAGCCGATCTCGGAGCATGAGGCGATCGAACACCTCTGGTCCAGGCAATGCGACCTCACCGAAATTCTTCAGAACAGCAGCAGAGAGAAGAAGAGAAACCCCTACGCCGCCGCCGGCGAGGCTTCCGATCACCCCCAGAGCGCCATGATCGGGTCATTCCTCGTCTCCCTCTCCGGCGAGAACCTCGACTGCCTGCGCCAATGGCTGAAACCCGCGCGAGATTTCGGTTCCTCCGGCTGCGTGATCTCTGACGTTGATTGGGAGAAGCTGAACACGATGATCCACGGACATCAGCCAATCCGAGGACTGAAAAGAAAGAGATCATCATCTGAAAACCCACTGAATACACAAGCCCTGTCAGAAATATCAACGGTGAGATCAGCCTTTGTGAAGCGAGAGAAGTTTCTTCTTGCCAAGTTTGAAGAATTGCTAGGCACCTATTGCAGACAACATCCTTGGGTAATCAAATTGGGAACAAATTTGAACTCCTGCTCAAATTTTCGATTGCTTATTTGACTAACTTTTCTTTTTCATCCACTGGATTGTGAACTTGTGATTGCTGCTGCAGGAACGAGCTTTGTTCTGGTCCAGAAGTTGGTACCTCCAGGTACTGGTACCACAGGTACCAAACGAAATCCGGCCGTTCAATAAACTGGGGTACGATTGGAAATGAAGTAAAGCAGCCAGCTAGCGTGCGACGACGAAATCTCCTCATCTTCACAGGCATATCCGAGTCGCCGCTGCCGTCGCATTCTGCTCTCCTTGACGCATGACATCGTTCCTCAGCTCGCTCCGTCGCGCACGTCTCTGTCACCGCCGTCGCTGCTGCCTGTCCTCCCCCCAGCCCCAGCGTGTCCTTGCTCTGCGGCAACGACAGTGGGGCCGATGGCCGACGCTGCCGCAACATGTATCCTGACGCGCCGGACTTTGTCGCCACCGCCGCTGTAGTCTGCACCCTATAATTGTTCCGGAATGGAGGTTGTGTTGGAGCTTTTCGCATGAGTATTGATTTTGTGTTTGTCTGACAAATCAACCTGAAGCCATTTAGGCAAATCAACTTCATGCTTCTCTTTTTTTTTGCGGGGAACTTCCTGCTTCTCAATTTATTCCTGTATGTATCTTTCTTGCTCAAAAACTGTTCAACCAAATCAACCATCGTCGTCGCTAGCAATGACCCGTGGAGTGATGCCGTCGTCGCCGAAGACAATTATCGGAGCGCTGCCACCGCAGTTGCAGATGATCCCTGGAGCACCGCCGTCACTGCCGATAACTCCTGGAATGCTGCCGTTGTCGCCGCTGACAACAACTCCTGGAGCACCGTTGTGGCCTCAGAAGACTGGTGGAGCGCACCGTAATTCCTGAAGCGTCGCCGGCTCGCCGCCACTGCCGTAGATTTTCCTCTGCAAAGCCTTATCCAAAACACGAATCAAATCGACGAAATTCCTTTCCAATGTGCAAATACAATTTTACCCCTCCACCTCATTCCCCTTTGGCAGGTACCACGTAGGGAGTAAATGGTACCTGAAGGTACCAATTGATGTCAGCCATCCGATCATACCTATCCAGCGGTCCACATTTGGTACCGGGCTTCACTAGTAAAAAAACTCAAAAGATTACTATACATGTTTCGGTGAGTCACTGAGCCCTTTACGATATTATCTTAATGTATTGTGTACTATGTTGAAGAAGTGCAGCTATGGTAGTTGGTAAATATATGTAATTTTGTCAACATAAATTAAATTAGAAGTAAATTGTACTTTGGGCTACATATTCTTACTAAAGTTTTACTTTAGACCACCTTTATAATGTTTTTTTTCACTTTGAACTAAATATTGTTGTCAAATGTTTCGACCAGGTGGCCCGCATGTAAGAGACACATAGACAATAGAGGTGGTTAGTCTTATTGACATGTGGGCCACCCAATTCAAAGTAATAACATTTGATAAAAATACCTAATCTAAAGTTAAAAAAGCACTTCAAGAGTGGTTCAAAGTGAATTTTTGGTAGAAATATGTGGCCCAAAATGCAATTAATTTTAACAGACTATGGTAGTGGACCAATCGTGTGCTATGGCTCTTAAAATCAGTAACATCCACTTTCTGTTTTTGCCTTAAAATGAATACAATGATAATGTAGCAATCATATACATCTAATTTTGGATGGCATCTATACTTTTCTCTTATCAGACTTTTTACACCGATCTATCTCCATTGTATATCCTCACCTCCCATTTTATTTTGGCTCTGTAATCAGGTCGATGCACCTATTGCGAGTACAATCCAAGCAAAATTGTTCATACACCCTGCGGAAATCATAATCCGGCCAACATTTTTTTTAAGATAATGGAAATGGGTTACATCTCCGGGCAGGCATACAGCCAAAAAGTCCAGAAGTGAATAGAAAAGAGCTTAAAAAAACGAGATAGGACAAACCCCAACTTCTGCCGATAATATGATATACTAAAATCATATTTTTTTTAAATCACGTAGATTCTATCACGAAATTCTGTAGGTACTACGCCATCCAAACCGGAGTAAAAGTTCCTTGGCTACCAATTTCAAGCGTGTAGCACCATTACGCATAGTATCCTGTTGTTCCTGTGAAAGCATCATACACCAAGAGTGGAGCTAATTGGAACACATGAATATAACCTGCATGATGTTAGGCATTTTTTTATGGTTAAAAACCATATCATTACGGCAACGCCAAATTGACCAACATAGAGCACTAGCTCCAAATAAAATCATTTTTTTGTGTGTCTAGGCACTCCCCTTAGCCAGTTACCAAAAATATCTTTTGCATTGTGGGGAGGGGGAATATTGAAGGCAAAGAAGACACATCGCCAAGCAAAACGTGCAACATGACAGTCAAAGAAAAGATGTTGGATGGTCTCTTGTGTATTACAAAAACAACATTGCTTGTTTCCCCTCCATTTTCTCTTTATGAGGTTATCTTTTGTTAAGATTACTTTTTTTGTGAAGCAACCACATAAATACTTTGATTTTTAGTAGTACCTTTACCTCCCATAAGATCCTCTTGTGGATTCTTACATTGGAATTGATGATCGCATTATACATGGATTTGACCGAAAAATGGCCATTTTTATGTAGCGACCAAATAAAGCAATCATTTTCATTTGACAGGGTTATGTTAGCTAGTCGAGAAATCAAATCATTCCACTCAACTAACTTTGGTCCTACAATTGATCGTCGGAATAAAACATTCAACGGTGTTGTGCTCATAACCTCTGCCAAAGTAGAATGTCTCTTTCGAACCACATTGTACAGAGAAGGATATTGATATTTGAGTGGTTGCAAGCCTAACCATGTGTCTTCCCAAAATCTTATTTCTATCCCATTACCAGGTTTAAAAGATCCATACTGAAAAAATTGATCTTTTACTTTCATTAGGCCAGTCCAAAATTGGGATGTTCCTGGTTTGTGTGACATGTGAGAGAGGGGTTTACCTTTTAAGTACTTGTTGCGCAAAAGGTTTTGCCATAGGCCATCACCATTAAGAAGCTTGAATAGCTATTTGCTCAACAAACATCTATTCATGATATCAAGATTTAGGACACCCAGTCCACCTTGATCTTTTGGCCGGCATATATAATCCCATTTTGCTAACCTATATTTCTTTTTCTGGCTATCACTGCTCCAGAAAAAGCTCGATCGGTAGTAATCCAGTATTTGAAGTACAGCTAGAGGTATTTCAAAAAAGGATAACATGAACATGGGAAGGCTCGAAAGAACCGAGTTAAGAAGAACCAATCTCCCACCATAGGAGTTATTTTTTCCCTTCCATGTGCTAAGTTTTCTTTGAAACCTATCCTCCACACATTTCCAATCAGAATTTCTGAGGTTTTCGATAGTGTATGGGGATTCCTAGGTATCTGAATGGAAAGGATCCAGAATTACAACCAAACAGTTGTCTATATTGGTCCTCCATTTCCTTAGCTCCCCCAAAGCAGAAAATTTCACTTTTATGAAAGTTTATTTTCAGCCCCGAGAGATGTTCAAACACACAAAGAATGGCCTTCATGTTTTTTGCTTGTTCAAAATCATGTTCAAGAAATATTATTGTATCATCGGCATATTGGAGAATGGACAAACCATCATCCACTAAGTGAGGAATTACCCCACTAATTTGGCCATCGGCTTTGGCTCTTTCAATAAGAATGGCTAACATATCAGCCGCTATGTTAAAAAGAATTGGGGACATTGGATCCCCTTGTCTCAAGCCTTTGCATGTCCGAAAATTCTTTGAATCTGGCCAACATATATGACTATAATAATTTGTATTCCTCTACTTCGCTCCATCTTGGTTTCAAAGAGAAGAAAGTGCCGGAGTCAGACTTCCTATATCTGTTTGATCATGAAGGTGATGAGAAAGTGACAGAGATATTGAGACAATCCTGTCATCATGAATATGTTTTGGCCCCAACCTTGGTGAAGAATTGGAAGCATCATCAAGATGTTTTGGCTCCGACCTTGCTGGAGAATTTTGAGGCATCATCCAGATTTTTTGGCTCCAACCTGCTGAAGTGGTGATATCCCAATAGCATAGCATGTTCAGAACTGCTAGGAACAAAATATTATTGCTGTACTTGTCTAAAAAAAATTATTTCTGTTGACGTACTAATTAAGCGAGTAATCATGGAAGGAGCAATGAAAAAAAACCCATGTCTGTGTTCATGTTGGTGACTGTCGAAGAAGGTCTACCTGTATGTAAGGCTGTAACGAAATTCTCGAGCGAAGAGACTTACGCTCGTGGTGTTTCTTGATTTTTTACATTGTTGGATCACCGTGATACTTTGGGCAGAAATATTCAGCCTATGCGATGGAGAACTGGGCCAAAAGCTATAGGCCGATAAGTACAATGGGCCATTAGTAGAGCCTAACCCCAAACAGGCAGTCTCCTCTGAAGTCTGCACCTTCAAGAGGGCCTGGCCTATAATTGGACTTGGGTTTTCAATTTGGCAAACGATTGGGCCTCAAGATCAGGTACGTGAAAAATCTAGTAGTAGGAGTATAATGTCAATTAGTGTATATATGTTAATACATTCATACGGTTAAGTGTGCACACGTTTATACTGTGATTCTAAAAAAAAGTTCTTTGCTTTCCGTCGTTGGAAATTTGCTGCACAGAGCAACCGTTCTTCTCTATTTTTCCTCTCTTTTTTCTTCGAGCCCTTCCGCTCCTCGAATCAATGCAGGAGCAGTGAAAATGTGAAATTTTATTTACTAGTAGCACCGATCGATCTCGCGTCCTCGCCGGTGGTCGGCACCGTCACCCGTGGGCACAGGGGTCCCGTGCGAATAATCGCTGTGGCGCAGCGGTGACACTAGTGAGTAGTAGTAGTGACCGACTACTGTAGAATGCAGCGACAACGCAACGACGCCGTAACAACTATTGTAGCCTGAATGATGCAATCAACACAACATCTACTACAAAGTTGGCGAGCATCCAATTTTTCTTGATCTCGGCGATTTAATCAGCCAATTTCAGAATTTCATGAAAAAAAGGAATTAATGGGACGATTTATATCAGGAATAATGTGCATGGATTTCCAAGAAATCAGCACGAGAGATCGAAACCATCATCTCGGCCAATGGAGAGAGCCATGGAAGAAATCCCTTACAACCACCACTCCCTCCTCATATGAACACACTAATTAATTAACAACACTGCAGGATGAAGAACAAGAGTGCATCTACCTCTAATGGCTAGAGCTAAGCTAGCTAGCTTAGCTACGCGCAGCACTGGCACGCGCAGACCGGCCATGCGTGCCTCAGCTAGCATCGGTCTCGGCCCCTATTGCGGCTGCCGGCGAGCGGCCGTGGACGAAGAGGAGAGAACGAAGCGGGAGGCGAAGGTGTAGCGGTGGTAGAGCTGCGCGGAGACGTCGCCGCCGTCGTCGCCGAGGCCACTCCGGTCGAAGTTGCGCGCGTAGCTGAGCGGGTCGTACTGGCACCTCGCCGCCGCCGGCGGCCGCGACGACGTCGCCGTGGACAGCATCATCCTGCTCTGCCTCCTCAGCTTCCTCACCAACCTCCCCAGCGCCAGCCCGCACCCCCTTCCCGTCGCCGTCGACGACGACGACGCATTGCCCTCCGCCGCCATCTCAACCGGCCGGTGAGCGATGAGCTAGCGAGCGAGAGAGTGGTTGGGTGGATAGATGGATGGATGGTTCGAGGTCTCGGGTACATGTGGACGGTGAGATTTTATAGGAGTAGAGGTGAGTGGGGCAGTGGAGTGGGAGTGGGAGAGTGGGAAGTGGTTTCCCGTTGGCCCATGTGGGCTTGGGGACCAGTGTAAAGTTGGTGTGGCTTGTTCGTCTCTGATTAAGTTTCTTTCTTTGGCTTCAAACACAAGGATAACCCATGAGCCTCTCTTTGTAGCTACTACAACAGTACTATGGCTACTAGTACTAGTAGTATATATGGAGTATCATTTGTTTGTTTTTGTTTTTTGTTAAAGAGAATAATGTAAGTGATGATGATTAGGGAGCAGCTGGCTCTGGATGAGCCAGCTCCAGGAATCAAGGGAACCTGTGGGCTATGCTAGCTTCTCCAACAAAAAAAGCTTAGGCCGGCAGCTGGAGTCGAGTGTAGTGGTACCGGAGAAACAAAACCAAGAAATCACGCATGCATGAACCTGCATCGGTATGTACCACTACGACACTACTTGTTGACAATGACAACCGTGCACCTTGACGCATGGCAGATTGGCAGAGACATCGGCCAACGTTTTTTTGGTCGTACCGAGGTGGAGTAGTCTACTGTAGTACAACATTTGGCGGTGGGTCGGTGCATGCGAGCGTCGGAGCCACGCGCGGCTGCCGTGCCAATGTCGCGCGCGCCGCCCGTTGCGTCCGAAAATTAAAGGAGATCAAATCCACTGCAGTCGATTGCAACGCTCATTTGTCACTGATATGTGGATCCGAAGCCTACCAGACTCGTATATCAGGGACAAAAGCACAACGGTGCGGCCGATCGATCGACGCGAGACTCAACTCGCCAGATCGATCGCCATCGCAACAACTCAGCATTTGTTGTTGTGACTTGTCAACAGTGATGCGACGGATAGTATCCGTTGATACGTGTGCTGAACATCCGATAGTGTTTATAGCTTTTTATCGATCGATTCTGCCCCCACAAAGAGTGAGCATTGTGGCCCACAACGGTGACAACGGTCGGAAAACACAGCATAGACATAGAGAGATGAGATGCATGCACATATGTCACTGTGTAATAAGTTTCCTTTAGTTTTGTTTGATTGAGATGTTTCAGGAACCCCCAACATTCTGAGAAAAATAAATTGAACGGAGGAATAATCCGGCCTACTCCTACCTAGCTAGCCTTGTTTAGTTCAGGAAACAAGAAAACGCTCACAAATCATAATTAGAGCGGGAATAAAGTCATCTTACTAGTGGTTGTACACAGTCCTCTGCTGTGGTGTGCAAACCACACATGTACCCATAGTTGGCAGCAAAAACTAGTGAATTTTCGTACGATTTGACCGGTCAGAAGAACATGCTCCACGGAACAACACAAACATTTTGGAGCGTTTTAAATCTCATCGGAGCGTTTTAAATCTGCGTGCTCGCCATGTGGGAACAGTGGAGGGATCACATGGTTTTTGGAGGCTCTCCCACAAGCCTCGTCACATGCACGCGCAGTTGCGACTTGCGACTCACCAACTCACCAGTCTACTACCACGGCAGCATGACTCATGGCCCTAGTCAACATTCTGATCCCTTTTTTGGCTTCATCTTTTTTTAATAAAAATCCTGGCACACTGATAATGAACAATTAACTATAGCTGATCACACATTATTTGGCTCATTTGCAGAAACACCATAAACTATGTAGTACGTTTTGTTGTCATCACGGTTTTACCATATGCCTGCAGTCTGCAGATGACCAGGATTCACGTTGTGATCGAAAATTGTGAAATTTTGAGGTTTTGACACCGTCCGAAAGTAGATTCCTATTAAAATTTCAAATGGTTTTCGAGAATTCAAATTTGAAACAGTATAATTGACCATAATGTTATCGAAGTAAGTCGAAGTATATCAAAATTTGATTATTATTATTTTTTTTAAAAAAGACTCCATGCCGTTTCAAGGTCTATCCGGCGCTCAATCAAAATACTGAACCCTGCAGACGAGCTAGCTAAAAACTCGTAGACGTATACAAATTTAAAATCAACTGGAGAACACCAGCGGGAAGCCGAGAGAAGTGTCCTGTTGCTTAAAGATAAAGGCTACTACTCATCATTGAATAAATTAACAAAGCCACCGGACTGTATGTAAACCTACACTAGATAAACATAGGTGACAAGAGATCCGACAAGATTTGTGTGTAGAGCCCATCGATCTATCATTGGCTCACTGACGATGAATCCATCAAATGCTACACTAGAACAGATTATATAATCTAGGAATATAATATGATAATCTCACATTTTGTTGCCTTTACGTACTCTTGCATCTAATTAAGCATTCAAGCTACACATGCTAACTAGCTTTACCTCTTTTCATGTGGTGCTCATTTCCCCAACTTGCAAGCTACTATGCATCTAACATCGATCTATCACATGGTCTCACGCATGCAGCTGACTCTCTGTGTCACTTAATTCACAAATTAGTAAGATTCATCGTCAACAGATTCGTCGTCGTCAGTGTGAGCAGCCACTTTAAACTGCCATGTTTAGGGTATGTTAATTACCTTTGGCTTTTGTCATAGCCTGATGGCTGACATGGATGCCGACATGATGATCAATTCCCAGAATCGGAACGGTAACTGCTATATAGTATATATGCTTCGGACATGAAATGGTAGATGAACGAATGGATCGCGTCGCGTCTGCGGCTGTGAATTCGTGGAGGCGATGTACTGATGGGCTATGGAATTGAGGCCTGAAACAGAGGCAGATATTGGGCCTTGAGGACTCACCAGGGCCCGAGACCTGGCACATCCACATGTTTATTTCATATGGGCCATGCGACGGGACCAAGAGTCGTAAACTCCGAATTCCAATTCCCTTTGAGCCTCCGTTTTTTCATTGTCTTGGCGTAGTTGTTAACCACGCTGATCAACTTCAAGCTTATTTTAAAAAAAATTCTTAGCTGATTTAGTCTATATTACTGCAATTATACTATGAAAAAGAGGTTCAGAAACACTGAAAATAAATTATTACACAAAGGATGCACAATTTATTTGGTGAGGCCACTTGACTCACATTTTAGTGCGGCTGGCTGTGAAGGGTATGGAGATATTGGGCTACTTATTGGGCCTTACCAGGCCGGAATCCCAGCCCATCTACATGTAAATGCATCTCCATTTGGGCCATGAGATGGCCCCAGCCTACCACTCTACCAGGAGGGGTTCGGAGTTAAAAAAAGTCCGACCCGTTTGAACCTCCGTCGTCACATTGCCTTGTCGCAATGAAGTAGGGAACCACGCTGATCAACTTCAAGCAGCCGCGCCCAGCTAGCTATCTAATCCATCTTCTGCTTGCTTGTTTTATTTTTCACGTAGTTGATGTTGTGTTTTGCCTTTCAATTTGATTTATCATTCAGTAGCTAACAAGCAAGTTGGGTAATGAGACCTAAATAGAGTCAGCCAGGCAACCCCGGATCTTTGACCTTGGCCGTATGAATGAATTGTCATTAAGTGGAATTTTGGCCGAGTGCAATTAGTATCGTGATCTTAATCCGAGCTTGGCCAATGGCAATGCAGCTCGATCCAACACTGGAGACTCTGTTCATGAAGGAGTAGTTGAAGGCTGTGTTATTGGAGAAAATGATTGTGAAGGACTGAAGATTGCTTCTTGTTTCAGAACAATGCCAAAATACCCTGATGCATGAAGAGGGGAGTAGACAATGCCCAATACTAGGAGCAAATATGTAAGCCTTTTATCTCTCTCCCAACAATGAGCAATTGAGCAGTGCTATAAAGAATTGTAAATTCTAGCTTTCTATTTTCAATGTTTAGATATTTCACATTCTGTTAACAAGACCATGCAGGAACTCTGGTTCAGTTCACCAAGTACAAGTGTAAAATGGTCAGTAAAACAACATGGATTGAACTTCAAGTTTGGATGCATATATCAGATACATGAAGTGGTGTTTTGATCATGCTCGACCTACTGGAACATTCACGATTTAAATTTGAGCTTGGCCATGAAGCAGTACATATCTGAAAAAATCAAAAGTTCACAGTAAACAATATATGCTGGACTATCCGGTGGATTGACATGGGAAGCAACTGCGGATCAGATTAAGAACACAGCAAAAACAAAAAAAAAAAACAAAAAAACAAAACATATATGAGTTTATTTCTGTTGCTGCCAATATATAATCGTATGAACCTACAAGCTTGTATAGAAATAGGTATTATGAAAAATCCGAAAACCTTCTACTGCTATCCCTGCGAAACCAAAGGGATTTGAGTTGGACACTTGAACCTCTCCAATTCAATTTTCCAAGCCCAACGGTTGAGAAATATGGGGATTGATGCTCCTCCATAAACCAAACCAATGAAGTTTAGCCGTGTCAACTGGTAATCAAGTTGTAGGTTTTCAGCACTGTTGAGCTAGGACCTAGGAGTTATTCAGGTTCTGAAAGTTGACATTATACTTACTAATAAGCTAATTGGCTAATGCTGCCATCAGTTCTTCCAAGTTCTAATCAAGCATCATAACATCAACATAATTGAGTTCTTCCAAGTTCCAACATTATCACACATGACATGCATGGCCAAAAGTTCAGTTTGCCACCACTAAGCTGATTAGCTAATGCTGCCATAAAAAATACTCCAGATACATGGGGATCAATCAGACCAATCCATTCAGATTTCCCGGGATTTCAGTTAAATTTCCCTCCACTATCCAAAGTCCAAACAAGGGTTTAGGGTTCTTCTTCCAAGATACTACTCCAGTCTATTATATACTACATTATTGTCTAATGATACTGATTAGTTTAAGCAGCCATGCGTGAGCTTACTGCAAAACCCAAAACACTGGAGCTGTACTGCTGCATTGCACCGGCGATCGACGGCTCGCCGGATTCATTTGTGCTTCTCCTCGGTCTTGATCAGCGCAGACATCAAATTCACGGTGAGCCGCCGGCGCTGGAGGTTGGTCACGACCTTCATGAGCGCATCATTCTTCAGCATGTCCTCCAGCCGCCGCGCGTCGCACCCGCCGACGAGCTCCACCAGGCGGCGGAGCCCCGGCACGTGCGGCGGCAGCGCGAGCTCGCCGGCGGCGGCGAGCGCCTCCACCTCCGCGACCAGTAACGGGTACCTATCCCGCATCTCCTCGTACTGCCGCCTCCCGCGCCCGCACTCCTCCTCCTCCGCCGCCGCCGCCGCCTTCCTCCTCCTCTTGCTGTCGCCGTGGGAGTCGTCGTCGTCGTCGTCTTCCTCCTCCTGTATCGTCTCAAGCTTCGGCGCTCGCCCGCCGGCCTTGACCAGCGCCTCCTTCAACGACGCGGTGAGCCGCCGCCGGCGAAGCTCGAACTTCCCCCTCGCGAGCTCTTCCACCTTCAGCTTGCGCTCGAGCCGCCGCGCGTCGTCCTCGCTGACGCGTTCCAGCAGGAGACGGTGCCCCCGCACGTGCGGCGGCGGCGGCAGACCGAGCTCGCCGGCAGCGGCGAGCGCCTCCACCGCCTCGACGAGCAGCGGGTACCTGGCGCGCGTCTCCTCGTACGTCCTCCCGCTCGCGCCCTTATTCCTCTTCCTCTTCCTGTCGTTGCGGGGCGGCTTCTTCTCCGCGGCGACGCCGTCCACGTCGGCGTTGGCGCCGGTGACGCGGAGGCTTTCCACCGAGGTGGCAATGGTGGAGAAAAGGGCGCTGCCCATCGGTGACGGAGTGTTCGCCGACGTCGCCGGAGGGAGAGGAGAGGTCACAGGCGGCGGCGGCGGCGGCGGCAGTTCTTGGTTGCAGTTTGTGTGTGGCACGAGGTGTGTGCCTTGCCATTATAGTGACACGGGAACGGAGGAGGCTAGGGAGGATCTAGGCCGTTGGATCGAGGATGGCGTTCTCTCCGTCCGTCAGATCGGTTCGTCTCGGAAGTCGCGCGCACTGGTGGAGTGGTGGTTGTGCGTCGCTTCGCTTCGTCTCTCGCCAGATTTGATTGACGGCACGGCGTAATTACGGGCGATTATTTGATACAAAATTTGACTTCAAGGCAAGCTTTGATACTGCTCTCTCAGTTTCCAAATATAAATATTGTTTGGTTGTTTAAGTGAGATTAGGATTTAACAAAAAAATTGCTAAAAACTGTCGCAAAAAGCTTTAAAATGTAAGTAGTGTAACTACAACGTAATTATACTGTTGTTACATTATAATCGCTATATAACTTGGGAGCGTATCCTATACACACAGGTCCTCGCGTGTACACATCATGTACACCAACTAAAAATTATCACAAAAAATTCTAGGAAAATTCATACATGTACTTTTAATAGTATTACATCTACGTGCAAAGTCATATCTTCAAATTCATTCTACATAGAGAATAAAAAAAAGATAAAATTCTGACAAAATTACAACCTTAAAACTGTCAGATTTTTTGTTTTTTTGTTATGGCTAAAATATAATGAATTTGACGTTAAGATTTTAACCCTAAGTGTAATACAATTGAAAGTATGTGTATGATTTTTCTAGATTTTTTGGTGACATTTTTTAGTTGGTGTGCACGTGTGTACACGTGAAGGACTGTGTGCATAGGATATGTTGTCATATAACTTAGGTATAAATTTACATATATTTTTTATACTTATATACAACTAATATTGTAGTTACTGTATAGTTGTGGTGGAATTATATTATAAATATAATGTAGTTATATTTAAAAGTGTCCCACTATAAAACTTACAATATTTTTGAAGATAATTCTATCATAATTTGTAATGCTACCCGTTAAATGAAGGTTGGGAGGAAACTTTGTTTGAGATAACATAAGGAAAATATTTACATATACGTGATTGATGTGATAATTAAGTATTACACTGGACATATAGAAAATAACTATGGTTAGAAAATGAAGCTAGTATATTTAGACATGCTATTTTATCATTAGTCTAATTGAAAATCTATTTAAGTATTAATCCGTTGTTTGTCATCAAAGATACTTCAGCAATGACTTATTTTTTTCAATATTTAATAATCTTAAATAAAATAAATAGTCAAACGTCACGTCCTACATGTATATTTAAAAACAATATAATAATAAATTATAACATCCTTATTTCACACCCTCCTCAACTAGCCAACCGTTCTCCCGCGCGCCTGGCGCCTGCCTACCCGACCATCGTTTCGTCTCGTTTCACAATCTCCCTTCACATCCTGTTTTGTCTCTGTGTGTTTATAAAGTGCGCTCGTGTTGTGAGTACGTGTGTTTATACCATGTTTTAAAAGGAAGGATCATAGCTATTGGGATTGAACTAGCGGACCTATTAGGGAAAAAAAAGAGCCTCTGGCTGTGTTTAGTTCACACTGAAGTTTGAAAGTTTGGTTGAAATTGATACGATGTGATAGAAAAGTTGTGTGTGTATGAATGGTTTGATGTGATGGAAAGTTGGAAGTTTAGAAAAAAAAACTTTGGAACTAAACAGGACCTCTATAGTCTGATTAAGGCCCTGTTTAGTTCCCAAAAACTTTTCTCAAAAATATCACATCGAATCTTTGGACATATATATGGAGCATTAAATATAAAATAAAAAGAAAAACTAATTACACAGTTTACGTGTAAATTGCGAGATGAATCTTTTGAGCCTAATTAGGCCATAATTAGCCATAAGTGCTACAGTAACCCACATGTGCTAATGATGGTTTAATTAGGCTCAAAAGATTCGTCTCGTGGTTTCCAGACGAATTATGAAATTAGTTTTCTCATTCGTATTCGAAAATCCCTTCCGATATCCGGTCAAATGTTCGGTGTGACACCTAAAATTTTTTTTTCCCCAAGTAAACAGGCCCTAAGTGAAGACATTGAGTGATTTACCCCACAGTTTCAAAATGTAGAGTAGTATTTGGGGTCACCTTTGGGCCTTTGGGGTGTGTCGATGGAGACGGCGGACACAGGGAAGGACTCGTCCGCATCAAAGTTTGGCATATTCGCCTCTGAGGGTGGGCCCCCAGGCGGGTAGCTCCGACGAACAGTTGGGCCGGGCCGGGCCGGGCTCGCCTCGCCTCAGATCGGACGGATGCAACGAAACGTTTCGCGACGCCTGATCCGTCTCCTGACCGAAACCAAACAAACCGTAGATTCGTGAAAGGTACTGTGCAATTATTCGTGTAGGCCCACGTTAAACCTCGCGCTTTTAATATATGCAGGTTTTTGGTCTTATTCTTTGCTGTTTTCATACACCGAAAGGAGCAATAACTCCTTCCAAATATTCTCGAACACAAGGGAAAAGAAATACGAAGTTTTAAATGTCCATGGTCATACGAAGTTCTTGAAGAACCTACAACAGAATGCATGAGTCGCTCACAAAATGTGTAGTAGATGCTTCACAAGAAAAGCACGTGACTTCTCTTTTTGGTTTTTTTCCTTCCAAAATTTACTGATATGGATCCTTTGCAAAACTACACCTGTACTGTACTAACAGTGTCTGATAGATATACCCGATCCTAACTGTAAATGATTATCGGAGTCAATCCTCAATAAAAATATTTTCACACGTTTTTCAAATGTAAAGAGAGAACAAACTAAGGACTCCATAGTTTTGTGAAATAACATATTTACAAATAGAAAATAGTTTGTAAATAAAATTTTTATATACATGTTATTAACAATCTAAAAATCTAAAAGATTAAAAGTTTAAGCTGAAAAATAAACTAGGATGGAAATTAAAAAAAATTCTAAAATCAACTTTAAATTTAAATTTAAGATTAAAAATTTTAATTGTAGCTTATGTTTATAAGTATAAGTATAAGTTAAAAGATGAGGCGATAAAACAAAAGAGGCACAGAAAGAAAAAAAACCTACAAGTAATAATAAAGCCATAAACAACTCCGCCCGAGGCCGAGATACCGGGAGACGCATCACGGAACCACGCCGCCGACGACGACCCCCGCCGCCGCACAACTCCGCTCGCCGTCTCCTCCGCCCCCGCCTCCATTCCGCCGCCTTCCTTAGAGGAAGCCAAGTTTCCAGCGCCGCCGCACCTGCATGGCGTCGCTCGCCGTCCCCCTCCGCGCTTCCGCCACCCCGGCCATCGCCGGCACCGGCAGCGGCGGCGGATCACGCGCCGCCGACCCCGTCAAGGTCCCCATTCGCCATCCCGATCTCTCTCCCTCTCTGATTTTTTTTGGTCTCTTCGGTGAGAACCTGTTCCTGTTTCGTGTGACTGACAGCTGCCAACTCATGCGCATGAAACTGTTGTTCGTATGGCGATGTTTTTGTTTCTATGTGTAGGAGTAATGGAGTATTGTAGTGAACACTCAGCTGTTTCCCACTTTAATTGCTTGTATTTCGCTTGATTTTCCGAGTTCAGTTGAGATTCGTTCGCGTTTGTTTAGCCATGATTTCGCAGATTGAAACTTGCTAAATTTCCACCAAATTGATCGATGTTGCTGCTGTGTTGCAGGTGTCGTGCGTTAGGAGCAAGGTTACCTGCGGTTTTCCTTCCGTTGGGGCTTCGTCTTCACTGTGAGTGCCTCCATCATCCAGATTATTCGAATTCCTTGAATAACAAAATTTGACAACCGAGAGCACAGCTGTTGGTTAGAGCGGAAAATTTCTGAGAGCAAAACGGACTTGACCCCTCGTTTTCTCAACTTGTGTTTTTGTGGTTTTTGCTCTGTGCATATCATGGATACGGTTGATCAGTATTAGCTGTAGCACATTGCATTTTCAATAAACTGCTTTTCTACTGCAGTGCTAGCAGCGTTGAGCCGGTGAGAGCAACTGCTACACAAGCACCCCTTGCCACCCATCGTAAGTTGCTCCATCCATCAAACACTAAAAGGGGTTTATGAGGACTGCAGTGGTGTTATGATTATTTTTTTTTCTTCTTTATGTAGAATCTTCTAGCACGGAGAAGACAAAGGTTGGCATCAATGGTGAGTTCCTCCTGTAGATTGGAAAAATAATGACATTATCAAGTTGTTGTAATGTATGATTACTATTTGGAAGTTGCGCTATGCTAACTCAACTTGGAACGTTGAAGTGAACCCTTGTTCAACTTCATTGCTTCTGTAGGTGACCTTAAATTACTTTTGATCTTTATTTAGTCTTTGGTTGTAAAGGAACTCTTTATTCTTGTTATTGCAGGATTTGGACGGATTGGGAGGTTGGTTCTACGAATTGCAACTAATAGAGATGACATTGAAGTTGTGGCTGTTAATGATCCTTTTATCGATGCTAAGTACATGGTAAGTTCTGTTGATAGATTTTGGAAAAGCACAGTATGTATTACGTCCTGTTGCAGTGGAACCGATGATGTTCAATGTATCTTTATATTATTTCTACAAATAACAGTGTAAACATGTTGAGTAGAAATGCTTGTTACTCTAATATGATAATATGCCTAAGTACTCTTTAGCTCTTCTTAACTTAGTAAACATGCTTTGTTTATCATTATCTGACATAAGATCTTAAAGAGAAAAGGCATTCCTATATAAGGTCCTTTACATGCTGGAGGTGTGTCTTGCATGAGAACACGAACCCAACCCATGCTATTCACTTTTTTTTTTTTACTATTTTGTTAATTTCAGATAACCATAATTATTCTTAATGAGAAAATTGACAGGTTCACCTTTACTAAACTGTTTTTGAACATAACTGTATTGAGTGCTACAACTTCATATGTTTCATTTAGACTATTTCAAGTTCTTTGATCGTGATATTCTTCTTGTTCTAGGCTTATATGTTCAAGTATGATTCGACACATGGTCCATTTAAAGGCACCATAAAGGTTGTGGATGAGTCAACCTTGGAGATTAATGGGAAGAAAATTTCAGTTACAAGCAAAAGGTAAGAACATGAATTCTTCAGGTCTGGTTGAATCCACGGTTTTGTTTAAAAATTGTACTTTTGACATACTTGACTCCTTATATTCTTGTTATATAGTTTTGGGTTGTAATAATTCTCCCACGTGCTTTAGTTTTGCTAAAATTATTTGTTGGTGCTTCTCCTTTCCATTTCAGAGATCCCTCAGATATTCCTTGGGGAAACTTTGGAGCTGAATATGTTGTTGAATCATCTGGTGTTTTTACAACAACTGAGAAAGCATCAGCACACTTAAAGGTTTGCCTCTGCATTTACACAACCCCTCTGGCCAATCAGAAAATAAACTAAGCCATTCACATGCAAAAAATGCTGAGATTCCATCTGGCTTATATAGGGTGGTGCAAGGAAAGTAGTGATATCTGCTCCATCCGCAGATGCTCCTATGTTTGTAGTCGGAGTAAATGAGAAGAATTACAACCCCAGCATGAATGTTGTCTCTAATGCAAGTTGTACTACCAACTGTCTTGCGCCCCTTGCCAAGGTATTTTTCTGTTCTGTTGTATCCTTTCTTTGTTAAGGATACACATGGAGTATGTTGTGTCTACTTTGATCGGTTCTTGACTTCAGATGATAAGTACATTTCGCTGTTACAAAATGTAGCACCATGCCACCATACTGGTTTGTATCATGGTTTGTACTTTTCAGATTGTCCACGAGGAATTTGGCATAGCTGAGGGCCTCATGACAACTGTCCATGCTACAACAGGTTTTCTCCTCTTTTATACTTTTCGATTTGCACACACAGGATTTACTGCTCTTCTCATCTAAAAGCTTATAAAAGTAGCATTGTTATTGAATCAAATGATTTTATTTGTTCAGCCACCCAAAAGACTGTCGACGGTCCTTCAATGAAAGATTGGAGGGGAGGACGGGGTGCTAGTCAGAACATCATCCCTAGTTCTACTGGCGCAGCAAAGGTTATTTCTTCTCGCGGTGAGTGGGAGAGTTCCTCTTTTTTCAAGTTTCTCATGTTCAAACCTTTTGCTTTGATATTAGGCTGTTGGAAAGGTCCTTCCAGCATTAAACGGGAAACTCACTGGTATGGCCTTCCGAGTTCCTACACCTAACGTCTCTGTAGTTGACTTGACATGCCGTCTTGAGAAAAGTGCTTCTTATGAGGATGTGAAAGCAGCTATCAAGTATGCCTTCAATCTTCTTGTCATGTCCTAGCACATTTAGTTGCTGCTTCATTGCTTAATGCACTCATTTTTTCGTTGGTGTTTATATTCTGTTCAGTTTCTCGCTCTATGCTTTCTAATCATTTCTGGCTTAACTTCTCAATTTTTTGTTAGTATTTGGGTCATCATTTGTCTGCAATTGTTCGAATGATTGGACTGGAGAGTTGTTAATCCAACATAGTACTTAACCATGTCCTGGTCCTTGTTCCCAGGGAAGCCTCAGAAGGTTCTTTGAAAGGTATTTTAGGCTACACAGATGAGGACGTCGTTTCGAATGATTTCATTGGTGACACCAGGTAAGTATTTTCGTCTTCGCAATGTTTTTCTTGAACATAGGAGCAAAAATTGCTAAAGCCTATCTATATTTTCCAGGTCTAGCATATTTGATGCCAAGGCTGGAATTGGCTTAAGTTCTTCTTTCATGAAGCTCGTCTCTTGGTACGACAACGAGTGGGGCTACAGGTGAGCATCCACTTAATGGCATAACGCCTTAGCCAGCCCTTTTCAGAACCTATTCGTTTTCCTGATTACTGCAGAAACTGAATGTTTCATACGCAACTCGTGTGTTCCAAATGGTGCCTTGCATGTATTTTTTCCATCTATCTTTATCTGACCTGAAGATTTTGTTTCTTTGCTCCAGCAACCGGGTCTTGGATTTGATCGGGCACATGGCTCTCGTCAACGCTAAGCCCTGATGCCATTGATAACAGCAGATGCCCTAGTAATGTAGGAAGAGAAGGCTGCAAACTTGATGGCCCCTTCTGTATCTCGGAATTATATTAAGCACACCGAACAAAACCATTGCCGACATGAAGATACATGCTGTGTTGTGATAATCCGAGCTTATTTTTGGCCTGTTTGAATTTTGTTATTTTGTTGTGCGACACATGGACTCCATGAGTTGGGGTGAATGAAGCAAGTAGTAACACACTGCTTGCACACAAAACAAACAGACCTGATTTCCTACACTTGGTATGGTGCATTAACGTACACCATGGAATGGATCGATATCTCCAAAAAGGTGTCCCGTATTCCTATCTTGATGATGATATTCTCCCTCTCTGTCCATGGCAATTTGGGTTCCGATTAAGCTTTCGCGGAGCAATGACACTGACAACAACCGGCAGTGTCGCCCTCGGTCCTCCTCATCACATCCCATTCCTGCCCTGCCAGCCGTCAAGTGGTTTCTCTTAGTGGAAGGGGCATCACGCCCTCCAGATAAACCGTGGGAATCACTTCATTTTTCCCCCTCCTTTTTTTTGTGTCGTCTCTATACAATGACGAGAGTCGTGAGACCTGCCTGTTGTATTTTTCCTAACTGTACAATGGCCCTGTTCTTTGCTGGTTAAGATAAAGATTTTATCTTAGTTTTTGTTAACACGCTATTCAAATTGATAAACGGTATATTTTGTGTAAAAGCTTTCTATATAAAAGTTATTTTAAAATATCTGATAAATTTATTTTTCAAGTTTGTAACAATTGACAATATGAAACTCAATTAATCACATTCTAATGACTTTATCATTTATCGTGCCCTAACTTCATTTCCATTTTTAGTGAAACGAACATCGCCAGTCTGTTCATATCTCCCGGTCCTATGAGGCTAGATCGATTTTCATTATCGAAAAAAAAATCTTGAGTTCCCATAGCTCATAAAAATATTTATAGTAAGATGTTTATTCTTTTAGGGATGGAGTGGTAATGCCGTCGATTGTGCTTTTTTATGGTATTTTGGAAATTTTGATTGATGAAGTAAGTGAACAGTACATCTCTTAGAGTTTTAGGTTATAAGACGTTTTGACTTCAGTAAAAGTCAAATTACTTCAAGTTTGACTAACTTTATAGACAAATATAATAATATTTATAATACCAAATTAGTTTCATTAAATCAATCATTGAATATATTTTTATAATAAATTTGTCTTGGGTTGAAAATGTTAAAACTTAGTCAAACTTAAAGCAGTTTGACTTTGATTAAAGTCAAAATGTCTTATAACCTAAAACAGAGGGAGTAGTTAACTATAAATACTGTTCCTCGCCAAAAAAAAACTACAAATACTGAGGACCGAGCTTAGCTCGGTTGGCAAGTTCGCTGTGGTGCGAACGGCTGGTCGTGAATTCGACTCGCGGGGCCTCACCTCGACGGGTTTTTCCAGTCTTTTCTTTGGGACTGTCCTTCAGGGCAGTCTCGACTAGAAAATAGGGAGTGGTAGTGCAGTCGATTGTGTATTTTTTTAGGTCTTTTGAAAATTTTGAATACTAAGGATCGAGCTTAGCTCGGTTGGCATGTTCGCTGTGGTGCGAATAGTCGGTCGTGAATTCGACTCGCGGGGCCTCACCTCGACGGGTTTTTCCCGTATTTTCTTCGGGACTGTCCTTCGGGGCAGTCTCAACTAGAAAATAGGGTACACACGCATGTGCGTTCAGTGGGACTGCACGTTTCCCGTGCATTGAGGCCTAGTGCCTCCATTCTCAATCCTAGCGTGTGTTAGGGATACGCACACGTGTGTGTTCGTGTGTTGTGATGTGATTGTGGTGTGTGAGTATGCGTTCTGAGTTGTTTCCTTTAAAAAAAAGGGCAAATACTGTAGACCCATTGCCAGTTTTAATGATTAGCTTTGCATTATTATGCAGTAACAACTAACAAGGGATGCTCATACATAAAAGCAACTGTCATTCAGGATGATTTTCCTGGATAGACGAAAATAATAACTACTCACTCAAGATGGCGAAGTAAAATCATCAGCCATTATACAAGTTATTTACCGGATAATGAGCATATATAGGTCACGCTCATAATCTATAGTAAAAAAAGTTTAGCCGATCAATTAAGCAGCAGTCAAAACTTGCAGGCGATGGTGGTGGTCTTCTCCGACGACGGCGCCGTGGCCGTCGGCCTCTGGCGAGGGGCGGCGGCGGCACGTCGGGCAGGAGCAGTGCGCCAGGAGCCACCTGTCGATGCACACGACGTGGAACCGGTGGCCGCACGCCGGGAGCAGCCGGACCCTCTCCCCGTCGGCGAAGTCCGACAGGCAGATGGCGCAGCCGGCGACGGAGGGCGCCGGCGAGGCGACGTACGTGGCGACGGGCAGCGCCACGACGTCCTCGCGCTTGAGCCCCGCGCCGGCGCGGCGGTGCTCCACCCAGCCGACGGGGTCCGCCACGGCGCGCCGGGTGCACCGCACCACGCACTGGAGCATCGAGTTGAGCCCCAGCGCGCACACCAGCGCGCACAGCATCGCCGCCAGGATCACCACCACGTCGTAGTCAAGCTGCGGCGGCGACGGCGACGACGCCGCTGCCGAAGACGGCGGCATCGGCTGCTGCTCCGGTGAGGAGACGTTGCTGCAGTTGGCCATGTGGGACACCTCCATGCCGATACGACGACGACGACGACGACGGCGGCGGTGGCGGCGGCGGTGGCGAGGCGATCGATCAGACAGGCAAGGAGAAGAGGAGAAGAGAGTGGAGCAACCACGACATCGCAGAGAAAGACAAGGAGAAAACAAAAGGTGACAACTGAAGAGCTAGAGCTATAGCAGTAAGCAAAGTGATCGAAACAAATTTTAGTGCCAATATGCTCATACATTTGTAGGCTTTTAAGGCTGTGTTTGAGAGTAAGGGTTGGAAATCCTCCTTTCAGGTACACAAAACGAAACATGTATTTACGCATATTAATTAAATATTAGAAAAAAAACCTTAAAATAGATTAATATAATTTTTAAAACAACTTTCCTATAGATTTTTTTTTAAAAAAGCACACACCATTTATCAGTTGGGAAACATATGGGCGTAAAAAAACGAGAAGTAGGAAATGGGAAACACACCCCTAAGTACATATGCATCTTATTTTCAGATTATCCATCTGATTGTTGAAACAAATTATTGCTCCATAATTTGAAAAACACATTTTCTAAAAAATATATTCCTTTAACTATATTATTTAGACCACATGTTTTAAATTATTTAATTTATTCTTATAATTGAGTAGATAATTCATAGCAACGATCCGTCCAATAGTCTGTTTTGAATGGAGCTTTAGATTCATGATGGACAATTGGACACATCAAAAAAATTCTATAACCTGAATACTGTTCTGATAGAGTGACACCGGTGTTTCATCAGCAGGACGTATCAAGTACGAAAAGGTATGAATACTGGTCATAGCTATACAAGTATTGGAACCAAAGCAACAGCACAACTTGCACGAGAAGAATCTGTTCTTACCTTTCTTGAAAAAGGAGGCGAATTGACTGATAAGGAGATCACACTAGTATTCACTTGCCCGAGATCAACATATAATCGACACAATTGTGAGAATAATTCCTTCAATTTGAATCTTTAAAATCTAAGCATATGCAAAACTGGAATATATTTGGCCGCTGTAAACATCACTTCCAAGATAAATGGTGTAACTACATAAACAATACATGCTTTAACAAAGGAGGAAGAGAGGGTCCTGAAATCTGAAAATGTTTTTGTACAGGCACGGAAAAGAGAGTTGGTTTTTCAACCTTCATTTCTGAAACAAATATATTTTCACATGATCTCACATGATCACGTGATCAGTAATTCAGACTTTCAGAGCTTTAAAACTTTTTTTAGAGAGAGAGGTTTAAGCTGTTGACTGAATTTGCAGTAAATTCACAGGGTTTCCGTTCACTGAAGTGTGCTTTGTCAATATGCTTGATCAACTCTCTGGTTGCACCTCTGCGTGAAGATTACACTGCTTGTTTGGTAAACAACTGGGAGTATTGGCAACTCCAATATCGTATCGATCTAAGGCAGGAGTAACTAACAATTGACCTATAGCATTGTTAAAACTTGTCAGGCCAGCCAGCAGACAGAAACTCATTGAACACTAATCTGCCCAAGTTTTAAACGTATCCAGATTTATGCATCCAAAACATCTGACACCAAGATCTTAATTTCGCACTGAATTACCCCGGTAGATGCCTCACGGCACACGGCCGGCTCAGGCATTCTAAATTTCTGAATATTAGGGGTTGGTTTCCTATCTGCTATATGGCTCTTCACCAAACTTTGCTGGTAGAACAAGTTGGTGCTGGTCACAAACAGTTTATCAGTTTTTGACAGATGAGTGATGACCGAAATGACTCCACAAGTTGTATGAGAATTAAATTAGCACCATAGAAGTAGATCAACAAGACAACAAGAACTTGGGAATTGCAGAATCACAAATTCACTTCACAGGCTTCACTAGCAGCTCACTAACACCAGCCCATATATGTTTGTATATTTTCAGCATAATAGCTCACATGCAGTTTTGAACTTCCAACCGGTGGCTGTACAAATCATGGTTCTGAATATTTTCCTAAGTAGAAACACATAGCCGCATCAAGGATTCCAGTTCCAGGTCATCTTTATAAAGCCCTGTCATAATTTTATTAAAACTTAATACCTAGTTAGCCGTGCTCATCTTGATGATTAGTAAAAGCTTCAGCATTTTCAAGAGAACTTTTACAGTAAAATACACTCGTAATATATCCTGCTAGTAATAAGTAACCTGTAAATTCTTAGCGTACAGTGGAACAACTTTAGGTGCTTTCGCCGCTCGATCCCATTCCTCGTTATCCTTCATCACGACGAGGCGCCTCCAACCACTGTGGATCCACATGTGCCGCCGCCAACCACCACAATGCTATGAGCCTTTGACTCGGTGATAGTTAGGCACTAAACTACAAATTTACTAATCCCTCCATCCTAAAATAAGTACAGTTTTACACTGTTCATCTCCAACGTTTGACCGTTCGTCTTATTTGAAAATATTTTGTGATTAGTATTTTTTTGTCATTAGATGATAAAATATAAATAATACTTTATACGTAACTATTTTTTTAACTTTTTATAAATTTTTTAAATAAAACGGACAGTCAAACGTTGGACACGGATATCCACGACTGCGTTTATTTTGGGGCGGAGGTAGTAAAATATTGTGTGGAAATTTTTTTTGTTATACTTCCTCTGTTTCATATTATAAAACTTTCTAGCATTGTCTATATTTATATAGATATTAATAAATCTAGACATATACAGAAGTATAGAGGAATGGTACATGGCGGTATACCATGGGTGTCTCACTAATCGTCCAAACTACCCGTGCTCATCTTGACGATTAGTAGAAGCTTCAGAAATTAGTTTTCTGAGCCTCGCTCCCCAAAAGCAGAACAGTAGCTAAATAAAGCAGCATGACAACTCTGACTTTGACCCTGCCTCGTCACCACCATGACTTCACGCCCACGTCACACGCACACCCCGAAATGTCGTGGGACCCACCCGTCAGCCCCCGCCGACCAATCAAATCCGTCGACAAAAAACCCCACGCTAGTACACGTCGCGCCACAAACATCGCATTTACACTCGCTATTAATCCAGAAGAAGGAGCAGATGCGATGCAATAATAAACCCGTGAAAACAACATGTGGTTAGCGTGCGCCCGCCACAGCTTTGCTTCTGAAACTTGGCAACCCAAATCAAAAGTTGATTCCTCCCCCGGCCTAATCAAATCACGCAGAATTTTTTTTTTTACTGCTTGTCAAAATCCACACATGGGCTATGAGAGTGACCAAAGAGCGAAATCGAATTGAAGAAAAAATTAGGAGTATTTACATCGCTGCAGCATGGATAGCTGATCAGCTGATTTTAGTGATCTTCTCTCTTAACTGAACAAACATGTGAAAGTAATAAGAAGAAAAGAAATTGCACACGATCGAGGAGAGGGTAAAATTAACTTGTAGGGGGTTAAACACAACTGGTCCATGAATCTTCTTTGCTTGTGATGTGTCTTCGATTAACCGTTGGTTAATTAGGCGAAGTAACCATTAGCGCTGTGGTTAGCGGCGGAAGTAGGCATCTGAGCTGACTGGAGGCTCTGCAGGAGCAACCTGTCCTCGGCCGAGCTCAGCGCGTGGCTGAACATGTCGCCGGCGCCGGTGCCGGCGCCGCCGGCTTGCTGCAGGTTGCCGTAACCGAACGGTGCGCCGGTGTACTGCTGCTGCGGTCGGAGGAGCTGTTGGTGGTCCTGGAACGTCGGCCGGCGCGGTTGGAGGTGGTCGGAGAAGGGAAGGACGGCGCCGGTGAAGCCGTAGTCGGAGCCGAAGTTGATGACCGGAACGCCGCCGGGCCCCGCGAACGCGCCCGCGGGCGGCGCCGGGATGCCGGTGAACTGCTGCACCATGGCGCGGAAGTTGGTGGTGTCCGTGTTGAGCAGCGTCACGGGCGCGCGCCGCGACGCCCTGGACCGCCTCCTCGCCGGCTTCCCCACGCGCGGCCCCTCCACCCCCGGCGCCCGCGTCGGGCTCCCGCCTGTCGATCCCGCCGGCGACGCCGGGCTCGTCGCCGCCGCCGCCGCACCGTTCGCCACCACGCCGCCGTGAGCAGCCGACGCGTCGTGGTACAGCTCGGCCCACTGCGCCAAGCTCGAGCCAGTGTCACTCATGGCCGCCATGGCGATCGAGCGAGAGACGGATCGCGTCGCGAATTGCAAAATATCGGAGTAAAAACGGTGGAAACGAAACGGTATTTATAGCGACGCGGCGACCGGTCAAACGGCCAACCGAACCGGGAGACGATCTCAGCCGTCCGATCATGACATCAACGGCTGAGGATCGTTGACACCGTCGCCGTCTCGAATACGTCCCCGATCCCGTGACAGCGGCCGCCGCCTCCTCACCCCTCACCTTCCTCGAAACGTCGCGGAGAGGAGGTGGTGGGTGGGCCCCGCGCGGGGTGCCACGTGGACAGCCACCGTGCTCCGGTACGGCGGGGCGGCGGCGGCGTTGGCGTTGGGTCACGGCGCGCACGGCGCGGGATGATTAATTCCGCGAGGAAATATCGGGCGCTCGCCGTCGACTTCGTGGCGCGAGCCCGCACGTACGCAACGCGCGCGCATGTCGCCATCGCGCGGCATGTGAAGGCGGCGGCGGCGGGGGAGCTGAGGCCGGTGGTGGTGGTGGTGGTGGTCGAGGCGAAGCTTCCGGTGAAGCTGCGGCGGCGTGTGCATGCATGCGGCGGATGGCGACCGCGACGCCGGCGATCGAGTAGTAATGCGGTTTTGTGTGTGTGGATAGTGTGGTGGATAGGGCGTCGTCGTGGCACGTGCCCGGTTTGAAGAAGGCGGACGTCGCTGTCAGTATCCACCTCGGGGATCGCGTTTACATTCCGGCCACACGGAAAGTTTCCACCTCCATCGTGGTTTGTTCGAGGTAAAAGCGAAACGGAATACTTCCACCGTTTCGAAATATTTGGCGCCATTGATTATTTTTTAATATGATTGACCGTTCGTCTTATTAAAAAAATTTAAGTAATTGTTACATCTTTTCCTATCATTTGATTCATTTGATTCATTGTTAAATATATTTTTATGTAGGCATATAATTTTACATATTTCATAAAAGTTTTCGAATAAGACGAACGGTCAAACATGTGCTAAAAAGTCAATGGTGCCAAACATTTCGAAATGGAGGGAGTATTTGCTAACGAAAAATAATTTGTAAATAAAACTCTAACTTTTATTGTATTGTCTATATATCTATTGATATAAAATCTCACATCTTATTTTTTAAATTTTGGACCATCGAATATGCTTTAAGATTCGTGCAGAGATATTAACCCTAGCTCTCCTCCTCATATATGTGTTTTAAATTATCTAAAAGAAAAGACTGAAAAATAACTATAATGAACAAAAATCTTAAACTCAACTCTAAATTTAAGGTTGAAAATTAAAATTTTGACTGACAAGTATAAATATAAGGAAAAAAATGAGGATGTTCACTCTCCGTTTGATTACACTAATGAGGATATTAAGCTTGGACACGTAAAACGAGAATATTATTAGCTCATATTACTAATTAATTGGGTTTAAATTATTTTAAATTTAGAAATGACTTTATAAGATATTTAAAAGAACTTTTATATAAAAAGTTCCCGTACAAAGTAGGACGTTTACCACTTTAAAAAAATGCTAACAAAAATGATATAAAATCAGTATCTTTAGCAATTCCCTCAGTCGAATCAAGTTATGGGGGATGCCTGTTTTGGTTATATCAAGCATATATTCGACGACCACTATTGGATCGTAGTACAATGGAGTACGCCTCTTCGGACTGCAACTGTTGAGAAAAACCATCATAAAATTGGGTGGCACAAAGATTGTTTATCATGTGCTCAGTTTCTATTTTTGAAATTTATCATGTGCTTAAAATGATCTATGAAAAATGGTTTGCTATAGCATGGTCACCAGACTTGGAGCATGCTTGCTGATGTCACTTGAGTTTAAAAGTTGAATCTTCCTGTTTCTAATTTACTTTCGACCGATCGATTTGTTGATAAGTCGTAGAAAAAATAATGAACCAGACAAAACTTTTGAATCTGTATTATTCGTAATTTGAAAGCCAAGATTAAAATAACATACTATAAATTTATAGTGAAAACAAATCAAAATCGCTTATATATAAGTCCACGTGTAGATGATTAGAGTGTTAAGGACCCTTTTTGTCACTCTGTGTTGCCTGGCTTTCTTTTCATGAAGCTTTAACAAGAGCTTCAAAATTAGCTTAGGTTTTAAGCTGAAGCTGTGACAAATTAAAGCACGATCTTGTAAAGGTTGCACATTATATGTTACACTTTCACCTTCATTTGCGTGATTGCTTCCACGAGCACGTCTCCTAGCTCGTAAGCATGGCCAACACTACAAGTCAAGCACTAATGGACCTGATGAATTAGTGGTAACTACAATGTTATGTCTAGCTCTTAGTTAATTTTCTGATCAAGACCGTAGAGTGATTCAACGTACGGCATGCACAGTAGTCGATCAGGGCGCCCATTTTTTACTTGCACCGCAAGCCAAACATCGATTAATATACGCTTACCAAATTGGGTATATATAGCAAAGTTAGATTAGCTCGTTCAGTTAACTAAAATGTTCAAATGTCGATCGTTCGAGGAAATACTCAGCGTGTTCACATATTATGCACATGGTTTCTCACTTAACCAAGTGTCCAGACCACTGTACGTAGAACTTCTAATCTTACTTACTCCATCCCAAAATATAAATAGTGTGTTTGAAAGAGATTTTTTGGTAGCAGATACGCCTATGGTAGTTCAAAACGGCTGCAAGTTGCAGCGATTTTCAATTGTTGGCTGCAGCAAAACTGGCTATCGAACAAGACCGGAAGATTTTGGATGGAAGGGATACACTATACGAATCCAGATACCCTATCTAGATTCGTAGTATTAGTAAGTGTTCTATCTGTCTAAAACGTGCCCCTTATATTTTTTAGGGCGGAGGGAGCATATATTTCGACCGCTGTAGAGCGAATGAGAAAAAAAATCATCATTTATCCTCACATTACTCTCTCCATAAAAAAATAATTTCTATAGACAAATCGTATCTGTTTCTTTATTAGTAGTTTTTTTTTCCATGAGACGATGCATGTTTACTTGAATGATGAGAGGTAATCACTAATCACATCTCGATAAGCAATAATTAAGATGAGCGAAGACACGTTTGTTTTGGATTTATTCTGTCCAAACTTCTAAATTAATTTTTTTGTAACCGAATTTAGCAATCGAACTTGCATTTAGGGTATCACAATGTGCATCTAAAGTGGGCAGCAAGGAATAAAATACTACTTCCTCCGTTTCACAATGTAAGTCATTCTAGCATTTTCCATATTCATATTGATGTTAATGAATCTAGACAAGATTCATTAACACCAATATGAATGTGGGAAATGCTAGAATGACTTACATTGTAAAACGGAGGGAGTACTAGTTAGTATACACAGTGAAAATGGTAAGTAAGTAACAAGTACTAGGTAATATGCTTATTACCTAGTTATAAGGAATAAATAAATAATTTCTCTCATCTTTTCTCATGGCTAGTGACTGTGGGGTCTAGCTTACCGTCCACTTTTATTCTTTCACTAACTATTATGATTACAACAATAACTAATACCTATTGACATAGAGCTTACCCTTATTCATAAAATAGGTAGTAAATATTGGTGATTTCCTTATAAAACCATATATTAACACTATGATTCTGTGATCTGAATGTGATCAGAAGATTATAGGATGGACCTGGTCGCGCTAGCGAGTGGACACGTTCATCTACGGCTATCCATTATGTTAATCTGTTCCCCACGAAGTAAGAACAATATCAAGGCCTTGTTTAGAGCATGTTTAATAGAATAGCCAACTACTAGCTCCGAATCATCTATAACTAATGTAATAGTCAATTCATACAATAATTACCTACTATACTATTAATATTTGGTCCCACCTGTCATATACACATTACGTCTTAGAGTCCGTGCTGCAGCTGGCTACACATCTGTAGCATGCTGCTCTTCTCTCTCTTCTTTTATTTTTTTAATATATAAGTTTATTGCTGGCTTATAGTCTACTATTGTATCTGCTCTTAGTTGGGGGAAATTTTTGGGTTTGGTAGTCACATCGAATATACAGACACATATTTGAAATATTAAACGTAGTTTAATAACAAAATAAATTCAGATTCCGCCAGAAAACTGCGAGACGAATTTATTAAGCCTAATTAATCTGTCATTAGTAAATATTTACTGTCGCACTACATTGTCGAATCATGTCGCAATTAGGCTTAAAAGATTCATCTCGCAATTTACATGCAATCTGTGCAATAAGTTTTAATGACTACATTTAATACTCCATACATGTGTCCAAACATTCGATGTGACAGCGTGAAAATTTTTGTTTTGGAACTAAACAGGGCCTAACTAGATTTTTTTTTGAAAGGAGGGCAAAAGCTTTGCCTCGTATATTAATAGAGGAGCAGGAAAACAAGAGAAAATATGTACAGGGTCAGCCAAAAGCCAACCCGCAAACGGAAAAAGTTGTCTCCCAAAATTCCAAACTCCTGTAGCTTTGTTGCTCTGGCTTTAACCCAGGCTCTCCCTTCCTCTTTTATTTTTGCTATAACTGAGGCAGGGGTGGAGGCTGTGCTCCGAAAGATTCTTGCATTACGCTCCCCCCAAATCTCCCAGGACACAAGCATCAGCAGAGTTCGCAGAGGGGCTCGTGGAGTATTAGGGGATTCAGCAATAAGGTTCCACCAAAGTTTGACGGAGGGGCAGTCATTCCATTTACTCAATTGGAGGTCAGTTTGTGTCCATTGTTGGATTTCGGCCCAGATTCTCTTAGTGACTCTACATTTGGCCAGTAGGTGCAGGGCTGACTCATCCGTTACACAGCACAGGGGGTAGATCTTTTGATTTTGCCAGCCTCTTTTCCCCAATCTATCCGCCGTCCAAAGTCTGTTCTGGGTAGCAAGCCAAGAGAAGAATTTGCATTTTGGCGGCGCCCATGCTTTCCAGATTGATTGGTAGAAAGCAGATCTTGCCGCTCCCATGAATTGCAGCCTATATGCCGATCTTGTTGAGTATTTCCCATTCGCCGTTAGATTCCAACGAATGCTATCTTGTTCTTCATTCAACGGGGCATTCTTCTAACCATGGACCATAG